GGTCTGTTGCTGGAGTAGATTCTTCTAATTCAAGTCCAGTTATGCACCTATTTCAACTGAATATATACTGTTACATGCAGTCCCCACATTGGTCATATTATGTAGCATAATGGCAGGAAAGTCAACTCCAATCAGAACCACTGATTGCACATCCAAAATATGCTGTTCCAATTTACATTGGCTTTAGAAGTCTTCATCTACATGCTCTCCAGATAGTTTCACATACAGCATTCACACCAACATTTGCATATCATTGTCTTATGGATTAGTACTGTTTTTTCAATATAAAACCACTCATCTGTATTTTATGTGCTAAGTAGTATACACATAGCTCTTGCAAACAAGTTCTCCATAAAATAAAAAGTATCACACTAAATAAAAAATTATATCACACAAGGCAGTTGAAATCAGGGCATAAAGGCAAACCAAACAAGGTGCAACTCATCCAGTAAATCTCAGATTGCTGTAATATATCACTGGATCTTACTGACTGAAATGGCATAAGCTTCAGTAAGTGACTGAGTGTGGTTGAACGCCTCTTTGAACAGTATTTCCTTCATATCATGGCTTGTTGTTGGAGAAAAACTTAAAGTGATGCAGGTCTTAGACCTTTACCACTTCAAAAAAAGCCATGGGTATGACACTGACAAACCTAGAAACTTAATCAGAGTGAAACGGGATTTGAAATTTACGACCATCAGTTTGTGGCACGCCTAAAGGTTGCAGTTCTGCACAGTGAATTGCACCTGTGCACCTCATGAAAATCATTCTGCAATAAGTTCCCCTGGGGATTGCCCTTTCACAGAAAGCAAATGTTGGGCTATAAATATCCACCACATAATAGCCCAAACAAACACAAATAGGAGAAGGTAGTGTTCAACTGATCTTAGAATTCTGTGCAAAGTTACTAGCGTGCACACATTGTCGAGAAACAACTCAGCATACTTCACAGGTGGGCAAGTGTTTGGTTCACCTTAAGACATAACAGGTAATGGATTCTTCAAATACATCAACACTGCTGCTTAACAAATGTTATTTGACAATATTAACTATATATTTGATTTAACAGAATTCTTCAAATTCTCCGAAGCCAAGAGTCCTGTAAATGATGATAACCAATCATTTGTTTATAAAACCTCATCTCTTTGCTCAGCTGATTTTTCTATGCAGAACTATCAGAGCCAAACAGATCTCTGTCCTTATACACCTGAAGTATTAATTGTAGAATAAACCTGTCACAATGACAATCTTTGACTTATGAATAATGGCAGACAAACATAACAAAATCTGATACAAAAACAAAACGCAAAGCACCAATTTAGGCAAACAGAAAAAAACCTTGCAGGGCGTATATCTGAAGACAATCCAAGCAAAACCATAGACACATGTCTGGCCTAATGCACCTGAGTACTAATGAAACAAACAGGATCTGTGTCTTTTACCACCAGGTCCTTGTTCAGTACGACCAATGTTTATGGATGATTAATGGTCAACTTTGAATAATTGCCATCCTGTGGAATGTGCTTTTTAAAGCCCAACCTATCATCCACCTATAAGTTTATATAAGCACAGCTCTCCTTAGTGAAACATGGCTCTCCCTAGTCTTAGTGAGTATGGTTTTATGCCACTTGTGGCAATATTCCAGCAATATCAAAGTGGGACACCAGAAATGGGCTTCACACATTGTACCCATGTCGGGAATCCAACCCAGGTCTTAGGGATGACGAGCAAATGCTTTAACCCCTAGTCTACATAACTGCCCTCTTCCCATTCTTAGTGCATCACATGCTATGGAACAAGCTGCCTCTCACAGTATCAAATTGTGCAATAAATCCATTGTCTTTCAGAGTATCAAATTGTCCAACACACCCACTGCCTGTCAGGGTGTCACATTGTACAACAAACTCATTGCCTCTCAGTGTCAAATTGTCCAGTAACCTTACTGCCTTACTATGTATCAAATTGTTCAATAAACCCACTGCATTTCTAATTGTCCAACAAACCCATGTTTTCACATTAATAAGCCCAATCTTTGACTTATGCATATTGGCAGTTGAACATAACAAAAGCTGACAGCATAACAAAACGAAAAAGCACCAATTCGGGAAAATAGAAAAGAAAAAATGAAAAAACTAACAGAAGCATATGCACATGCTCAAAACTGAAGCAAACACAAATAAGATGATTATTTCCCTAAAACTTGGATCAAACTCTACAGAAGCCTAACCAAAATAACCACACTGCCTCAATAAACAAAGAAAGATTATGCACATTGGTGATACAGGACAAATTTCACATGATGGTGCTAACTGAAGCCTCATGAGATGGATTACAATAGATTGTACTCTCAGACAATAGGAGCTGTTCCCATTTCAACAAAACAAAAACTCACTAATGAGATGGATAGGTTTGTTTTTTTCAAATATTTCAGATGCTCTCATAAAAAGGTGACTGTGGACTACAATAACTCATCTAAACCATTTCCCAAGTCAATTTAATAGTCACCAAAGTTTAACAAGTAAGCAACAAAGTAAAAACATGAGGACCCAAATATGCATGTCATAACACTTTCTATGAGTTTTTGTTTTTCAATTTCCCCTTAAACTATTTCTCGGGATATTTGAAAAGGAAGACATTATTTCCACTTAAAATAAATCAAGGAAGATTATCAGTACAAAGGTGCAAAAACTAACTGCAATGAAATGGGTTTTCTTCTTTCGATTTGATTGAGACTATATTCCTGACTTCAAATACATCAACGTTAATAAACTGTCACTAACACATAGAGACTTTAAGTAATCAGCATTCAGACAAGTATTATCAATTTATCCAATCAATCACATACAACAGAATATGATCACTTTGTACATGATATTGAGTTGGATACCATACACACAGGCATAAATAACAGAAAACCAATACAAAACAACCATATGAAATACTTAGAATTGACAACACTGAGTCTCACAGAGTTATCTCCTCCTTGAGAGTTATCTCCCTTTTGGCACATCCTCAAACATGACTTTCAAACTAGCTAATGGTTTTATCACATCAAGAGAGGAACAAAGCTGACATTCATGATACACCATCTGAGAATGTGAATCATCTGAAAGTAAATCATGACTGTTTCAATGATTAGATTATTAGAAACGTCACGTGACCACAAAGTAGCCTCAGTAGCGGTACTTTATTTTGCAAGAATTGGTATGACATCACCTGTATTTCTTTGCAGAATGTAATCTGCAATAGGTCCTTGAATGCCATTTCGAATGTGTCAGTTTTATAATGAACAAATAATGAGTACAGGTGCTCTGTGGAAACCATAATTTCCCCCCAAATGATATCTTTAATGATAAATACCCCAGACCCATTCACCACCAAATCTTCATTTCAAGATTGATGTCACCATCACCATCTCTCCATCACCAACTCCGCACAGAATTTGTCTCACTCATGGGCACGAAATCAACAACAAATCAAAATGACTAGAGTACAGCACATAATTGTATATATGTATACTAGTTGCATGTGTTCAAATAATAAGTGAGTGAGTGAGTTGGGTTTAACGCCACTTTTAACAGTATTACAGTTATATCGCGACGTGTCAGCTTAATGTGGGAGGAAAGCTCAAAGTGATGCAGGTCTTAGATGTTTACCACAAAACCCATGAGCACGGGTATGGAGCTGACAAACCTGGAAACATATTCGGGGCGAACCGGGATTCGAACCCACAATCATAGGTTTCTGGCGTGCCCAAGGGACGCATCTCTGCACAGCAAATCGCAGCGCCTTAGACGACTGGGCCACCCGTGCCCCTTTTCAAATAATAAGGCTTTTATTACTGAACTTTTAGCTGGAAATATTGTACTAAGAGACTAAGATTTATTTCCAGTTCTTCTTGCGACAGTGTTGAAGGGAGTCCAGTACTGGTGATATCGACCACAGTTTCAGTCATGATTTAACATTGGCATTTGATTGGAGAGCTAATTTTATATTTGCCTCATCAGAAATGCACTCATAAGAACCTTATAATTGCGCTAGGTCCAGGGTATTTATCACAACAGAATGGAGTTATAACACCATGGATAATCGAGGATGATCACTTGAATATGGAGTAAAGTCAAGTAGGTAGTGTGCTTCATAACTAGAGGATGTAAAACTACTGAAACTTGTTTTAAAGTGAAAGGTAATATTTGAACATATAACGCTTGTCAATGCACCAATAAATGGTATCATACACAAGCATCATGTCACCCATGCATTAACCCTGTGTGGAGTCCAGGGCCCCGTTCCACAAAGCGATCTTAGCACTAAGATGATCGTAACTCCCATACTTTAACATAGGCTTGAGACAATCATAGCACTAAGATCGTGTTTGTGGAACGGGCCCCAGGTTAGAATCCGTCCAAGCAACCCACGCTTGTCATGAGAGGTGGCCACATGGATCAGGTGATCTGGCATGGTAATGTTATGTTTTTGGTTGTCAAAGTGAGAAGCTTACTATACCACAAACACATCTAGTAGTTTTAGAGATGTCAAAAAATGTGAATGGATGGAATAGTAAGTATGAATACCAGACCATTAAAATAATAGGCATGCAACCAGTGAAGCAAGCCTCGTCAGTTGTATCAGATTGTAAAGCATACACCAATAGCAAAACCAATTTCTCAACATTTGAATGCAATCAGAGGATGTTAATTTTTTTACATGTAAAGGTTGTTCATTCCAAAATAAAAAGAAATAAAACCAATTACTTGACTGAAGTTGCTGTAATGAGGCTATAGATTTGATTTGAACTTTTGTTGGTCAAGTTAACATTTATCCCTTCAAATGAAAATGAATACATCAGGGTTGGTGAGACATGACACGTGGCAGACAGACTAATGTCAGGACAACTGATCCAGACATTATGGATGGTGAAGATAGACACTGTGCTTCTAACTGAAGCAATCAACAGGTCCACGCCAAAGAATTTTCACTATGGTTAACTCAACAGCTTGTAAAAGGCACAGTTTATTTCCAGATATGGACAGCATGCTAAAATTTCCGCATACACAATGAGCTCTAAAGTTAATACCATGTCGGTGTCGAAGTGAGCATGACAATATAATGGTATCACATACTCCAGCATTTGTTTTCTGTATCTGTTTTGTGTCCACCTGAAATACTGGTTAGCTTGATCGTGTTCCATCACTTTGTCTGTGGATGGCATCCAGTAGGCATGGTGAGTTTCCTTTAATTACGTCAATAAATAGGAACCAAGACATATCATACACCTGAACAAGTCAAATAAAACATGTTGCACTGAAGATCTTACAAAGCACTTATAAATAACATCTAGTATGTCCTGTTCCAAAGCAAAATGTGAAATTTCAGGAAGTCTGTATTTTCTAGACAATACTGACAATAATTGAGAAAGTTTGCTATTGTGATCATCTAGTATCTTCAAAAACTTGTAAAAAAAAATTCTTTAAAGGTCTCCTCCAAGTGAAAGATACACAGCTCTGTGAATACTGTGTGTGAGAATGGTCTTGCTGCATCTTTCTTGTTATTACTATTTAAAATCACAGACTTGTTGACAAAAAAAAATCACATCGAAATCTAGATGTGAAACACCCTCCATTAGAATTTAGAAGCCATCATGTTAATTGGCTGATTAGGAAGTGCATCTGAGATGACCTAGATGTCCACATAGAAAGCCATAGAAATAGAGCGAAGGATCAGATTTTAAAGACATTGATTAAACCCATAACATACAGTTAACAACTGAGGATCTAAGAACAAAGGTTACTCTAACAATCAGGCTGATAATAAACAACTCAACTGATTTCATTAATAAATAGATGAAAAATCCTTTTTCCAACAATGATTTCGGAGGGACATGACACATGCATAACTGTGGAATTCTATCTGAACCCCATTATCTGGTGAATGACCGTGAAAGAGCTGACAAGAGAGAGGCCAGAAACTGTTTATAAATCTGTAAAGTACACACAAACTAAACTTCTCTAAAACATTGCAGAGAACAGGGTCTCCGACACACAAATATAAATAATTATTCATAACAGTTATTCATTTAGCACTAAAAATGCACATCAGACATGACATGGTATAACAAAATAAATAGTTTGTCATAGTATAGGGGCAGCAATCAGTGTTCGAAATAACTACAACACATAAGTGGCCACAGACTAGAGACTTATCAGAAGTACTATCCTGCAACAAAGCCCTATAGCCAAACATGTAAGGAAACACATAAAAGAAACCTCAACAGATTTTATTCAGAGAAAAGACATTACTCTCACTGACAAGAGATTGTTGATAGTCCATATCCTTGATTTAGCAATAGATCTGGGACTCAAATCAAAATTGAGAATTTTCAAATGATCATAAACTACCCGAAATAGATTGAAATACATTAGCATGATATGGACAGGCAAAATAAACTTACTGAATAATTTCTAGTCTGGCTACAGTATCATTGGCCACATGACAGTTACTTCGAACACTGATCGCAATTAAGAGCTCACAATATACTGACCACTGAAGCAGCTATTATAGGATATGTCGAGCGACGTGACAAACAGCACTATTAGGTTCAAAGCCTCAGACAGAAAGAACCAGATATTCCTTTGCTTAGGCTCATCATACAACAGAGTAAAATTTAACCTTGCGAGTTGATAATTGTCATTTGTGTTATTATACAGTGTAATGCATGACCATCTCACTGTGATTAGAAGAGCAAGTTCAAATATACTTGGTAAACCAAAACGTACCTACATCAGGGGTAGACACGATTGGTCATAGCCAACTAGTCTGCAATTGACTTCCGACTAGTGCTTATGTAAAAGAACTATATTTTGGGATAAACATCTAGTCAGTCTAGATTGTGACTAGTCTTGGACTAACAGACCAGTGGCAGTGTCTATCCCTGCCTACAGTCGACCAGGAAACTTGGGAGGAAAATTCATAAGCCTTACAAGAACCAAGGAATGATTTTCACAGTAGCCCCCGGCTGGACTGACACCAGAAGGGTATCCAGTTTTCAGTCCAGTTATACAGCAATACTATGATGGGTAAACGTTAACATATGAAGACAGTTACAGTATTGCTTAATGCTGCATCAGCACAGCAGGCATTGGCAAACATGAAGCAAACATTTTGCATTGACAACAAACGAATATGCATCTTCCCTGTTTATGCATGTCTTAAAATGGGTCCAGGCTGTATAAACCAGACAAGTTCATCACTGAAGATTTAGATCCATTGAACAGCAGTGCTCGATGCCAGCACAAAGGAGTAGCACATCCTACAAGGTTTTATCTGGGCTTCCAAACTGTCAGGAAATTGGGAAGGAATGTTATTTTGTCTAAAATTGGGAAATCATTAAAGTTCTCATTTTCTTAAGTTAAGATGTATTTTAACATTGTATTCAATGCAATAATGTAAACTAAAGCCTTTTCCTTTATATTGTACCTAATTCCTGTCATCAGTTATATACAAGTCACCTCTACAATCAATAACACTAGCTGGAGCTTTATAAACATAACTGGGAACTTACAGTTACAATTTGGGATTTGTAACTGACATTTGCAACAGACTTGGACTGTATATTGGCCTGTGAACATGTTTAGATAAATCCCTGACGAGACAATGCTAGTCTGGGTCTAACGCCATGTGTGAGACATTGTGTCCAGCTAATTTGAGTGACATGCATATTCTATCATCAATTGAGTGTCGAACCAAGTCTATTTCATCTTTTCCTAGCCTCTGTATCTGCTGTTAGATTCACTTAGTCTAATTTTGGAAGTATCAGGTGCTCTTAACTCACAGTATATTGACTTAATCTTCTTATTAAATATGTAAGTAAATCTTGTGTTGGGAGTGTCAATTACATGATAAAATGAAACGTATTTTTCAGAAAATAAATCTGGAATCCAGAGTGTATATATATAGTCACACACCTTACATGCCAACAAATTAACTCACACAACATTAAGTGCACGGACTGTAAAATTAGTCTGGTTCACATGGAACATTGTCAAAGTCTGAATTGGACAGATTCTAAAGCACCCTTCAATTAACTTCAAAATCTCAAAGCATAACCAGCGAATCTGAGTGTCATGATATCATGGCATATACAAAGTTCAAAGGCTCTGTTCCACACAGCAATTGTGATGCTATGCCTGTCCTAAGTCCTATACTCTAACATAGACTTATGACAGTAGTGGCATAACGATTGCTTTATGAAACTGGACCCAGCACTTATGAATTCAGTGAGAACCCAAACAAAGAAACTTGAGAGACAAAATCAAATTTGAGTGAGCATGAAGAATCTGCCAATGATGCTTCTTACATGGTGTGTAACAGGAGAAACTTATCAGTCAACTTAAAGCAGGTCTGAATTCCAGGAAGCACATTTATGTTGGTAGACAACTTGGCGATTTGTTTCACCAAAACATAATATACCCTGGTAAGAAATCTTAATATCCTTCATCATTCGAGGGACAACCTGGAGAAAAGCAACCATAGTTTCACTTTGTGTGTATGCTTGTTAGGCAACTATGACATGATCAATGATACATTTCAGTAACTCTGAGAAATCAACTTTGGGATAAGAGAGTTCCTGTTCTTGTGTTTAGTCAATGGTGGATGTACAGGCGTTAGCAGACTATCTGAGGGCTTTCAGGAACAATTTCACGTGACATGAAAAAGGCTTCAAATAGTGTACCCAGTGGGCAAAAGAACCTGGGTCTATGGTGTGCTGACTTGAACCACACGTCTACCCCACAGCACTTCCATCGATGGAGGTAAATATTTTAGGTACACCTTTTCACTGATGAGACACAACAAATATATGGAGCTTTCAACGAAACCATAAATTAACTGGAAAAATGTCCAATGTCTTGCATCACAGAACTAGGTTACCTTAATCATTTGCACATAATCAACGCAGCTTCAAAATCATTTTAAGTCATTCATGAAACAGCTCCACACCCCAAATTCCGTACTTGGAGGAAGCTGGGAGCGTCTTGTGTCTACAATGGTTTTGAACTTGCTCTCCCACTAAACACAGTGAAGAAAGACTGGTATGCAGGTGAGTTGGACTACATCTTTGCTAGCAGCTGAGCAGCTAAGGGTCTGTCACTAAGATCACAGCATTCCAAAGCCCTTGGCGTGAGTTATGGCCTTGAGCAGTCGTTCCTGAAGTTTGTCTTTTGAGGAGTAGTCGGGAAGAAGAAGAACGTTGAAACATGTATGAGATGTTGGCAACCTGTAGAAAAACAAAGTTACAGTGAGCAGCTTTAGAGTGAGTGAGTGAGTTGGGTTTAACGCTGCTTTTAACACTATTCCAGTTATATCACGGCGTGTCAGCTTAATGTGGGTGGAAAGCCCCAAGTGATGCAGGTCTCGGACGTTTACCACTTCGGTGAAACCCACGAGCACGGGTATGGCGCTGACAAACATAGAAACATAATCGGGGCGAACCGGGATTCGAACCCACGATCATAGGTTTCTGGCGTGCCCAAGGGACGCAACTCTGCACCCGTGCCCCCCAGGGCGTTAGAAATTAGCACTAGTCCTAAGTCCTTGCCAAAATGGCCAATAGTTAAGGTATCCTAAGGACCAGTAGAAATATGCCCTTTTTACGGGTTTGGCTATATTTTATCATTATGAGGACTCAAGGAACAAAACTGTTGGCTTCAATCGCAGGTGAGTGAGTTTGATGCCACTAGGATCAGTATTTCAGTAATACCAGTGTCAACTAAATGAGGGATGAAAGGGTTGGAAGACTGGACCATCCATGTTTCAAACAACTTTAGAAGACATGAATCTTCCATCTTTATGAGTGAGTGGTTTTGAACATCCCCCATGTCATAAAGGCAATCATTAACTTGCTGATTTGATATACATCATACGACTTGCACTGGTAGACAAAGTAGTGTTTGAGGGACCAGAATCAAATTTGCTTGGACAGCCAAATAGTATGAGACACTACCCCCTTTAAATTACGACAAGTCAGCTTGATGTGGGAGAACACCCGCAGTGAAACAAATCCGAGACGCTTTACTATCTGTTGAAATCCACGAGCATGGGTACGGTGCTAACAAACCAAGAATCATAATCAGGCGAATCTGGGATCTGAATGCATAATCACATGATTCTGGCCCTTCCCTTGCACTGTCACAGATTCAGGCATAGTCTCCTCTATTGGAAGCAACCAATCATTGGAAGGGACATAACTCTCTATGGTTACTGACCAAAAGGATCATAAAAAAGTTGTTTTCTTCAAAGATTTGAAGTGATTTCAACAGGGTTTTTTCTAACGATAAAAAGATTGATATATGAGTTCATGAAATTGGTAAGGACAATTTAGGGCCTTTTCAAGGCACACTATCCCTTGTCAATCCAGAATTTAAATTCAAGGACTCTACAAGACAGGCCTAAAAATCAAGGGTATTAAAGGGTTACCTGTCTGAGTCAGGTCCATTCCTGGCGATGATGAGCTTCAGCTTGGACAGGCCCCCTACTGGTACCCGATCTGTTCCTGTCGTAAACTGCAGCAGTTTCTTCTTCTGGTCTTCTGATAAACTATGCACAACTTGCCAGAAGTTTCTGTAAGGAACAAGAACAAACGACTGTGCTGTGATATCATTCCAAACAAATATTTGCCACCATGGTGGTATAGTCCTCCATCGCAAACAGGATAGAATTATTGTGAGGTAGCAAGTATTTCATCTGTACATGTACATATATTATGTGCTATGCCCTGATGGGGTACAAGGACACATGTTCTTATGAGTCATGAGAGTAATGAGAGTAATCTCAAGTGACTAGTTTCGAGCTTAGGGGCGTTCATCAGACTGTTTGTAAGTGGGTAGGGGAGCTCCATATACACTTTGTGTTCCAGGTATTCCCGATAGTACCGGTGGAGTTCACCAGTGAAATGGTACTGGTGGACCGGTGGACCAATGATCAGGCTGTTACTGGTGGGTTGTGGGTGGTGTTTTCAGAACCGGTGAACCGATGGGCCAGTGGTCGGGGCTTGGAGTAACGGCAGGATGAACACGGTCAGATTACTGGTGATCATGATTTTATGATCGCTTCAATAAATTTGAGTTTAAAACTTATTGTTTTGTGTTGTGTTTTTTATCACGGATGTCGTCATGGGCCGTATGCATTAAGGTGCAGTTAGGTGTATATTCCTGGGGCTGGATGTAGTCCCAGGTGAGATTTAAGGAGTCTACCTTAGGTCAGAGGGCCTAATACAAGACTAACCCTTGGTATGGGATCCCAATTTATATGTGGGCCCAGTTGGCCTTAATGTGGGTGTATGTTGCCTACTAATGGGTGTTGATGACTTAGCCATGTCCTCCCTATTCTGTTGCCTATATACAGACATATATACATACATATTCTGTGTCTAGATCGACACTAGGATCTTCTCAAAAGTCCATCCATCTGATGAAAGGTGGTGGCAGTATGTAGGCCGGACTGTATGGCAGTGATTTTGGTATTTTATCCATGGCTTCGGAATGTTTTTCCGTATCCTGTTGGGGATAAGTCCCCACAATGGACGATAACAAGCCATCAGCCATGTTGTTTGTAACGGTGGCATGGCTGGTGGTTAGTGTTGTTACACTAGAATGTCCATGTCATATTTTATCCATGGCTTCAGAATGTTTTTCCGTATCCTGTTGGGGATAAGTCCCCACAATGGACGATAACAAGCCATCAGCCATGTTGTTTGTAACGGTGGCATGGCTGGTGGTTAGTGTTGTTACACTAGAATGTCCATGTCATATTTTATCCATGGCTTCAGAATGTTTTTCCGTATCCTGTTGGGGATAAGTCCCCACAATGGACGATAACAAGCCATCAGCCATGTTGTTTGTAACGGTGGCATGGCTGGTGGTTAGTGTTGTTACACTAGAATGTCCATGTCATATTTTATCCATGGCTTCAGAATGTTTTTCCGTATCCTGTTGGGGATAAGTCCCCACAATGGACGATAACAAGCCATAAGCCATGTTGTTTGTAACAGTGGCATGACTGCTGGCCAGTGTTGTTACACTAGAATGTCCGTGTTGTTTTAGATGATTTTTGAAGTCATCATGCCGTTTATATGACTTTTGGCAAATAATACGAAAGCCTGTGTTAATGTATGGGAGTAACAATCATATTAGCGCTAAGATCGCTTTGAAGAACGTGGCCCAGATCCAAATTAGTCACCTCTAAAGATGATCAGTAGAGTGCTGGGACCTATTCTGACCCCTGTCCTCAAAGGGTCCTGATTAATGGAATGCGAACTTATTTGGGAGACGTTATGTGTTATCACTATTCACATCTAGCATTCCACGAACTGAAAATGTCAGTCATTTTGGTTTCATAATATTTGGCCCAATATTCAGTCGAATAATAAAATAACATGAACAGAAACATCATTAAGTGATTACTAAAAACAATCAACTTTGCATTTCTTGTTGGAACAAGATTAAGAAACTTACTTTAAAATATTGTGTTATATTGTGTTATGATAAATACTGGGTATCAAATATATGGGTAGTCACTAGTAGTGTGACTTTTGTTTGATGTATCAGCTCTGTCTGTCTGTCTGGATATAACATCTGTTATGCTTTAACTGTGGGTCTCAAAATACTTACTTGACTGAAGCAGAATCTTTGGTGAATCCACCATCATACTCTGTGGCCTCCTCCAGAGCAAAGAAGTCGAGATCCTGCAAGAATAACATTGTTTACCATGGGTTGCCTGCTTCATGTATATCTGTACACTATCAGAAATACAGGCCCAGTCCCCCAAAAACATGATATTCCAAATGTGCAAAAACTGCCCTTCCTATCCTGCAAGACTAACACAGATATAGTCTAAATATGAAATCAAAGAATTTGAAGTTTTCAATACTCAGCAGAAATATGTATAGTCAAAATGTGTGTATTTGAGTCAAAATGTGTGTGTTTGAAATTCAACCACTACTACAAGTCCAACTCAAATAGACACACAACAAATGTACATGAGGTAAATGCTCTTACAACCCTCAAATCATATTGTCTGAATATTTCAGCGGTAGAGTTTGTATGTTGTTTAAGGTAGCACTCAACAATATTTGAACTATATGATGGCAGTCTTTAAGTAATCGGGGGTCGACCAAACAATCCAGTGATTGACATCATGAGCATCGATCCACACACTTGGGATACTATAACATTAGGGCTGGGACGGGTAGCTCGGGTACCCAGGTCGGGTGGGTACTGAGTAGGACCCGGGTACCCACAGTGACTACCCGGACCCGTGGTTAGTCACGTGATATATTGTTTAATGACAAAAATTATCCAGAACTCTATGGTCACACTACAAGTCACTAATGTTTTCAATTCTTTCTGACTATGCACCCATTCCTTCTGACTTTTCATATGGTTGAATAAAGATATAACTTAAGTCAACTTCAGTGTAACATGACCAGATTGTTTGATACATGTATCTAAATACGTTTTGCCAGGGTTATGGTAAAAAAATTCCCAATCAGACATTTTGTACCTATCTCTTCAGACCTACAATAGGTACCCGAGTAGGGTTGGGTAATAGGGGGGTGGGTACCCAGGTAGTAAATTTGGACTCGTCCCAGCCCTAGATGACATACATCAAACCAATTCAACGAGCCTGACCACCCGATCCTGTTAGCAGCCTCTTATGACAAGCAAAGTCGCCTTTTACAGCTCAGCAGTAGAGTGAGTGAGTAATTGTTCTATGCCACAGTCAGCAATATTCCAACTTTCTCATGGCAGCCTGGTAATCCAGTGCTTGATAAAATGAGCAAACTTCAGGGTGTCTGGGATACCCTGACATGCCATCAGCATGGTTTAACACATCAGTCAACACATCATACAACAAGCATGGGTTGCTGGAGGAGTAATAATCCAAGGAAGTGAGTTGAAATGAGTTGTAAAGTTAAGTTCGAGACTATTGCACTAAAATAGCGATTTATGTGCCTGATTCTACAGGTCTGGACTTATGCCTGATCGTATACTGACTCTGTATACCCTCAATCCAGGGCACCAGTCAGGTAACAACAAGAAACATCTTCCGTATGGAGCGGCTGGGATCGATCCACCGACCTTCAGCTCTCCAGGCAGATGCTATATCCACTATATGCAATATCCACCAGGGAATATGGGAAACATAAAGATTTTCCTGGGAATTACTGGACGAAAGATCCTGCATCCTCTAGACTAAGCATAAAATTTGAATGCTGACACACAAAATTTGCCGAGTGCATCCACTGGGATGCAAAAAAAGCTTCGAGTCCCCTGAACCTCCAAATATATAGCCAAGGTAAGTCCCTGGTCTCTACAAAGATTCTAGTTACAATGAGCTGACAATAGAGGGCACAAACACATCAATATTTGAATGGACTAAGCCATAGAGAAACCTCTTCCCTTTGAAGCACCCATCACCCAAAATCATCCCCTAAAAATCAGACAATAACATCCTAAAACAATACAAACTATAAACATACACATAAAGAATGGAAAGATATTGATGCACCTTGCACCTTGCACCTCACACCAACCAGAGGCTATATCTCATGGACTGCAAACTTAAGAGAAGGGAGCTAACTCAATAGTTACACATTTCTGACCACTAGAAAATTTAACCTTACACTAGGAACATATTCTGATCAGAAATGCCCACAGAATTCCTGATAAAAGTGTCCATACCTTGCTACCACACACCAGCAGCTCCACCTCCTCGGGTCGGAACAGAAGGCGGAAAGGGCTCTCATTTGTCACCATCAGGAAACCACGCTTGAAAGCACGAAACTGGCGCTCTATACTCTTGTTCAGGATAAAGTCTGCATACAGGTCAACAAATTCCTGAAAATTGAACAATAAAACACGATTAGTTTTCTATAATTGTGTGCGTGTGTGTTAGGGGGGGGGGGAGGGGGGGGACAGAATAGTTAAAAATAACACCACCCCGTCCCAATATAAATGCCCAGTCCCTAAAAGATATATGTGAGGACAAATCAAAGGTTCTACAAGAAATTAATACATCAAGACCAGGTTCAAAAAGCAGTCATAGTGTATAGAGTGAGATTAACATAGAGCATCAATCACATTACGCTGCAAAGATTGAAAATCATGGTCACTGCAGATAAACAAGGGAAGTAACTCTGTTACACGACTTACCAAACCACTGCATCATGGATGCAAGTGAGCCTATCCTTGTTAAATGTGCGCCTCACACAACTTTGCATTCATTCACAGACCACATGTATGTCAATTGTTATTCAGTATCTGTGTGCAGCTTTGTTGGAGTTAAAAAAACAAAATATGTGTTTCCTATTTCAGCCCAGACCATTAACGTTAGTGGCATGTAATACGAACAATCCCTGGAAAAAGATAAGATTGCAAATAAGTCAAACTGACCAGAGGGGGCCAGTAGCCATTCATTGATACTATAACACAGCATATATTACTCAAAATTCAAAATGAAAATAATGAAGTGAAAAAGCTTACCTGCTTGTTTTGCTGGGTGACAAATATTTCATTTCCATTTTCCTTCAAGTCATGAGAGAGTATTGAGCCAAACACATCGGAATGTCCGATCCTGAATGTCTGCATGAACACATCAGCAATGTCCTCGTCTGCATATTCTAGCAACTGAGTCAGGCTACTGGCTATAGTCTGAAATTTAAATACAATACCTCTCAACACTCAATTTACTATTGGACCCGTGAAGATCCGGGGTAGAATAGGTCTTCAGCAACCAATGCTTGCCCTAAAAGGTGACTATGCTTCTCATAAGAGGCGACTAATGGGATCGGGTGGTCAGACTCGCTGACTTGATTGATGCATGTCATTGACCCCAATTGCGTGGATCGATGCTCATGATGTCAATCACAGGATTGTCTGGTCCAGACTCAATTATTTACAGACCGCCAACATATAGCCGGAATATTGCTTAGTGCGGCGTTAAACAAACAAATAATATAGCATTGAAAAGTAAAACTGCAGTTTTTCTTGAAATACACGTTGTATTAGACTAACATTTAGTCCCAAAAATGAATATCCATGAGCATAATAAGTAAGAGTCAGGATAAGATAAAATTGATCTTATTTCAAAATTTATATCTACAAAATACAAAACAAAATATAAATGGTGCCCAGAAAAATACTCAATTTCAGGAGCTGAGGCAAAATAGACTTAACAATTAGTGCTAATCGACAGACTGTTTCAGACAAAACTACCTCCATACCTACATCACAGAGATTCTTGTATGTATGTCTAAGTAAAATTAGTTGCTGCTAGTGCAGATTGCTGAGACAATTTCCCCCAGAACTACCTCCATACCTGGTCTACATCACAGAGATCGTCGTACGTGCCCTTCTTGCCAAGCAGCTTGCGGTAGACGACCATGGGGAAGTGGATGTCAAGGATGCAGCTGTTGTATATAGCCAGACCAAGGACAATTCCAATCAGGGTGAACTGACCGTCATTCTCAAAGGACATTGGGTTAAACCAGAAGTGGTGCGTTGATTCGTTGTATGTAAACATACCTATGACATATAAATATTACAGATGTGATTTCACATTCATTATTCTCACAATGATGTATTCACAAACAAGGCTATTACAGGGCTGAATTTAAATCCTCCTGAGGCAAGCCCTCCTATCTATTTGAATAAAAAGCTTTGAATGGCTTCATAATGAAGGTCTATTGGTTGTATAGCTTCCATATTGGAATCGAATACATTTATAATAAGAACAGAAAAGAAACACTATCAGATTTGACAGTAGTCGGAAACGGAATACGTGCACTGGCGATATTGGAGACGCGTTCAAATGAAGATGAGGAACTTAGGCTGTACCCGTCAAAAGCCGCAAAAGCTATCGGAGTTAATTGACAACACATTTTCTGGAAAAACTACCTATATCTGGGTGGTTATAATCATGCCACATTGTGATAGTGTTTCAATTGGTCCTATATCTGGGTAGTTAGAATCATGCCACATTCTGATAGTGTTCCTATTGTACCTACATCTGGGTAGTTATAATCATGCCACATTGTGATAGTGTTCCTATTGTACCTACATCTGGGTAGTTATAATCATGCCACATTGTGATAGTGTTCCTATTGTACCTACATCTGGGTAGTTATAATCATGCCACATTGTTATAGTGTTCCTATTGTACCTACATCTGGGTAGTTATAATCATGCCACATTGTGATAGTGTTCCTATTGTACCTACATCTGGGTAGTTATAATCATGCCACATTGTGATAGTGTTCCTATTGGTCCTATATCTGCGTAATTATAATATGCCACATTGTGATAGTGTTCCTATTGGTCCTATATCTGCGTAATTATAATCATGCCACATTGTTATAGTGTTCCTATTGTACCTACATCTGGGTATTTATAATCATGCCACATTGTGATAGTGTTCCTATTGGTCCTAAATCTGGGTAGTTATAATCATGCCACATTGTGATAGTGTTCCTATTGGTCCTAAATCTGGGTATTTATAATCATGCCACATTGTGATAGTGTTCCTATTGGTCCTAAATCTGGGTAGTTATAATAATGCCACATTGTGATAGTGTCCCTATTGTACCTACATCTGGGTAGTTATAATCATGCCACATTGTTATAGTGTTCCTATTGTACCTACATCTGGGTAGTTATAATCATGCCACATTGTTATAGTGTTCCTATTGTACCTACATCTGGGTAGTTATAATCATGCCACATTGTTATAGTGTTCCTATTGTACCTATATCTGGGTAGTTATCATCATGCCACATTGTGATAGTGTTCCTATTGTACCTATATCTGGGTAGTTATAATCATGCCACTTTGTGATAGTGTTCCTATTGTACCTATATCTGGGTAGTTATAATCATGCCATGTAACATGTAAACTGATATTTAGTCTTGAAGTGAAGTTGACTTTTGTATTATTGCTTATCGAAAGTGCATGTCTGCATGTTGACACTAGTGACCTCCAGATTCAACTTTAATAAGCTATTCTAGCTGTGGATAAGTTCATCATAAAAATTGCCTGCCACATGTCAAACAGATACAAAACTTGGAAATTCATGAAAACTAAGCTTAAAAGTTTGGTGACTTGAGTGCAGAATCATAAAAGTTTGGCTGCCAAATTTACAAAAATATGTATATCTTTGGCTGCAGAGTACAGCAGGGACTGCATTGCTATAGTGTTCATATTGTACCTATATCTGGGTTGAACAGCTCCTCCACTACCAGCTGGAAAAACTCCTTTGACACACCGCCTTCATCTAGACCTTGTTCCCCATCAAACTCTACAAACAGCTGCTTCTTCAGATCACCAGGGTTGTCCATAGCTACCATCTCCAGCTAGACACACAACATGAGATCATCAAGACGAGACACCCAGTTATAGACATCCAACTGACCATGCTGAACACTCTTCCACAAAGCTATCTTAGCTGTATGACAGTTTTAAGTCTATAAATCTGTTTCACAAAGCAATGTTAACGCTATGGCAGTTGTATCATGTATGTCTGTAACCCTGTTATTCAAAGCAATCTTAGCAATATGAGAGCTGTTAGCCTGTAACTCTGTTTCACAAAGCAATCTCAACGATACGACAGCTGTAAGTCTATAATCATGTTTCACAAAGCTATCTTTGCGCTATGACATTTGTATGTCTATAATCCTGTTTCACAAAGCTATCTTAACGCTATGACAGTTGTATGTCTCTAATCTGGTTTCACAAAGCTATCTTAGCGCTTTAACAGTTGTATGTCTATAATCCTGTTTTACAAAGCTATCTTAGCATTATGACATTTGTATGTCTTTCATCCTGTTTCACAAAGCTATCTTAGCGCTATAACAGTTGTATGTCTCTAATCCGGTTTCACAAAGCTATCTTTGCGCTATAACAGTTGTATATCTATAATCCTGTTTCACAACATATTGACAGTCAATGTTGATGGATGGAATTCATGATAGATATAGTACCAACTGGGTGCTGTTCCTATCAAAGAAATACAGAAAATGTATCTTATATATCAAAGGCTGTCTTAGATTTGGTTTGTTCCTATCAAAGAAATACAGAAAATATATCTTATATATATCAAAGGCTGTCTTAGATTTGGTTTTAGAATATGGCAAAACATCTTAGACATCAATTATATGTTCAGCATGTTCAAGCTGTAATAACCATCATAGCATTTCATATTTCATATTAATCAACACTTTCTATTAAACATGGAAAACAAAACAAAAAAAATTATTAAACATGGAAAACACACAAAAAAACAAAGGCTAAACAAAATAATAGTATTGGTTCTCAGGCACCGCCCGCATCATCATAAAGTCAGACGCACATTTCGTTTTTATTTCCATTTTAAAAACAATCCTAAAACTGAAAAACAATGAGATCCAATATAGCTCACAGTTACTTCCCTTTACATGTGCACTGCTTTACTGTGCATCTCATCTTATGGTCATGGCGGCTATAGGGGTTTGTATGCTTGTTTATGTAGGGAGGCCCTTTCAGGTGGAGGTTACACAACTGTTTATTTGGTTACATTCTAGTTTGAACAAGCAAAAAAAAAAAACAAACCCACCCGCCCACCTGCACTTTATTTTCAAAAGTCATTGCCTGAGAACCAACTCATTTATTTTTTTTAAGCCAAACATAAACGTAGATTCAGGTTTTACACCATTTTAAGCTATATTTCAGCAATATCACAGCATGGCACACTAAGAATTGGCTGTTCACATTGTACAGGAACTGAATCCATGTCTTTGGCATGAGCCAACACCTGAACCTCAAGACTACCACAACACCATTCTGATCAGCATTGATTGAGAAAAGACCAAAACACTTAGTGAGTTGCGTTTAATGCTGCACATTTCAGTCATATTAATGCAATTCAGTTTAATGTGGGAGGAAAGCCCAAAGTGTTCCTGGTCTCAGACTTTTACCTGTTTGGTGAAACCCATGAGCATGGCTATGGTGCTGACAAACCTAGAAACATTAACAGCACAAACCAGGATTCAAACCAATGATCCTAGATTTCTGGCACGCAAGTGTCCCCCAAACCCCTCACTGCCACAAAATAACAAAAACCTTGCAGAGAAATACTTACAGCAACTAAGGCATCGTCTATCACATGATCACGCCGAACACGAATTCGAAGATACGGCATTGGAGGTCCGCCATGAACTATTGTATGTAAGAAAGATGTCCTTCTCTCATTCAACATTCGGATTCTATTGTCAAAGTACATACTCGTGTACTTAGACGCTGTGGTCAATATAAAATTATGTGTCACAAAAGAAAATTTCAAATCAGAGTCTGTTTTGTAGTATGCATAATCGGTGCTGATGTCTATATGCTCATTAAGAGGCTCATTAACAAATTCTTCAAATGGTATTAAAGGTTCTCTACAGTCTAGAACATTCACACCTAGTTCCTTTCCTAATGGGTCTTCCTTCTGTTGGTATGGCTCCTTAGGTTCATGTGCCACAGCACCTTGGAGAAATTCATTCTGAATACTGTCATCAGCTTCATTTGTTTTCTTCTCTTCATCTAAAAGTTCTTGTGAGTCTCTTTTGCCACCATAAATACTGGCATAGAACAATATCTTCATGACTTTGGTTGCATTTAGAATGCCTTCATCATCGTTCAAGTGATAACCCCGCCCCCACTGCCCTTCCTCCTTAATCACCTTCACCGTGATGAGCTGTTGCAAGGACTGCAACGTTTCCCGCAGTTTATCTGTCCCGAATGTTGACCACACTTGCGCTAGCTTCGCCTGGCCTTTGACTGACAACTGACCAAGGGCTCGACAAAACACAGGAAATGCACTTTCAATAAATTCTGGGCTGTGAAGGAGTGGAATCTCTAGCACTATGATGAAGATGTTGATATAGTTGGGATCACGATCATACGCATGGTGGTATTTCAAATCCATATCAACTGTGTTTGAGAGAACAAGAAGTGCGTGATTCAGAGCCCCCTGAAATGGATGATCAGGAATATCCATTAATATTGAATACATCTCCCGTAAAGAGTCTAGATCTAATGTATGTTCATTATGTATATCCGATACCGAGAGTGGGGCAGTGGCTGTTGCCATGGCACTTGCTCCACAAGTCTCCTGAACTGGATTAGAAAGAGACCCTTCCCCTTCTCCCTGTACTTTAGCTGACTTTTCTTCAATCTCTGGCTTGCTTTCAGTTTTCCGGAAACTCCGCAGGAGTGACTCCGGATTATTGAACACTTCTCCAATAGTTCTTATCAGTTCTGCCCAGTCGCTTTGTGCTTTACACCTTTCAACTACTCCCTTCATTTTCTCAAGTGTTAGGAATTTCACTTCTGGAACTGAAAAATTAAAAAATATTCATTAGGACAAAACCATTAAGACAGTTTGATTTTTTAACCAAATATTATTAGAAACATCAACATTCGTACGAAGGACACTGTTCTATAAACATGAATGATTAATGAAGAAATTTGATGAGCAAAACAATTACACTGGTAACAATACTACAATGTACCTGGATAGAAAGTAACTTTGTGTCACTTACCCACAGCCTAATATCGTGCCACAAGCTTTAAACATTTTACACTTTTCTAGCCATCAAAATATAAAAACATTTACTAGGCTAAATAGAGATTCTATATAAGAGCCCCCATAGAGCCTGAAACTCTTGGTTGGTTTGTTGGTTTGTTGGTTTGTTGTTTAACACCGCACTCAGCAATATTCCAGCTATAGGACGGTAAATAATCGAGTCTGGACCAGACAATTCAGTGATTAATATTATGAGCATCGATCCACGCAATTGGGATCGATGACATGCATCAACCAAGTCAGTGAGCCTGACCACCCGATCCCGTTAGTCGCCTTTTACGGCAAGCATGGGTTGCTGAAGACCTATTCTACCCCGGAATCTTCATGGTCGCCTGAAACTCTACTAGCCCACGGTATACCTTTAACTCATGCTATTGGGCTGGTGCCAACTCCTATCCCTGAGTCAGCCCAACCCCAGTTTACCATCCAGCTCATGTGTTACTCCTTGTTCTTGGAAGCTGGTTACTGAATAGAAGTGATCAGGTGGAAAGGGCACAAAAATGGGTTTCTAAGTCGACCTGTCACTCAACCATTATGAATTTTTCAAAATGAAAGATTAACTTTATTGCAGCCAGTGACATGCAGAACATGTTCCATGAAAAGTTTGCTTGTTTGTTTGTTGCTTAACGCCACACTCAGCAATATTTCAGCTATATGATGGTGGTCTGTAATTTATCGAGTCTGGGGAAGACCATCTAGTGATTGACATTATACAGTCAAGCCTCATTAATCCGACAATCGGCTTTATCCGACACTAATGATGGGAGCTGATTAAATCAGTGCTATTTAGACCCGTTAATCCGACAGTCTGGCACTCTGACTCCCACACACCTAACTTGCAACAAATTACAGAAATCATGCATTAATCAGTCTCGTTAATCCGACACAGTGATCAGCGTACTCCGTGTTAATTTGCCAACAATGTAACATAACAATAAGAATATTTCATTTTTTTTATTACGTGTTTGTATCGTTATCTATCGTGTAGTTGTTCCATTTTCTGATACTACTTAATCGGTATCCGACTTATCCGACATACTCGTTAATCCAACATAATCATATGCAACCAACTATGTCAGATTAACAGGACTTGCAGTATTATGATAATCAATCCACGCAACTCTAATTGTTATCTATCGTGTAGTTGTTCGATTTACGATCACGAACGCCGATACTACTTAATCAGTATCCGACTTATCCGACATACTCGTTAATCCAACATAATCATATGCAACCAACTATGTCGGATTAACAGGACTTGCAGTATTATGATAATCAATCCACGCAACTCTAATTGTTATCTATCGTGTAGTTGTTCGATTTACGATCACGAACGCCGATACTACTTAATCAGTATCCGACTTATCCGACATACTCGTTAATCCAACATAATCATATGCAACCAACTATGTCGGATTAACAGAACTTGACTGTATTATGATAATCAATCCACGCAACTCTAATTGTTATCTATCGTGTAGTTGTTCGATTTACGATCACAAACGCCGATACTACTTAATCAGTATCCGACTTATCCGACATACTCGTTAATCCAACATAATCATATGCAACCAACTATGTCGGATTAACAGGACTTGCAGTATTATGATAATCAATCCACGCAACTCTAATTGTTATCTATCGTGTAGTTGTTCGATTTACGATCACGAACGCCGATACTACTTAATCAGTATCCGACTTATCCGACATACTCGTTAATCCAACATAATCATATGCAACCAACTATGTCGGATTAACAGAACTTGACTGTATTATGATAATCAATCCACGCAACTCTAAATGATTTATCACAGTGTCACTGTGACCCTATTATTTCAAGCCTCTTGATGACTACACGTGTGTTTCAATTACTGACACACACTATGAAATACTTTGATGTTTTGAGTAGCTAATGATACTTCACTCATAAGAATGAAGCATGAGTCTGAAGCATGTATATTCTATATCATATTAAATTTATCTCCATGTCAAATTGTACTGGCTTGTAATGAGAAAGTTCAATTTTTACTTTACATCGAAATATCTCAGGCATACACCAATATGTTGGGAAGGAGCTATATTTGTCTGTGAGGAAAATATCAAAATCAGCATGCCTTTGGCCCCGACATTGAACACAACCTACTTCTTGTGTATATCTTGGCCTCAGAGGCAATACTTTTGCTGCTGATGTGGCCTGATGTTGAGGCACCATCCCCATCAGGCTTGTTTGCTTTTGATGAAGTGCCTTGGCTGGTTTCTTGGACGGGAAACTTGGCCACTTTCTTGGGCTGTTGATCACAGAGATCCGCCTTCTCTTGGCACAACTTCATGGCATGGACTGCTAGCTGATTGCGGTCGATGTGCTTGTAACAGAACCCAGGGCACGATGCACATGCCTTGTTGGCGCAGTCTGCCTTGCCACACCCATCTGTCAGCTGAGTGTAGTACTTCTCAATCAGCTGGCGCACTGCTGCTCGTTTCCTGATAATTTAGATGTACATGCAACATGTTGAAGGTAAGAAACTGCTTTTGTTTTCATTCAGGGTGTGCAGTGTTTTTAGCTTGCTCTTTTCAGTAATTATATAACGACCTCGGTAGACCTAGTGGAGAGAGGGGGGAAAGGTGGAAGGTTGGTCATACGATCTCACCCTAATTTCAAACACTACGTTTTACCCCATTGATAACTATCACTGTATCCAAAAAAATCTGAATATGAATTGCATAGGTTCATTACAATTTTAATTTTTTTACATAAAAATAGAAAACATCCAACGAATGTATGTACTTTCATACTGTAATAAGTTTGAAAAATATAGACACTGATGTTTAAGCCAGTTGGACAATATCAATTCAAAAATTACTGGTCCTAATTAATGTTTATCATATTTACTAGTGTCAAAGAAAGATTATCTAGAAATCCTTGAAACTCATTTTAAGTCAGTAAAATTCAATGTTCATGTATGCCAGCTGTGGTGAGGTGAGGAGAGGTGAAATTTGGTTTAACATCGCGTCAAGGATTATTGCACTTATATAGCGATGTGCATGTACGTGTGTGGCTGCTTGTACTAGTTCGGACTGATGCCGATTTATAGTGCTAGCCCACTGAGATACCATGCCGCAGTTTAACATGAATACCCCACTCAGACACAGTATACTGACTCCAAGCCGACCAGTCCTTGTTTTAGCCCCTTAATGCCGAGCGCCAGACAGGGTAACAACAAGTACCATCTTCAAACGTCTTTTGGTATGACGCGGATCAAACACCGGACCTTCCACTCTCTACCACTAGACCACGGAGGCAGTCCGGAGCATACATGAACTATACACGGCAATTTGTAAACTTACATGTTGTCCTCACTCTTAGGCAGAGCACTGGCACCAGTGGAAGCTTGGGTATCAGAGACACTGAAATATTAGTTGTTACGTTATACGGCATATTATCGAAAGTAAACTTTAATGAGGAACTCAGACAAAAAGAAACAAATGTAAGGGATGTCACCGTGGCCACTATCTTATCTTTGTTTTTGGTCTAATGCGGCAATCAGCAATATTCAAGCTGTATGGTGCAAGCTGTTTAATGGAGTCTGGACCAAACAATCCAGTGATTGATATTATGAGTAACAATCCATGCCGACAGAATACAATCAAATGCAATCAACCCCGCCTGAAACTTTAGTGAAAGCTTGATTCATTAAATCGTCCCATTTGACAAGCATAGGTTGCTGGGGACCATTTTTAACCCAGAACCCCCAAAGGGTTCATGAATGCTACGAGTAAGAGCTATCAAACTGAGTCATGCTATGCAAAGGTTTCTTTGGATATACCGTATTCGACGTAATAAGCGCCCCGCTCTAATAAGCGCCCACGGCGATATTTGCTAATATATTTGCTAGTGAACAATCCCAATCAGCACCCCTTCCGATTGATCAATGTACACAAGACTTATTTATTTGTGTATATTATGCACTCGTGTGTTATATCACCCTTAATTAAGGGCAATTAAATTCTTGAAAAATATATCTGTCGTATGTAAACATTTCAGGCTGTTAGCATAAACCACGAAATTTACAATCTTTCAACTCAAAATAATATTCTAATAAGCGCCCCCTATTTCTAATTTTGAGAGTGCCCTGGGCGCTTATTACGTTGATTACGGTAATTTTGTTTATGTTGTGGCAGCCTAATGGGATGTATAATTAGTTTCTCCTATCCTCACAGTAATAACTAAATCCTGTTCTAGTTACAAACAAAGCTATTGTTTACCAGAGTGACAAGGAAGCAAGCAAAGATCTATATAAAGAACATTTCAACTGTTTCGCTTATTGATGAGGATGGATAACAACAAAATCATAACACAATGGCAATCTGTAGAATCTGGCCATATACCCTTCATAAAGTTTCTGGTCAGGTAGAAAAGTTTGTCTTCTAATTTGTGCAGATCATCTGCATCACGGCTGCATCATATGATCAGCAATTGACTCTGGCAGTCAGGTGACTAAAACTATGGAAAGAAAGAAACGTGATTTCCATTTACATCACTTACAAAAGGAAACTGAATTCATACTTTGTTTTACAGTGTTCAACTTCAAACATCAGAATTTTAACTTCAAACATCAGTATTTCATAAGATGAAATGCCATCTGATTGACTTGTGGGAATATTACATGACACAAAATGTCGCATAAATGACATAATTGGGAATAAATGAAGGAAAAGTAAGGCTTAAAAAAAAACACGAATTGGTCCCCAGGCATTGGTTTTTGTAAATATAGTGCGGGGGGTGTTTTTATTTTTTCGTTGTTTTTGTTTTTCTGTTTTTTGGGGGGGGTGGGGGGACCAGACTAGTACATAACCAAATAAACATCTGTGTACAATCAACCTGGGAAAGGGCTGGAATACAGTATTTAACTACTGTTGGACTACCAGGGTGTGCATAATACATGCATACAATGAGCTTTGGTTTGACGTTATCATGAGAACAACACCAGCAGAAGCATGTCAACAAATCCGTACTGAAGTATGCAAGTTAATCCTGGTACACAATCTGGCTATGAAAGTGTTCATTGTGTATCGGTTGAAATCTATTAAATTACTTTTATCCAACATTTCATTCAATTTTATTTGCATTAATTTCGGAGAAATCAAGTATGATCTGATCGGCAAATCACTTTCCTTGAAGTGAACATTAGTCGTTAGCAATACAAAGTCTTCGGTCTTCCTATCACTGGAGTGAAAATTCTTTTCAGTTATGATATTGGCCATGACATTAAGTATTTCTTAAACTAAATCACACATAGATTGGGGAGAAAATGTGTGAACAGCTGACTGCTTATTCCGGTTTATTTTACGAGACAAATACACCTGTAATATTAATCTATGCGTATGAAACATCGTCTGGCATACACTACACAAATACAGCTGAATTTGTAAATCATCATGTCTAGTGATGTTTTATAAAAAAAATCAGGTTTTCATTGACCAAATTTGAAAATGGCAAACAAGCACACAAACACCTATTACCATCATGACCATATGCGCAGTAAAGCATTGCAGTAGCTGCATGTTAAATAGGATTGCATTATTTTTAAGTATTGTAGCATTTCACTGCCAGTATTGTGTGTTAGAGACGCGGAATATTTAAGGATTTTTAAAGAAAATGGAAATAGAAATGAAACGTGTGGCAGACTAAATGATGATGTGTTGGCGGTGCCTGAGAACCAAGACTGTTATTTTTTAAGTCTATCCCAATGTCATTAAAAAAACACTTTAATAGCTTTAATATAAATTAAGATTCAAGTATTTCAATATCAAATTTTGAGGTTAATTGTTTCCTTTGCTTTAAGTTTGAATATATCAGACAGTGTTTCTGATTTCACTGGTTGGGTATTCTGTAGATAACATTTTTCTTTTGCAATAGGGATAGGGTTACCTCACCTTGAAATGTGGTGAGTGACATCGATATTATGAATACACAATGGCATCTACAAATTCTAGTACTTTTAGGGGTCGAGTCCCATCTTGGATTTGAACACACACACTCAGAGTGAGGCACCAAATGGTCAGCACACAGAGGCAGCTATCTAACCTACTCAGCCACCGAGACTTACACGAAATGAAAGTCTAACAACTGGTAGTCTACATAACATACTCGGTGTACCCCTCTGACAATTGTTATGCTCCCTTGAAAGCTATGAATACACCATGCCATTTAGAAAGTGGTCAAATGTAACAAATGTTATTTGTGACATCAGCGTTAGTCAAGGAGAAATCTCAATGAAATATGTGATCTATTTGCTATCTGCAAATATTTACGACACACTATGTTTAATAAAGACACAAACAAATCCCAGTCAAGTAAGATATCCATATTTAGGTCCAATAGATAGGATATTTTTTAACTGCGAGTATATGGGACACCTGTGATAAATTCAGAGCTGTTAACCCTACAGTGCACACTGACAGTCTGGCAACAATGCAGTACACCGGGCACAGCTAAAGATAGTGTTAACTGGCGCAGGCTGCCGACTGTGGCTCTCACTTCACAGATCTCGCATGCCTCTTTGATCCTAAGGGTTAGTTGGGTTAGGGTAGGTAACACCCAAATCTATCCTTAGCTCTTGAATCCCCTTTCCAATGAAGCAACCCTTTACAATCATTTGGGTTAGGAACCCCATTACGATTATAAGGGTCAGTTGTGAGGTAGGGTATGGGATAGCTTTCTCTTATAATGAATTAATCCAACATAACTTGAGGAAACTCCATGCAAGTTTTATAAAGTTTCACGGAAGAAAATGGGTACTGCACATGAACATAAACAATCAGGTGCTGATGACTTGGTAAACGAGTACTAATTATTTGTGATAGCGCCTGTGGTACCGAGGTAGGGTGTTTGCTTATTAGATTAACTAATTAGAAGAGCTTAGCTTCAGGGTGAGTGAGTGAGTGAGTGAGTGAGTGAGTGAGTGAGTGAGTGAGTGAGTGAGTATGGTTTAACGCCGCTTTTAGCAGTATTCCAGCAATATCACAGCGGGGGTCACCAAAAATGGGCTTCACACATTGTACCCATGTCAGGAATCGAACCCGGGTCTCCGGCGTGACGAGCGAACGCTTTAACCACTAGGCTACCCGACCGCCCCAGCTTAGCTTCAAGCTGGCAACGCGACTCTTATTGAATCCAACAAAGTGCACTACTCTTTGTGGTACTGTATTCTAAAGGTGCTCCCGGTCTTTCAAAGGCTAAACACAAAAGTATTGTTTCGTATCAAGGACAAGATTAACCTTGAATGTTTCACCAATGAAAGAAAATCCCCCCTGGTCTAAAAGCAAATGAAAAGTAATGAGATTTTTTGGCCCGTGATGAGATTTTGCAAATTTTCAGAGAAATTTTGTCTTCCTACAGTGGAAACTGCATTTAATATTCGGTATTTGTGATTCGAATTACCGTACGTTGCAATTAATGTTACAAGATTATAAAGATACATCCTCCGATATTTTCCAACATTAATTATTCCAGTGTGAATATTTAAAAATATTACCATCAGTATCAACAAAAAATGCATTAGTATTTATATTTCTGTTCATTGTCTACTTTAGGAGAAAATACATTAATATTAATGTATTTCAGTCCATTGTCCACTTTAGGAGGAATTATTTGCAAGAATAATTACAGATAAGGCATGTTTACCACCATCAGCTGTTCATTTCATTGGCATGCGGGGAACAAACAATTTCTAGGTCTTCGACAATGTCTGTTAAGATCGTAACTTAATATATTCAAAGCGATGACATGAAATAGCGACAGTTTTAAATGGTGTGCCTGTAGCGTGTACTGTATCAAAGACCCGGTGTCTGACCGTATCAAATGAAATCTTATCAATATGGACTTTTTTAAATAATTAGAAGTGACAGTTCATTATACAGTGACTTTTGCTCCAGGTTCACCCTTTTGTTTAAATTAGCAACAATTAAGTCATTTATTTTCTGTAGAAGGCAGCATGTTTGCCATGTGCAGCAGCCAGAAAATGTTTACGAGTAACCTGAAGTTAAAAAGATTGTTGACATTCACATGAGTTACATTTGAATGATTATCATAGCATATTCTAAAAAATCTCCAACTTGTTGTTTGGCCACTAGAAATAGTTCAAATTCGTAATTCATGAACATTGGCCATTTTTGCAAGAAGGTATACGTTCATGAAACCAGTGATGTCTTATCTAAAGTCTAGGCGATTCTCATCTTAAATACGACCGTTTGTGATCTGAACTTTGCATATTCATATGGAGAAAGAGTTGTATGTATATTCATTTTGGTTTGGTTTTGTCATTCCAAAATACATGTACATCCTTGATTTCTGCTAGGATTTAAGTGACAAAAAGTGAGTGAGTGAGTATGGTTTTACGCCGCTTTTAGCAATATTCCCGCAATATCACGGTGGGGGACACCAGAAATGGGCTTCACACATTGTACCCATGTCGGGAATCAAGCCCGGGTCTTCGGCGTGACGAGCGAACGCTTTAACCACTAGGCTACCCGATCGCCCCTAAGTGACAAAAATTTCAAATATTCTCGAGGTACGCACATACAGCACAATGTAAAATGCCTCATTGTATTTGAAAATGTTGGCCTAGAATTATCCCTTGTAGATAATTTTATTCAAGCAATACAACTTCTTCAATGTTTGAAGGTGGAAATGAGAGTGTCAATGCGGATAAACTATTGAAAGATGTACGCTATTTTCAATTGCTCTGAATTAATGTTGATGCAATATCTGTGACAACTGCGAGAATATCCCGGAATCACGGCCTAAGTCAATCCCCGGGTATTGATTGCATCTAGCCTAATTCCAAAATTAGGTAGGTGTCCTAATATTAGCAAGTAGCTTTTGAAACAAACAATAGCCGCATTAGCCTGTATATTTTGACATAAGACATCCACATACATGAGAATGCATCTGGAAGGTGTGATAGATGGGTTATTAAAAAGTTACATGACACTGTTATTATGGTTTTGGTACTGTTTTGATTTCGGCCGTCAGTGATACCAATTTGTAGAGAAATATCTCATGAATGTGTGTGCTTGGCATTAGGTTATTTGTGCCATTTATTACCTGCTGATTCTATAACGACAGCGTAGTATAACAATTCACAAAAAAACAGAGATACTAATTAAAGAAACGCACAACATTAAAAACATTTTTTACGCAATTCAAACTGAGGCTGTGGTGTGAGTATTTCGACTGGCGATTGTCATTTTACCTTGCGGCTTCGATCCCGCCTTGTGAGGTTTCTTTATCCTTTGAATTCATACGCAGCTTTATCACCTAGGGATTTCTTTCGTTTTTATCAACACCCTTCCCCCAGTGTGACTATAACAACTAAAAGAAACAGGTGGCTGACCAACACAAATTGTCAAACCATCGCCATTTTCTTTCACTCCTCTTCGCGTTGTTATGAGATTATCGGAATTATTATAAAGCATCTTATTTCCTTGACTAAGTCGTTTAGATATCTGGATTTTTTTATTATTTTACAATATATCACCTCATATTGGATGAAATATAATTTATTTCGAACATCGTCATAAAAATAACTCGTCTAATGTGTTCCCACAATTCCTAAACCAACATGTCAGCTCCCACGTCGGCGAGACATTCAGAAGTTGGAAGCATCTAAATAATATCAGAACGACAGAAGAAAACAGAGCAAACATTACTGGTACCGACCCATGGGAACAATGATTTCATTAATGGTTTTGTGTTCATTTTACGTGTTGATCACAGAGAGATTTTTTGCTGGATGGTCATAATCCGGCGGCATTGTCGTCTTTGCGCACCTGTTAGATTTTGACAAGATGGAACAGAATGATCCAGAAACGAAACAGACGTTTAATGACTGTCATTGTGTCGGTGTCAAGTTGTTTTACCCGCATTTACATAATTTTGGCTTGTGACGCTTCTTGTTATTGTTTATCTTAGTAAAATGAAACTACGAATAATTTATTATTTCTCAGCAAAACATTACATTTTACATTAGCCAAGCGATATTCTGTCATTTTAGCTTTTCTGGGTTTTTTTCTCTACGCATAAGACTTGTTTGAAGTGTTTGTGATGAAGGACTTGTTAGCTATCTGCAAGTCTACAGTACCAAGCAAGATTTCTCACATGTAGACACCGCAGTGAAGCCCTAATTTCGACTTGGCTTCAACTCTGCTAGGCCTACTACTGCGGTGTTTACTTGAATAATCTCTTTTGGGTTTTGTACCAAAAATATATAACTGAGATGTCATGTACAGAAAGGGAATTTCATTGTAACATGTTCAGGTCACATGTTTCTTTCGCTGATCAAGCCTTGGGTCATCACTAAGCATTTTATTCATGCAGCTGTCAATATGAGTGTGTTTTCTGTGTTATAACTTGTTTCAGTGACATATGATTCAGGTCAGAGTTAATATTCTTTCCCCAATCTTCCATAGCTGATAGACAACATGGTATTCTTAACATTATATGGCCCATGTTGTAAATAATATTGTTATACCCAAATATGTTTGACAAATTTGTTTTTAAATATAACCTTGTAGTTGTATTCATGAATACATGACACTTTTTTTATGGATAGCAACTTCTTTAATTCCTTGTCACCACATTCCAGAGCTACTTCTTGCTCCTTCATCAGGTGAATCGGATAAATGTACAAAGATTACAATATAAAGACAAAGCCCATGACATAGGATTAATGTATAAAGATAACAATATAATGATGAAGCTAATGAGATTGGTAGGAGTAGATTAATTAAGTACACCGAAAGTGTTGTGATGACAAGGATCTGGCTATTGTGACACAAGCAATAAGGCAATCAATGTATCCATTGTAGTTGATGATGCGATTATAGCACAGGGGAGTACACAATGGGTAGGTGTGTGTGTGTCAGATACCTTGGTCCCTGTTAATGGCTGGCTTCTTTCTTTGGATTTCAATGCTTTCTTGAAGTTTCCTCTTTTTCCAATGACTGATTTTGGTATGGAGTATCTTGTTTTGTGGCCAGGAAATATGGTGGTCAATATTTTTGATGACATGTTCCGAAAGGGCAGATTTCATGTCAGATTCTTCAACAAGTGTCTTGTGTTCTTTTATTCTGTTGGCTATGGAGCGTGAAGTCTCTCCAATTTTTTTGTGTCCACAGTTGCATGATATCTAATACACATATATATATATATCAACTTGTTCCTGTCGTTACATGACTGAAATAATGCCGATGCGATGTTAAATTGTAACTTACTCTTAACATTTGGGTTTTGGGCTACAATGTTTTATACATACTTAGATATATTTTTGAAAATATTTTAACTGGTTTTCCTGTGATTATTTGCTGAGTGTGTTTCTGTATCATAAATATCATATGTCATATAATGTCATTCTTAAAACAATTGATGTTTAAATGTAATTTCCCTCAATTAGAGAACTTTTAGAAGCTGCATATGAATACAGTCTTTCAGTGAACAACCCCATTTATCTTTGTGTCAAAAGATGTGCAGCAATAATCATAATCACCATCAAAGAACTTCCAGTACCTAAACTTATTGGGCACATTAGCAGGTTAGTCAGTAGTTTATTGCGTAGGATTCTGCTGTATGACCTCATTTACATATGTATCAGATTGTAAAACCTGGTGCATCAGATTGGTTAATCACATCAAGAATACTCTCCATTATATGATAAATAATATTAACTATTCAGAGCCAGTGTTTAAAATATAATGAGATGCTTTTGACATTTGCAGACTTGGAGCCGAATGTCAGCCTCTGACTAAGCAAGTCTAGATAAATCCCTGTACTGCGCAACTCACTCAAACTCTCTTGTTTAGTTTGTAGATGGATGCGACTCCCGCATACTTGAAAGGGAGGGGCCGTGGAAGAGGGAGGGGTGCCGGAGACCATCAACCAAACAAAAACAACCAAGTTGGCGGCCCTGCCTGGAATAGGAACAAGGCTGAAGGTAACAGGGCAAAACACTTGTATACTAGACATTTAAAACTAGCTAACTACCCAAGGCTAATAAACTGTATTGTAAACTTCATGATAAAATTGAGGGCTGTAGTTCAGTCTCTTAGATCATTATTGATCTAGAATTCTAAACAAAGTGCACTTGATGGGCAAATTGTGAAAAAAAACTTTGTCATTTATTTATGTTTTTTGTAATGTGTAACATTGCATTCAATGTGATAATGTATAAGCAACCATTAAAGTATCTTCTTTATTTAGGGGCGGTCGGGTAGCCTAGTGGCTAAAGTGTTAGCTCGTCACGCCGAAGACCCGGGTTCGAATCGACATGGGTACAATGTGTGAAGTCCATTTCTGGTGTCCCCCGCCATGATATGGCTGGAATATTGCTAAAAGCGGCGTAAAACCTCACTCACTCACTCACTCTTCTTTATTCAAGACAAGTCATTTCTGCTCAGTCATGACATTAACTATAACTATCATGTTAATAATGACCAGCGCTGAGAAATTTTGAATTCCAATTTTGGGAATTTTACAAATTAGAATTTTTTTTATGAATAACAAGTTCTTTATTTACTGTAGAGGTGACGTTTCAGTGTAGATCCTTATACATCGCCTTTGCAGTAAATAAAGAAGTTGTTATCCATAAACAATTTTCTAATTCATCCGTCAACTTCTAAGTAATGCCTATCAAACAATTTGGAATTTTATCTAAAATTTCCTGCAGATTTAGGGTCGAATATCGGCCCCTGAGCTGGTTTAGAAAAAATTCCTATCGTCCAAATCGTGATGTTCTGATTGGATGAGTACACATAAAGAGCTTCTGGCAATGTATTGTAGTTGAATTTTATCTTTTGTTTTCTTTCAAAATATTTTTCTTTTTAGATGATAAATCTGCCCAAGATCGGTTCAAGGAAGTTAGTGCGTCTCATCAGCAGTCGATACAGCGCCACCTGGAGGACAATTGCGTGGAGTCGGAAAGTTCCGAGGAGGAAGATGACATTGGAAACAATGTCTTGGAATCAATATTCAGTGGATATTCAAAGAACTATAGTAAGCTCTTCTCCAGAGGAATACCTTGTTGATTAAGTATTCCTGTCACAAGAATAGTCACTAATCTCTCAGAGCGATAGACATGTAGTGTTTTCAAATGTGCCACAAGGCGCTGATAAAAACATCATGTGCCGTTTGGAATTTTAATTGTGGCAACCAGAAGAATAATTTTAAATTCAAACAGAAATCGGTCTTCTAAAAATCTGTTCTTGTTCAAGTGTTCATCAATTTCAATGTTTGTTCAGTTTACTTGTGCAAAGTAATTTTCTCACTGATTTCACCCAATGAATGTAGTCACAAGGTACTTGCTAGACTAATCCTAATTGAACAAGAATAAGCAATTCATCCTCTTGTAATGAATATGGGACCTTGACCTTGTGTTTCAGGTGGTGTCAGTGTAGATGTGAACAAGGCCCAGGATGACCTAATTCACTCGTTCCGATCGGGCACATCAGCTTGCCTTGTGTGTATTGACACCATCAAGAGAGAAGAACCAGTAAGTGAATTGCTATCTTCCTCACCATCATCATGTTAGTAATGCATTTATCCCACAGTTGGGCAGTGGGGCACATACACCCTAGCCCATTAAAACACCATAACAGGCGATGTGACCCCTTCATGGTAGTCCCACGGGTGGCCCAGTCGTCTAAGGCGCCGCGATTCGCTGTGCAGAGTTGCGTCCCTTGGGCATGCCAGAAACCTATGATTGTGGGTTTGAATCCCAGTTCACCTCGATTATGTTTCAAGGTTTGTCAGCACCATGCCCGTGCTCGTGGGTGTCACCGAAGTGTTAAAAATCTGAGACCTGCATCACTTGGGGCTTTCCTCCCACATTAAGCTGACACACCGCGATATAACTGGAATACTGTTAAAAGCGATGTTAAACCCAACTCACTCACACTACATTTAATGCCATGTCCTGATCTGTTTCCCGTTGTCAATACACCAGCATCTGAGTGCCAGTGGTAGCTGCAGAGGTCAAATGTCTGCGAAGGAGTCTCTTTGAAGCCGTTCCTCCCAACCCATCACATATTCGTATACGCCTCAACCGTGGACTGGGGAGTTCATCTCTTAGATCTTCAAGTGACAGGGCTCTGGCCCGATGAAGAATAGAGGGTCCATATCAACAACTTGTAATTCAAGGCAATCATCCTGGTAGTATCCCATTGGTGCCAGATTTAGTCATACAATCTATTAGTAGCTCATTCAAGTCAGCGTCCCTCCTGTCGATGGCTCTGGAGTTCTTCCGGCTGGTGGGCAGTCAGGTAGCCTAGTGGTTTAAGCGTTCGCTCATCACGCCAAAGACCTGGGTTCGAATCCCGACATGGGTACATTGTGTAAAGCCCATTTTCTGGTGTCCCCCGCCGTGGTATTGCTGGAATATTGCTAAAAGTGGCGTAAAACCAAACTCACTCACTCTTCCGGCTGGTCTACTCTCTGTGTCTACATGTTCAAGCAAGAGCAATCCCAGGGATCCTCAGCCTAGCAGACTCCCTGTCCATACCAGACCAACCACCCACCCCCAAAGGAATTGCGTCTCCTTCCAACGATTTTCCAGGGATTTGCTGCCCAAATACAAGCCCAAATGTTGACCTCTTTGCATCCAGTTTTAATGCTCACCTCCCAATATGGCTCGGGGCAGTCGGGTAGCCTAGTGGTTAAAGCGTTTGCTCGTCACGCCAAAGACCTTGGTTCGATTCCCGACATGGGTACAATGTGTGAAGCCCATTTAAGGTGTCCCCTGCCGTGATATCGCTGGAATATTGCTAAAAGCGGCATAAAACCATACTCACTCACTCACTCCCAATATGGCTCCTCTCCAGAAGTCACTTGTCACCAAAGGGTATTCAAAGAGAGCGGCCAAGACCATCTCTGAGGCTCACCACACCTCCACCAAGGCCTTATGTGACAATAAATGGAAGGCATTTGAAAGTTACTGTCGGGCTCGTGACATCACTAAGCCGACCAATGCTTCTCCCCAACAGGAAACTTTGGCTACTTATCGCTACTTATCAACTCCATCATCTCGACAGTTGTTGAGCTACAGTACCTCATTCAGTCCTACGAGTTGGCTGACCAATCGTCCCCAATTCCATCCCCCTACTTAGGATCTCAATGTCATCCTCTGCAATCTGATGTCTGCAGTATATGAACCACTAGCTCTGCTCGACTATCCCTTGTGCCTACGCCTTCACTGGGCAGCTTCCTCCTGTGGCAAATCCACATGAGCCATCGCCTCTCCAATGCCCTCGCACAGCAACAGCACCCTGTCCACCATCATGGAGGGTTGTTTTTGTTAGTCTGACACAGTCTTCACTTCCCAATCTCAGTCACCGACAGTCACTCCATCAATTTGGTCCCTTGGTCCTGGCGAAACAGTTGACAGGTGCCCACCATGTACCCACTCCTGCAGCTCTCTCCATGGTTTATTGTCATTGTTATTCGGGTTCCCAGACTTAGAACCCAATGGAGGGTGAAGTGACTCTTCTGTAGAGAGACACGTCTTCAACATCAAAGTCGCCGCAAGGCACTGCTATTTCGACGGTGTCCCAAACCCTTACCTGCTAACCTCTGCTTTGTGCGATTGCTGTCATAGTTTTTCGTTCCTCTTCTCATAATAGCATGCTTCAATCCTGCGGATGTGATTGATAGCTTTGATGAAGTGGTAAAAGAGATGCCAAGCTGGCTCACCCTATTGGAGGAGAGAGTGGTCTGGGCTGTTTTGAAGAAGTGATTGCCTGGAGACCACTTCCGGATTGGCTATAAGTCGTGGCTGAATAGATCCCTATTCAAAGCTGCACCGTCGTTTGTGTAACGATGTCCTTCATGAAAATATGTAACACATGTTATACCTGATTTCATGATGTTACATCCGACTTATGTAAAGAGGTCACATTGCCTGTTATGGTGTTTTTGGGGGCTAGGGTATCTGCACCCCACTGTCCAACCATGGGATAAATGCATGGTGTGAGATAGGATAAGCATAAAAATTTGTAGATTTTACACTAAATACCGCATTTGACGTAAAAAGCGCCCATGGCAATATTTACTAATATATTGGCTAGTGAACAATCCCAATTAGCACCCTTCCAATTGATCAATGTACACAAAACTTATTTATTTATGTGTAATATGCACTCGTGTGTTATATGCACAATTAATTACATGCAATTAAATTCTGAAAAAATATATCCGTCGTGTATAATACGCACAGACTTTTCTTTTGGATCATTTCAGGCTGTCAGCATAAACCACAAAATTTACGATCTTTGAACTCTTTCACCCAAATTATATCCTAATAAGAGCCCCCTATAATTTTGAGAGTACCCAAATACGGTAGTATATGTCATATAATTATCCTATCTCACATGCTATATGCCCTCCAAACCATCCCCGCATCACCATAGTCTCTAACCATAGATACTAGCTCACTGAACGTTGGGTTGTACGTTATTCCTCATGGTGACATCATATCTTGTTCAAGACATAAGAACATCAGTATTTTTGCCGAAAATATTGAATGTCAGCTTTTAAAAGTGTCTGTCTTTGTTGACATTATAAACTGTTGACTTCCTATCCAGGTGAGCTACAGTGCCTGGGCACTATTTGTCTTGATTTGTCAGCACTGTATCCATGAGACGTCGCTAGTATTGTGTCTGATACTTATTTTCTAATGTTGACACTGTCTTTGTTCAGATCTGGAACTGTAAAGGGTGTGCTTGCATGTTCCACATCCCCTGTATACAGAAGTGGGTCCGAGAGGGCGTCTACCAACAAGTCTATCAGTCCCAGGACGATATTGGACCCACATCAGCTCTACCCTGGTTTTGGTGAGTTTTGTTTTGTCTGTTTGTTGTTTAACGCTTCACTCAGCAATATTCCAGCTACATGACTGGTTTGTAAATAACAGTCTGGACCAGACGGTCCTGTGATTGACATCATAAGCATCTACCTACATGGTTGGAATACGATGACATGCATCAACTAATTCAGCAAGCCTGACAACCCGATCCCGTTAGTCAACTCTTATGACAAGCATGGATTGCTGAAGGCCAATTCTAACCCGGATGTTTATGGGTTGATTTTGATCGGTATTTAGGTGTTAAATGTACCACATAGATAACAGCTCACTACAATGCTAGCAGTCACTGCAATAGATTTGGTTACAGGCCGGCAACGCCACATTTCGAAAATAGATAGCCCAAATTGATGTGGCGCTCCCGGCAATGGTTATGGTTGCGTGATTGTATAATGTGGCTCTCACGGCTATGCTGTCAAAACATGCTTTGTGATTCTAACAGGTTACCGTATATAACAAAACAAGTCTTGTTTTCTCATTTCTTATTCAACAAGGATATATATTCATCAGAACTTTACATTGATGAATATGAATAGCATATGGATATCATAATGGATGATAACTGCAGATGAAGGATGTCGCCCACGTGGTCAGCATATTCCATCTCACTCAGGTGTTGGTTCAGGAGCTGGATCTTGAGGGACGCAATACGTGCATCGATTGCCTTGTACTTCTTTCTTCGTGAAGGTTCTGACCACTGGTGAGAGAGTCTCGCTCTCTCCATCAGTCTAGCCTTAAAGGCATCAACCTCAAACTCGAACGGTAGTGCGTCGTGGGAGTGACCCATGATCTCAATGGCGTGGAGCAACTCACCCTGAGTTGTGATCCTTGCAGTGCACTCCTTGACAATACAGGACCAGTATCTTCTTTCACCACGACTGCTCTTACACCGAAACTTAAAGCCATCATAGTATAAATGTACGCCTCCTCTGACACTTTCAATGAACTTTATTTGAACTTGTGCGTTTGCCATGGTTATGATATGGAGTGAACAAGACATCACTTAAATATGTTATGAATAACAGGATGAACTCAATTTCAATTAAGACGGCCTTTGATCTCTAAAGAACACCACGCTTAGTAATTTAAATGTGAGATACTCATTTAAAGGTATCTCTAAAGAACACCACGCTTCGTAATTTAAATGTGAGATACTCATTTAAAGGTATCTCTAAAGAACACCACGCTTAGTAATTTAAATGTGGGACACTCATTTAAAGGTATCGGTAATCGGATTAATTAATTACCCGCTAGAATAGGTGAAATGCACTCAGCTGGAAATGTGGCCCTACCGGCAATAGCCATTTCTGAAATGTGGCGCTCCCGGCTAGACACCATAGATTTGATTATTGACCAGCCGGTGTCATACAACTGGAGTATTGCTGAGTGCAACATTACACACGTAATGTACAAACAAACCTCCAAATGCTCACAATTTGTATACACCCACCCCTACATGCATCCCTCCCTTTGCAATTGTATTGGTGATTAGTCAGCAATAACCCATGTACGTGGCTTTCATAGAAGGAGGTGTGAAGCACAGAAACTGACAAAGGTAGGACACCAGATGCACTTTTCTTATGGCTAAATATGAAGTTAGTTTTAAGGCATTAACTTTTGAACTAATATTTTTAAGTAAGAAATGTTCAGAAATGTCTCAATCTTTTCTGTGCTTCTGATATTTGCAATCCACAGTTGGTATGAATAGCTGTATTTAAGAAATAATCAATGAGTAGGAGTTGTTTATCATACAATAAAACATAAAGGGAGAATAAAACATGAAGGGTGCAGCCCCGAGTGGTTTATTCCCCTTGCAGTGTTTTATTGTATGACAAGCAATGACAACGAGTTGTTTATTTCTTCTGTGAGATGTCAACATTTTGTACAGCCATTTTTACAGTTGTCAATAAAATGTACAAGCTTTGAAAACATTTACCCATGTTTAAATAACGATGACTACCTGAATACAATCTGACCTTGGCAATTTTGGACAAGTCCGTTTTATGTACAGGGGGTTTGGTTATGTTCATCTTCCCCAAGCAAGAGACTTCTGACTTTAGAAGTGCAGTTTCCACCCTTGCCGAACTGGGCTGTAATTCCTGGGCTCGATCGTAGCGCCACCAGTGGCTATTACAAGTCATGTCCCTTCTGAGCCTCTCCTATGGACCAATCAGATTCCACCTCTTGTATCACTTGCATTTGTATCAAACACAGAGCTTCAGATAAGCTGCGTATCTGCGTAAAATACACATCAGAAATGCAGAAATACGCAGTAAAATAAATTCCAAATGTATCAAATACGCAATGAACATTACAGATACGCTACAAAAATAAAACTCATCCAAATATCCAAATATTGTGAAGTAATCCTGCGTATTCGCTACGCAAATCAGCAACTTATTTTGAAATTATATACGGGCATTCCGTCAACCTTGCCAAACTCCACGATGACAGTTACATCATTATCATTTGCCATCACACTTTCTTGTGGAAGTATCGTGGTATTTTTTAGTCCTATAAAGCTCTCGAACCCACACGACACCAGTTTGCAGGGACTAGATGAATAGTGTTTTTTAATATTTAACTTAAATACCCACATGTGTAAAAACTAGTGGGTAACAGAAATTTGAATACCAAGATAGAATTACTGATACCCAATGATTTTAAAATGCATGGGTAAAATACCCACAACACCAAAAGCTTATCTGGAGCTCTGAAACAAAATGGCAGCGCCCAGTCAAGACGATCTGATCGATAATCAAGTTCTTTTGTGTGATAAAACGGGTCTTACATTGCGAAGTGCATCAAATTGCATGAGCACCTTGGTTAAAAACATGAAAAGATTTGGAAAATATTTGTTGACGAGTTGGCGGTGTACATGCTTTGCAAATCCTGCAATCGACCGAAATCTACACGACAGTTTACTGACCGGATTTCGATTTCATTGCGCGATTTCGATTGGACTATGCATAGACTCTTTAGTCCAGCCAAAATGTAACTCCATAATACCAGCCAAGTTCGGCAAGGGTGGAAACTGTACTTTTATAGTCAGTTAACTCTCTTGCCTCGGGAAGATGGGTTATGTTTGGTATTCTCACAATTTTCGCTTCAATTATCTGCACCTTTTCTCCCAGTACCGATTGTCATATCTCTCCCACTCTTGGATGCGGTCATTCGGCCATTGCATTCATCTAAGGCAACAACTCACTTGACAACCCTCTCAAAAATAATGTTGTCCAATTTACAACGTCATCAAGTTGCGAGTGCTTGTTCGAATTTCCAGAAATGACGTCATGATAGAACAATGTTTTATCGTGAAATAAGCCACTCATCGATCTTCATTGTTCTTTGTGATTTATCGCGTAGCTGTCTTATATATTTGTATAGCGTAATATTTATTCCATTGTTCATCATTGCATGGTGGCTGTACGTGTGTTCCAGCCCCAAGTGTCGCTATGAGTACCAGCAGAGCCAGTGCCCGAACAGGTACTTCTGTTTCTGTGGGAAGGTGCAGGATCCCAAGTTTGACCCGTGGCTAGTTCCCCACTCATGTGGTCAGAAGTGTGGTCGACAGCTCCGGCCGGACTGTGGACACGCCTGTCTCCTCCTCTGTCACCCAGGTACATATTCTACAGCCACGTACACTTAGTTAGGCCACCTGAATGTTTAACTGGTTCCACTGCATCAGCAGGTCCAAGCCCCAAGCTATGGTACCAATCTGTATAGGTCTGCATATCGTCCTCAGTTCCAATGAAAAAAAAACATGTCTGAAAGTTTTTTGCGATAAAACAAACTGCTCTGCTGATGTTAATTTTGGCAAGAACAATTTTACTTCACATACAAAATATAATGTAGTGTGCTATTTGTTTACGTGATACGAAGGACATATGCATGCTGTTTAAGTGACATCTTATCGCAAACTTTGATCCATCAGTAATACAGAGCTGTTGTTATCAATGCTATCCTGTATATACCTACCACCTGTATTCAATTACTGGCTGCTCGAGCAAGGGGAGATAATTTTGTTTTTAGACTGATGTGTTAATGAACCTATGAATTGGGATAAGGATTCGCTTCTACATGTACTTGTTCCAGACTATGGTCTAATAATAAGGCTAAAAAAATTAATAGTCTTTGTTCTTAGGCACTGCCCACATCATCCTTAAGTTCACCGCATATTGCATTTTTATTTTCATTTAAAAACAACAACAAAATCCTTTAATATTCAAAGTCCAAGGGTAGTGAAAAACTGTATTCCAGTATTTTACTCATCAAGGAATACATTTATGTAGGGAGGCCCTTTCCAGGTTGATTGTACACATTGTTTATATGGTAACACACCACTGTTTATGTGGTTACATACTATCATGAACAACACACACACACCCAATCCCCACCCCCCAAAAAAGACTCAGGCTGCCCGCACTATGTTTTCAAAAGCCATTGCCTGAGATGATGCTATCAGTCAAGGTGAATATGATGAAGATGTGCAAGAATCCTATGATCATGGGTTCAAATCCCTGGTTCGCCCTGATTATGTTGGTTTGTCAAGGTCGTAGACATCTAAAACCTACATCAATTCCAGCTTTCCTCCACATGAAGCTGACATGCTGCGATATAAAAGAAATACTGTTCAAAGTGGTGTTATATCCAACTCACTTGATCCTACAATTTCTTCCAGACAGCATTGTTGACATCATTCAAATCTTATTGTGACGTCAGGTCGGAATGACGTTACACTAGAAACGACGTCATAGCTGACGATTGTTGACGTCATTCGACATTGTGGTTCCACTGCTGTTTGGACTAGCAATCCTTATTGGCAAACACTAAAATTTGTCTCTGTATTTAGTCATCTTCGTCCGTAATAAATAGAACATTATATTCATGTTCATGTCAAACTATGTTTACGACACTCGAGCCTAAATTCCGCTATTTTGACACTCGTGTCGTAAACATATTATGAAATGAACACGAGTATAATATTCTCTATGTCTTCCTCCTTCCAGGACCATGTCCACCATGTCCCCAGATGGTCAAGTCCAAGTGTTACTGTGGACGCCAGCAGCCCCAGGTCAAGAGATGCAGTGGGAGAGAGTGGGCATGTGGTCAGCCATGTGGCCACAGACTGTCATGTGGTCAACACAACTGTCAACAGCCGTGTCACCCAGGTACCTCTTTCAACAGGCAGACCTTTCGACTAACATATTATCTTTGAAATCTTTTATTGTACATTGTTATACCTCTATTAAGATCTTTCAATTCCATTGTTTAATCCACATGACAGAACAATTCATTTCAATGTAGACCTCCAAATCATGTGACTGACACTGACCTCGAATATTGACTAGTCACATGATCAGTATTGACCGGTCACGTGATGAATATTGACACGTCTGCTGGAAAACAAGATGGCATCTGATACTACAGGATGGCGTTTGCAGCTAAGTTACTGAAATGTAACAGAAGACAGTTTAAAGGCTTCATAAACTTAAAAGATAATATTGGTATAACAAAACTAATGGTTACCCCTGATGAGGTCAATATGCGAAAACAAAGACCTTCGGACCCGACCTAATTGGTGGTCAGACCCCCTCAGGGGTTGGGTCCTTTGGGTCCTTGTTTTTGCATATTGACTTCTTCAAGAGATGTTACTGTACAATGTATTTTTTCTTCCAAACATGTATTTCATCCTTATAGCAAGACTCTTTTTGTAATCTGGTTTGGTTTTGATCCTATGCAGATGTTCCACAACCAGAGTGCAGCATGAGCATGCCTTGTGGAGCACAAATTATACAAATAGGAGTAATATTGCAGTGACACTTACAAACCGAAACAATCAAACGCAGTGTTGGTTGTACAATGGTCATCGTCAAACTACTCAATAGAAGTTAGGGACCACCAATTCTTTCATGTTTCTATAGTAATAAGAATCCGGTGTTCCTTAACTTCTTTTTGAGTAGTATAGTTTCGCAACCGACACATTGCCAACAGGAAAATGAATAGAGTTTCAACCCTTTTCACAAAGTAATCGATGAATACTACATAAATATATACAGTAGATCAGCATGAAGGTGACAGTTTCAGTGGTTTAGTGTTGATTAAGTCCAGACCGCCTCGGTGGTCTAGTGGTAGAGCGTCCGCCTGGAGAGCGGAAGGTCAGGGGTTCGATCCCCGGCCACGTCATACCAAAAGACGTTAAAAGATGGTACTTGTTGTTACCCTGTCTGGCACTCAGCATGAAGGGGCTAAAACAAGGACCAGTCAGCTCGGAGTCAGTATACTGTGTCTGAATGGGGTATTCATGTTAAACTGCGGCATGGTATCTCAGTGGGCTAGACTATAAATCGGCATCAGTCCAGACTAGTACAAACAGCCACACAAACACACACACGTACATGCACGTCACTATATAAGTGCAATAATCTTGGACGCGACATTAAACCCCATTTCACCTCACCTCACCTCACCTTGATTAAGTCAAGTGATGCTCGGAATTACTTCGGAATTTATGAACAAGCATTTAACATTTTTGCTCAACTTTGAAATGATTGATAATAATTGGTTGCTTTTCGGTTTTATGTGTCAAAGCACTTGTTTTTAACATTCATTTAAAGTTTTAAGAATCTTTTACATAAACGAAAACACTCAAATTAATGAATAAATATTGATGATGAATGTGTTGTGATCAAGACAATGACATATTTGACATGTGTGAAGTCATCAAGTATTCTGATGTGTCACTGTGAATGTCTGTAGATTGTCTTTGATTATCTTTTTCCACACTAAAACTGTTTCGTTGTTTTATGGTTTTCAGGGGAATGTTTACCTTGTCCGAAAACGAGTGTTCAGAGTTGTCTGTGTGGGAAGAAGTCCTCCACGCGGCCATGTGCCAGCCCCCAGTGGAAGTGTGACCAGGTAGGGACGCCACCTACACACCAGCTCACATGACACTGTCACAAACACCAACCTTTCTGTTTAGCATTTAATACCAGTTATGTTTTATTTATGTGTAGACTCTGGCTAGGAAATAGGCCCCCAGCAACCTGTGCTTGTCTTTAGAGGCCACTAAATGGATAGGATGGTCAGGCTTGGTGACGTAGTTAATTGTTTGTCAGTGTATCCAAATTGTGTGGATTGATGCTCATGATGTCAATCATTGGATTGTCTGGTCGAGTCTTGATTATTTACAGACCGCTTAAAATCAATGCCAAATTAAGTGTTATTTTTTCTGCTTTTTAAGAGAATATTATGAAGAGAGAGAGGCGTGGTCAGGCGTCAATCTGTCTGTTCCAGACTCGATTATTTACGTACTGCCGTCATACAGCTGAAATAATGTGTGCAGCGTGCAGCGTTAATCAACAGATAAACAAAAAAAAGTCAATGCAGAGTTGCTTCCCTTAGGTATGCCAGAAACCTATAATCTGGGTTCCAATTCCAGATTTGCCCTGGTTATGTTTCTAGGTTTGTCAACACCATGCCTGTGCTTGTGGTGTCACCAGAGAGGATTTCCTACAGACTTTCCTCCCACGTCAAGTTGACATCTAGTGATATAACTGAAATACTGTTCAAAACAGCGTTAAACTCACTCACTCACTCATTGATTGGTTTGTAGCCCTGTGGCAAAGCTCTGCGATGTGGCAATCATCGGTGTGAGGACATCTGTCATCAGGGAGCCTGTGGTGATTGTCCAAGGTCTGGGAAGAGAAGATGTCCTTGTGAGAAAACAGGTAACCATTGCAACAAATATTCTTGGCTTTCAAGCAGTGGCGCGCAATATCAAAAACTTCCTGAAGGACAGCATTTTGTTTCTGAATTAGTAGGTCTGTGTCCGAGTCATCTGTGCATTGATTTGACACATGAACAAACATCAATGAGACCCATAAGATAATTCAAGTACTATCCCCTGTGAATTGTGTTATTGTTTCGAACTGTTCACTGTTAGCAGGGGACCGCCTCTGTGGTCGACTTGTAGAGCCTCCGCCAGGAGAGCGGAAGGTTCCTGGGTTCGATCCCCCGCCTCATCATATCAAAAGAAGTAAAAAGATGGTACTTGTTGTTACTTGGCGCTCGGCATTAAGGGGCTGAAACAAGGACTGGTCGGCTCTTAGTCAGTATACTGTGTCTGAGTGGGCTATTCATGTTAAACTGCAGCATTGTATTTCAGTGAGCTAGCACTATAAATCGGCATCAGTCCGGACTAGTACAAGTAGCCACACACAAACGTGATGCACATCGCTGTATAAGTGCAATAATCTTGGAGGCGACGTTAAACCCCATTTCACCTCACCTGTTAGCAGGTACCAGATTTGATTGTTTCCCCGTGTATTTGCCAGAGTATGAACTCCCATGTACCGAGGACATCCCGACGTGTGGCGATACTTGCGGCAAGACTCTCAGGTGCGGACAGCACACTTGTACACAGCGATGTCACCAGGGGGAGTGTGGCTCGGTGAGTAGTGAGGGAACTGTGGAAAAGTAATCTGTCAAGGTACACACATTAGTTCCCATCTACACATGAGGATGTTCTGGGTGGGTTGCAGTGTGTTCAGAAGTGTTATTAATTTAATAAGTTATTAGTGGCATACATCATATCTTATTCCAAAGTGTTTACAATAAGTCACTGTATAGCTCCAGCTGCAGCAGCAACATTTAAAACTAACAGTTTTAGTCCATTAGTCCTTATAATGATAGCATATAGCAAAACCCTTAATAAGGGCAAATTTCGACTAGTCCTTATGATACCTTAACTATTGGGCAGTTTGGCAAGGATGATAGGACTAGTGCTAATTTCCATAGCTCACCAGCAACAACTGTCCTTCGTGTTCCTTTTCTTCATCTGCCTAGATCTACAACATCTTACTTCACATTATTTGGCCGGGGGTAGGGAAGCAGTTAAAGCCATTGCTCACCGATGTGTAGATTCATCCCACTACTAGTGGTCACACTCGGTAACATTGTTGATTGCAACATGGGATTCAAATGACTACAATGACAGATATTCATTGACCATTGTCATATTGAGAAACGGTGCTCTTTCATTTCTCATGAGGAGATAGTGATTATAGTGTGTGACCTGGATGATTGTGTGTCATCAGACCCCAACGATGTGAATCACAGCTATAAACTGCTGACACTGTCCAAGTCTTAATTATTTAGTGGATACTTGAATATAGCTATGTCCGTGCACCAAAACAATGTTCACTTGTTACAGTAACATTGTATAGTTATCTCATGTTGGTGGTTACGTTTCAGTGTCGTCAGGTGACCTCGAAACGCTGTCGGTGTGGACAGAAGCAGAAGGAGGTCCTGTGCAGCAAGGAGTATTTGTGTGACCTCAAGTGTTCTGTGATGAGAGACTGTGGCAAGCACTACTGCAAGAGAAAGGTACAGATGATCCTAGGACAGTCCAGTTCTAACTTCATGTCTCATCACAGAGGAGGGAACCCGTGAAGATGCGGGTTAGAATTGGTCATCAGCAACCCATGATTGTCGTAAGAGGCAAAAATGGCCTGGATGGTCAGGCTCACTGACTTGGTTGATGCATGTCATCGTATGCCAATTGTGTGGGACCGCCTCCATGGTCTCCTGGTGGAGCATCTACCCAGAGAGCGAAAGGTCAGGTGTTTGATCTGAAAGTTGTCTGACCTGTTAATTTTCATATTTATCCTAAAATGATCCAACAGCTGCCTTTTTATCTGTTGGTGTTATCCTGACAAGAAACTTATTATTTGATTAAATTTACATATATAAGTTGGTGATATTAGGAAGTTATTCTGCTGTTGACACGCTGTGTTTGCTTGCAGTGTTGTGATGGAAGCTGCCCGACGTGTGAGCAGGTGTGTGGGAAGACGTTGCGGTGCCGGAACCACAAGTGTGCCAGCGGATGTCACAGAGGTCAGTGCATGGCGTATCACGTGTCATTGTATCACTGCATCGTAGTGGTCCATGGATAGATGGCATCAGTGACATGTTAAAATGTCAAAAGTTAACATGGATACCATACTAAAGTCTCAGTTGTATTGATACATGTAACAAAATGTAGAAAATACATTTTTTTAATTTACTTTTTTCTTTCTTTTGGATCCAAAAGACTTATTGCTTAAGAGGACATTGATACAATCTCATTAATGTCTTTCACTCTGATGCTGTACCGCTCACCTGTGATAGACTTCCTGTGTCTGTATTGTTCTCACCTGTAACACTTCCTGTGGATGTATTGTTCTCACCTGTAACACTTCCTGTGGATGTATTGTTCTCACCTGTGACACTTCCTGTGTCTGTATTGTTCTCACCTGTAACACTTCCTGTGGATGTATTGTTCTCACCTGTAACACTTCCTGTGGATGTATTGTTCTCACCTGTGACACTTCCTGTGGATGTATTGTTCTCACCTGTGACACTTCCTGTGGATGTATTGTTCTCACCTGTGACACTTCCTGTGGATGTATTGTTTTCACCTGTGACACTTCCTGTGGATGTATTGTTCTCACCTGTGACACTTCCTGTGGTTGTATTGTTCTCACCTGTGACACTCCCTGTGTCTGCATTGTTCTCACCTGTGACACTCCCTGTGTCTGCATTGTTCTCACCTGTGACACTCCCTGTGTCTGTATTGTTCTCACGTGTGACACTTCCTGTGTCTGTATTGTCCTCACCTGTAACACTTCCTGTGACTGTATTGTTCTCACCTGTAACACTTCCTGTGGTTGTATTATTACATTAAGTAATACGTTACCACTGTTATACCGAGGCTGTTGTCTCCCACAACTGCTGCTATAGCGAAATCTACCACAGAGATCTCAATTACCTCATGCAGCACGTGCGTAGCCACCTAGCTGCCATGTGACACCCTTCACTCTTGTCTCCTTCGTCTGCTTAGCAAGACGTGTTTTCTCCTGCTGAAGCGTTCCTTGAAGATTTGGTGATATTTATTATAGTTTATTCTCTAATAAACTGTGCTTTTATGGGGCGTTGCGGTAGCTACGCTTGGTTATAATTTTCCCGCCAAACGGAAATTTTTTCCCGCCCTTTTTTCTATATACTTGCGGGGTTCGCGTATGCACGTTGTGTTTTACGTTTCCCCTGTTCTTGTATGTTTTGGGGGTTAACATAACTTATTTCTTTAATAAAAGTTATATGTGTATGTTATATGTTCACATTGCTCGTTTATTTTCTTGTGAAAATGTTCGTTTGTGAATCATTGTGGTGCGTGCGTTGTAACCATGTTTTGTTCTTTGTTTATAGCAAACAATCAATGTCTGACATGGATATGTCCCCAGTATCCACCCCCTCTACCCCTGCTCCTCGGAGTTATGGGGTGTGCAGAAAGTTTTTGTCGTCCCGGGATCCCCACGATCGTTGCCCGCGGTGCAGGGTTCCTTGCGGGGACACCCGGTGCATCCTGTGCGAAGGTCTGGGGCCTGCGGATTTTGAGCGGTACCGGCTGTACGTACAGTCCGTCTCCACCCCTGTGGTGGCCGGTTCGTCCGGTCGGGGTCCCCGTGCGGGTACCACCTCCTCGGCTGCGGCGGATCCCCTTGCTCTGTCGGGCTGTCTGGGGATTCCGTCGCCGCATTGTTGTCGAAACTTGTGGATTCCAAGTTGGCGGCCTTATCGCAAGATAGGCCGCTGGCTGTTCCGTCCCCGGCCTCTTCGGTGGCCGCGGGGTCGGACGCGGGGTCCACCGGTAAAGCGGCGGATCTCTTGGCGGCCCGTGTGCTGTCCGGGGATTCCGTCGCTGCATTACTTGCATAACTTGTGGACTCCAAGCTGGCGGCCTTATCTCAGGATAGGCCGCTGGCTGTTCCGTCCCCGGCCACTTCGGTGGCCGCGGGGTCGGACGCGGGGTCCACCGGTACGGCGGCGGCTCCCGTGGTCACCGGTCCTTCCCCCGAACCGTTGCTCCCGCTATCGGTTTAGGACCGCGTGGCCATGGTTTATGACCTCTTTGAGGACATGCCCCGGCCGGTACCGCGGGGAATCCACGACTGTGGGTTCCTCCGAGGTATACGATGAGTCTTCCGACACGGCTTTCCCCGCATCAACCTTGCTGCGCGGTTTCAAGCCTTCCTTGGAGAACGCCTTCGCGGCGGCCTCCGGTCGGGGTCTCCCGTTGCCTCCGACGTCGTGGAGAAAGGGTTTATTCCCGGTACATGACCTTGCCTTTCCCGAGGCTGGTCCTACCGCGGAGGCCCATGTTGAGCGGTTGGGTGTCCGTGCCCTACCGGCTGCTACGGTAACGCAAGCTACCTTGCACCAGCTGGACGCCCTCGCTCGGCACTCCATGTCTCACGGAGACACTTACTTGGCTGCAGCGGCCCGTCTGGTCGAAGGTTCTCCCACGGACCGTGACCAGCGCATTTACAACTGCCTGCTCAGTTTAAATGCTTCCCTGGAGTACGTAGCCGAGGACTCTCGGCACACACTTGCTCTTGTTGGGTCCCTGCATAGGCGCCTGGGTGCCGCTCCTAACCGGAGCGCGCCCCAGGCTGCTGCGGCCGGTAGGTCTAAGGGGTCGGGTTCTTCTTCCTCTGGGAAGTAGCCCCGCCCTGAGGGCTCCGGTATGGGCAATCAGCTGCCCTTTCGCGGGAAGACGGGGAACTGGGGGAAGCCCAAGTCGTCGACGGACGGCAAGGGCCCCTCCAGGTGACTCTCATTGGAGGGGTTCGTATGCCGACAGCGCCAACTTCGGTTGGCCCTTAGGCGAACCCGAGTCACTTGGCCCTGGACAGTTGCGCCTGTCGCAACCTGTCAGGGCCCCCTCTCCTTCCCCAGTGGGAGCCAGACTCCAGACTTACTGGGAGAATTGGGAACAAGTGTTCGACGACCCGTGGGTGGTCAACACGATTCGGTACGGCTATCGGCTTGATCTCAAAGCGAATCCGCCGCTCACCGTTGCCCCGTTGGCAGGTTTCGATTCGGAAACCGATCTTCCCATCCTCGCCGATGCCATCGGCAGGTTGGTGGAGAAGGGGCAGTACGGGAGTTAGCTCTACCAGAAATAACACCGGGGTTTTACTCCAGGATATTTCTCGTTCCCAAGTAGGACAGTGCCGAACTCAGAATGATTCACACGTCCGCTCCCTGGCTGTTCACCCGGTTAACCACCCCCATAGTGGGGTTCCTCCACAGGAGGGGTGTCCGGTACTTCGCGTACCTGGACGACTCGCTAGTAGCAAATCGAATGACGGACACCCTGTCACGCCATCTCGATTTCGCACGTCGGCTCTTGGAGCAATTTGGGTGGATTATCAATCTCCCCAAGAGCGAGTTAACCCCTTCTCAGAACTTGCTGTTCATCGGAGGTCGGTTCAACACGGTGTCCCATCGCCTCTTTGTCCCCCCAGACCGGTGGCACAAAATTCAGGCGATGATTGCCAAAGTCTTAGCGGTGCAACAGACTGTTCACTTTTGGGAACAGCTGTTAGGGCTACTTGTATCAGCCCAGGACTGCACCGCACGGGGTCGTCTCCAACTCCGCCCGCTGCAACGGTTTTTAATCCAGTTGTTAGCAACGGAGGTGAACAGTGCGACCGTCGCCCTCCCGGATCGGCTCCGACCGCATCTGGAGTGGTGGACGGTCCCTTACATTGTCTTATCAGGAGTCTCTATGCGGCCCTACCGGGCCACGTTGACCCTGTATACAGACGCCTCTCTAGTGGGCTGGGGCGCCCATCTAGAGGGGGAGGTGAGCTCGGGGCTATGGTGCTTAGACGAACTAGGTCTTCACATCACTTGTCTCGAGTTCAAGGCAGTGATCAACGCAGTCAATCACTGGAAGCATCGTCTCGTCGACGCCCGGCTCATGCTGGCGACCGACAACACGACGGTAGTGTCCTATGTGAACAAACTGGGGGGAACCCACAGTCACTCGCTACTCGATCTCACGTTCGAGTTTTACGCTCTGGTGGACAGTGTCCCGTGCCAGATACGCGCCCGTCACATCCCAGGTGTGCGGAACGTACTGGCCGATGCTCTATCGAGGCCTCAGGATCCGAGCCCCACAGAGTGGATGCTGAACCCAGTAGTGTTTCAGTGGCTGTGCGAACGTTTGGGTCGTCCGATGGTCGACCTGTTCGCAACGCGGTTCAACAATCAACTCCCGTTGTTTGTATCACCAGTCCCGGTCCCGAGGGCCATCGATCACGATGCTCTCGCGTTAGACTGGACGGGCTTGGTCGCTTATGCTTACCCGCCGACAGCGTTGATACCACACATTCTAAGCCGGCTCCGAGGAGTTCGCTGTCGAATGTTACTGATCGCGCCCATGTGGCCGAACAGATCGTGGTACCCCGACTTGCTGACCCAGGTCACGCAGTCGCCACTTCCACTGCCTGTGAGACCGGATCTCTTGATCCACCCTCACAGCCGTCAGCTTCATCCAAACGCAGGGCAGTTCAATCTGCACGCGTGGATGTTGTCACCGAGCGTCTGAGGAGTAAAGTTTTTTCTCGCCGGGCGTCTCGGGCATACGTTAGTATGCATCGTGATTCTACCCAGAAGGTGTATAATGCACGTTGGGTTATTTTCACGAAGTGGTGTTGTAAACATCACATTCATTCGCCAGATAAGGTATCTGTGCAGGATATTGCTCGTTTCATGTCTCACTTGCGAGAGACCCGGAAACTCTCCGGGGGTTCCATTGCCAACTATGTCTCGTCCGTTGCTACGGTACGGGACGTTGCTATGGGTACCAATCTCTCCAAAGAGCCGGTGATACGGGGTATTATCAAGGGTTTCAAACAGCACGATCTTAAGAAGGGCCGCCTTCGGGCACCGGCCTGGGATCTTTGGCTAGTGTTGCAATCACTTACGGAAGCTCCGTATGAACCCTTGCATAGTGCTTCGTTCCGGCATGTGACTTGGAAAACAGCATTTCTCCTCTCCTTTGCCACGGCGGCACGTGTATCCGAAATTCATGCACTCGATGTCGCCAAGGTACGATTCGATAGGGGTGACGAAGGAGCGGTCCGCCTGGGCCTGCTCATGGGCTTCGTCGCCAAGAATCAGAGAGTCGGGCAAACGGAGAGAGAATTCACTGTAAGATCACTAAAAGAAATCTTACATCCTGCTGATACTGAGGACAGAGCGCTGTGTCCAGTTAGGGCCCTTAAGTATTATCTTAAGGCTTCGAATGAACGTAGACAAGGGCGTGACCGTCTGTTCATATCGTGTAACCCTAATCGCACGGTTGACATACCTCGCAACTCGATTGCGTTGTGGCTTCGTTCTGTCATCAATCTGGCGTACCGGTCTCGGGGGTTACCGGTAGCGGAGTCAAACCCGCACGAGATCAGGGCGCTAGCGGCAACATTTGCCCTACACTCGAATATCTCTGTTCGCAGAATATTACGAGGTTGTTACTGGCGTTCTGACTCGGTTTTTGCCAATCATTACCTCAAACAGGTCGCTGATGCCGTCGTGGAGAGTGTGCACCGTCTTGGCCCGCGGATCGCGGCGCAAGCGGGCACCTAAGGGGTGTGCCCAGCGCAATTCCGAACTCCTCAGGCGTCTGACCTTGCACGGTGGTCAATCTGGGTCTACTCCAATGTTCCCACTGCCGTGGGTACAGGAGTTGGGGTCCCGCAAACCAGCGCACTCACACCACAGGTGAGGGCGGCTTTTTGTGTGCTTTGTCCTTATTTGTATTTTGACAATTATGTCTTTAATTGTCTGTCGTGTATCCCAACCTTGTGATGCATGCTTACAAATACTGGAATTAGGTCACGCGCCTAATGCATACTTTAAGTAGGCTTGCTCTGGGATATACGGTCTGAATGAAATTAATTTCCCTCTTTTCGACTGTTTAACCTGATCTAAGATTAAGCTCACGCGGATACAGTGTTCTCATCCGCTGCGGCGATGAAATACCTATCCAGTGGGGCCGTTTGGAGTCACCAATCGTTTTGGCAATGACGATTGAGCCTTACGGTATGCGCTTGACAGTGCTTTGGTATTCCTATAGGGTAACGCCTAGCTAGGTGCATGCGCATCGAGTGCTTCCGCCTTGGTGTTTACTTCCGCTGGTCGGAAGGAACGCTAGCAGTCAGGATTCGGGTTGTAGGTGCTCCCCACCGCCTACTGTGGTAGTCAGCCTCGGTATAACAGTGGTAACGTATTACTTAATGTAATTTGTAGAATTTTCCTATTCGGAATATTCTATAAGTAATACGTTACCACTGGGCTGCTGCCCGCCCGTCCGTCCCCCGAGCACTTGCTCTCGCAGGAGACAAGAGTGAAGGGTGTCACATGGCAGCTAGGTGGCTACGCACGTGCTGCATGAGGTAATTGAGATCTCTGTGGTAGATTTCGCTATAGCAGCAGTTGTGGGAGACAACAGCCTCGGTATAACAGTGGTAACGTATTACTTATAGAATATTCCGAATAGGAAAATTCTACAAGTTTTCACCTGTAACACTTCCTGTGGTTGTATTGTACTCACCTGTGACACTCCCTGTGTCTGCATTGTTCTCACCTGTGACACTCCCTGTGTCTGTATTGTTCTCACCTGTGACACTCCCTGTGTCTGTATTGTTCTCACCTGTGACACTCCCTGTGCCTGCATTGTTCTCACCTGTGACACTCCCTGTGTCTGTATTGTTCTCACCTGTGACACTCCCTGTGTCTGTATTGTTCTCACCTGTGACACTCCCTGTGTCTGCATTGTCCTCACCTGTAACACTTCCTGTGACTGTATTGTTCTCACCTGTAACACTTCCTGTGGTTTTATTGTTCTCACCTGTGACACTTCCTGTGGTTTTATTGTTCTCACCTGTGAAACTACCTGTGATTGTATAGTTCTCACTTGTGATTGTATTGTTTCCATCTGGGACACTTTTGTGGTTGTGTTGGTATTGTTCTCCCATTTGCTACTTTCTGTTTTATTCAGGTCCGTGCTACCCGTGCCCTCTGACGGTGAACGTGTCGTGTTTCTGCAAGTCCACCTCCATCACCGTGCCGTGTGGGCGGGAGAAGGACATGAAACCTCCCAAGTGCAACAGGAAATGCCAGTAAGTCCACCAGTAACAGTTCCTCCTTTTACCATGTCCAGATAAAAACGTTTGTAAATACTGGAATAAATCATTGGAGTATTTTGATACTCTCTGACTTGTTCTCATTCATTCTGACGTGAGATTGTTGTGTACTTCTAGGATTCCCCCGAACTGCCACCACCCACGACGAGACAAACATCGATGTCACTTTAACGAGTGTCCGCCATGTCAGCAGAAGTGTTTGCTTCCTCTGCACCAGTGTGACCACACGTGTCCGGTCAAATGTCACGATGCTGTCAAGGTCAAAGTGGAAGACCAGGTGGGGAAATCATTTGTTCTTTGTAGAAATATGTTTATCAACTACACTTATTTAGTGGGGTGTAATATAGTGGTGTTTTAGTCATGATCGTTGCCCTATTTGTGTTATGAATCTCATGTATGTTTATTATCCCCCATCTCAAAGTGGGGAGGCGGATAAAGGAACAGTGTTCATCCATCCTTCCGTCCGCCTGCTTCTCAAAGGAGACAGTTTTTCTCAAAAACTATTTATGTCAGAGATGTTACTGGTCATGATATCAAACGAGTTCAAAAATTGGTCCCATTAGTTGCGCTTGCTCCGTGCTTTTCAAGAAAGTGCATACTGCGTGAAATGGGGCCACGTCTTCTCAGAAACTACTGAATAAAAGTTTGCATGCTTATCTAAGATACCGTTTTCGACGCCCAGGACGCCCTCAAAGTTAGAAATAGGGGGCTCTTATTAGAATATTATTTTGGTGACAAAAAACAGAGTTGAAAGATAAATTTTGTGGTTTATGCTGACAGCCTGAAGTGTTTATGTAAGACAGATATATTTTAAAATAATTTAATTGCCCATACTTAAGGGTGCATCTTACAAATGTGTGTGTATTATACGCAAATAAATAAGTCTTGTGTACATTGATCAATCGGCAGGAGTGCTTATTGGGATTGTTCACCAGCCAATGTATTAGCAAATGTCGCTGTGGGCGCTTATTATGTCGATACCGTACTTATCAAGACTGAATTCGAAAATTATTCTAGTTAGACTTGGGCTTTATAACAATGTCATTTAGGCATCATTTATAGGTTACATAGCAGATAAAGTGTGGTAATTTGTTATGTATTTATTGGTCTGATTCCCTTGGGTTTCCTGGTGTGTAAGCTCTATCCTTCCCCCGACAGCGACCCCGAGCCGGCCCCTGGGACGCCAGGCCTGCCTTTGTGATACAGACAGTGAAGAAGCCCTGTCCCCCCTGTCAGGTACCCATCCCAACAGAGTGCATGGGCAAACACGAGGTAAGGGAGGCAACTCTAGTTCTTCCTCATGTGTCAAAGATGTCTTATCATACCTCCATGTCAGAATGATGAGATCTGATTGGTCCACATGATCTTGATAAAATACTGTGTAACCCATCTTAGAGGGAAATGAATTTCTCATGGGGAGAATAAATCCCTTATACCCTGCCACAAAGAAAACAGGCTGCAAATGGATTTCTGAGAGGCAGAATAAATCCCTTATACCCCGCTTCGAAACAAAAAGTTGCAAACTTATACCCAAGTCATGTGACATAGCACAAGTTAACCTCAGCTCAATCGAACAGCTGTTTTTTATCAATTTTGAAGAATTTGTTTTGATGCTTTTACAATGTCATATTAAAACATGTCCGTAAGATAAATTTGTTGTAGCATCATCACGAGGGGTACATGGGGTTTTATGAGTCCCACGTTAGGATTTATACCACTCACCTCTGGCTTGTGGGTTGGTGATTTAACTGTACAGCCCAGACTTAGCCCTCAGTGACTATTTCCTGTTCAGTTAAATGAAATCTGCCCTATGTGGAAGACGCTTCCAGGATGACGAGGACATAAAGGCTGCCACAGAGGCGTGGTTAGAGGGCCAATCTGCGGATTTCAATAAAAGTGGTATTAAAAGCTTGAAGGACAAATGGAATAAGTGTATTGAGGTGAATGGAGATTATATTGAATAATAAAAGTGCAAAAGATATTCTGTGACTTGGTCTTATATTGAAGTTGCAAAACTTAGTGGACGCCCCTCATATAAAACCTAACGCGGGACACATAAAACCCCATGTACTCCGAGTGATCCTGCTACAATCTGTCATATGATGAGCAGTAAGTGATTGTTACTGTGAAAGTTACTTACTGCAGACCCTGACTCTTTCTTTCTGGGGGGCACAGGTGGCCCAGTCGTCTAAGGCGCCGCGATTCGCTGTGCAGAGTTGCGTCCCTTGGGTACGACAGAAACCTATGATTGTGGGTTCCAATCCCATATGTTTCTAGATTTGTCAGCACCATACCCATGCTCATGGGTTTCAACGAAGTGGTAATCGTCTGAGACCTGCATCACTTTGGGCTTTCCTCCCACATGAAGCTGACACGCCGTGATATAACTGGAATACTGTTAAAAGCGGCGTTAAACCCAACTCACTCACTCACTCTTTCTGATTAATAACATAAACAATAGTTCTACCTGCTTATTATCTGCATTATTTGCCTGTATAAAGCAGGGTCCAGGTCATTTTCTAAGCCATGAGTATTTACCCCATTGTTATCATTCACTATGGGTAGTAATAGCTTTCTTTGGGTATTCAATATATTTGACTAGTTTTTTGGTATTATTAAATGAATGGGTAGATTATGAGATTTTAAACATAATTCTGTGAAAATTCTGATTCAGTTAACTTTTAATTTTCTTCTGTTTATATGGTGCTGCAAGTGTGTCACATGACATATCATTCACTGCAGTAGAGTTTATGCATAGGGATGCCTGCATTTCATCTGTAAATAAAGATGTTTATAGATATTCTAGTATGCAAGCTGAAAAGACAACATTGGGTAATATGAAAACTATATCATCATAAACAATTTAATAAAAGGATGTGTAAAAAATAATAAAACAAACCCAATAGTATAATAATACTCTGAGTATATACTCACAGTATTATTTTCCTATTGGGTTTGTATATACTCACAGTATTATTATACTATTGAGTTTGTATATACTCACAGTATTATTATACTATTGGGTTTGTTTTATTATTTTTTGCACATGCTTCTCCAAATTAAATGGTTTATGATGATACAAATGTATAGTTTTCATAATTTACGCAAATAGGCAGCTTATCTGGAGCTCTGATAAAGTACTTAGTGTATTGGAATACTTTGTGCTATTCTAGACTAGTGCTGTAGCAAGACTTTGCCACTGCATAACTAGTCTCAATACTACAAGCATGTGCATGTACAATCAGCTGCAGCTGACCATACGTGTTTTCACAGGTGTCAAACATTCCATGTGCTGAAGTAGCTCCGTATTCCTGTGGGCGACCGTGTGACCGACAACTGGGGTGTGGCAATCACACATGTTCCATCCTGTGTCACATCGTCACTGGATCTGTGGACCAGCACACGGTAAGTCTTACAACGTCTGTGTGTCACATCGTCACTGGATCCGTGGACCAGCACACGGTAAGTCTTACAACGTCTGTGTGTCACATCGTCACTGGATCCGTGGACCAGCACACGGTAAGTCTTACAACGTCTGTGTGTCACATCGTCACTGGATCCGTGGACCAGCACACGGTAAGTCTTACAACGTCTGTGTGTCACATCGTCACTGGATCCGTGGATCAGCACACGGTAAGTCTTACAACGTCTGTGTGTCACATCGTCACTGGATCCGTGGACCAGCACACGGTAAGTCTTACAACGTCTGTGTGTCACATCGTCACTGGATCCGTGGACCAGCACACGGTAAGTCTTACAACGTCTGTGTGTCACATCGTCACTGGATCCGTGGATCAGCACACAGTAAGTCTTACAACGTCTGTGTGTCACATCGTCACTGGATCCGTGGACCAGCACACGGTAAGTCTTACAACGTCTGTGTGTCACATCGTCACTGGATCCGTGGATCAGCACACGGTAAGTCTTACAACGTCTGTGTGTCACATCGTCACTGGATCCATGGATCAGCACACAGTAAGTCTTACAACGTCTGTGTGTCACATCGTCACTGGATCCGTGGACCAGCACACGGTAAGTCTTACAACGTCTGTGTGTCACATCGTCACTGGATCCGTGGATCAGCACACGGTAAGTCTTACAACGTCTGTGTGTCACATCGTCACTGGATCCATGGATCAGCACACAGTAAGTCTTACAACGTCTGTGTGTCACATCGTCACTGGATCCGTGGACCAGCACACGGTAAGTCTTACAACGTCTGTGTGTCACATCGTCACTGGATCCGTGGACCAGCACACGGTAAGTCTTACAACGTCTGTGTGTCACATCGTCACTGGATCCGTGGATCAGCACACGGTAAGTCTTACAACGTCTGTGTGTCACATCGTCACTGGATCCATGGATCAGCACACAGTAAGTCTTACAACGTCTGTGTGTCACATCGTCACTGGATCCATGGATCAGCACACGGTAAGTCTTACAACGTCTGTGTGTCACATCGTCACTGGATCCATGGATCAGCACACAGTAAGTCTTACAACGTCTGTGTGTCACATCGTCACTGGATCCATGGATCAGCACACAGTAAGTCTTACAATGTCAAATACACAAAAAAGGCTAAAATGAGAGAAAGGGATGATTTTGCTTCAAGAGAAAATCTAACCAGAATTATTCCTCTGACACATGGTGATGTTTTTACCATATGTTTGTACTTTCTTTGTCTACATCTCCTAAGAAAATCAGCTTTGGTCAAAGACCTGTTCATGTTCAAATATTTAAAAAATGCTTCCTGAAAACCTCTAAAGTCAGCCTTTTCGACACGTTTAAACCTTGCCTATACATTTAGCGTTGTCCAAAACATGAAAGTGCTGAAAATAACAAAGTCCTCTACTCATTCATATTAGGAGTGAAACGATACAGCAAGGTCATGATACAATATGTATCACAATATTTTGGATACGATACGTATCGCAAAACGCATATTTATGTCAAATCACGTGGAAAGTTCTTCACTTTTAATATTTCAGAGCAGTTTCAAAAGGTAAAGCTAGCTGTAGTCACATGTTCGTTACGGCTATTTTTAGTAGTGAACTTAATTACAACACGTTTTGCAGTATTTGACTGATAAAAACACTAGGGGGTCATTAAATGAGTTGTAAGTAAATTCTTTTAGCATGTGCGTTCACTCATCACGCCGAAGACCCAGGTTTAAATCCCGACATGAGTAAAATGTGTGAAGCCTATTTCTGGTGTCCCACGCCATGATATTGCTAGAATATTGCTAAAAAAGGCGTAAACCCATACTCACTCACTCAATCTTTTAGCAAGTGTATCGTCTTGCATCGATACAGAAAAAAACTATCATGTATTGTATCACCGCATAAAATCTCACAATGCACCGGTGCACCGATGTATCGTTTCACCCCTAATTCATATGTACATAACACTCATAACAATTTCTGAAAGTTCTGCCATTTTCTTACTCTAGGCAGATCCTGTGGGCCCCAAAGGGCTTTTTTCCTACCTTTTCATTTGTTACCAGACTGAGCAGGGTACAAAAACAGAAGTTTTAATGTCAGAAAAAAATACTTATTGACTTGTTTTTTCTACTGTTCCAGGCAGGAAAGAACTGTGAGACATGTGAGAGCCCCTGTGAGAAGGGCCGCCCCCGGGGGTGCAAGCACCCCTGCCGCCTCCCGTGTCACCCACAGGACTGTCCCCCCTGCACCAGCATGGTACGGATGAGGTGCCACTGTAACGCTGTGGTCAAACACATCCCCTGTCATGACTGGACTGTCACCATGAAGGACAAGCAGGACCAGCTCCAGTCCTGTGAGGGACAATGCACCAAATCAGTGAGTAGCATATCCTCTTCACTGTATCTAAGACCGCCTCCGTGGTCTAGTGGTTGAGCGTCTGCCTGGAGAGCGGAAGGCTCGATCCCCGGCCGTGTCATACCAAAAGACGTTAAAAGATGGTACTTGTTGTTACCCTGTCTGGTGCTCAGCGTTAAGGGGCTAAAAAAAGTACTGGTCGGCTCGGAGTCAGAATACTGTGTCTGAGTGGGATATTTATGTTAAACTGCAGCATGGTATCTCAGTGGGCTAGCACTATAAATCGGCATCAGTCCACACTAGTACAAGCAGACAGAATTATATACACACACATACGTGCATGCACGTCGCTATATAAGTGCCATAATCTTGGATGCAACGTTAAATCCTATTTCACCTCTTCTCACCTTTTAGTTGTCTAAGATGCAATTCACAGGGATAGAAACAAACAGTTTTAGTCCAAATGACCTTGTAATGATAAGATATAGTAAAACCCTTAAAAATGGCAAATTTCTGCTAGTCCCTAGGATACTTTTACTATTGGGCAAGTTTGGCAAGGACTATAGGACTAGTACCAATTTCTAACACTGATTCACTATCAGAGTTGCATCCCTTGGGCAGGCCCCAAACCTATGTTTATGGTCTCAAAACCCAGTTTGCCCCAATTGTTTCTTGGTTTGTTAGCACCATACCCATGCTCTAGGGTTTCATCAAGGAAACTCAACTCACTAACTCACTCTAATATGTCTTGTTCCCTGTCATTTACCCAACTCACTGACCGTCTGTCTGCAGCTCCCATGCGGCCACCAGTGTGCGTCCACGTGTCACAACGGCGCCTGCCCCAATGCGGACCAGTGTAAGAAGAAGGTGACGCTGCGCTGTTCATGTCGCCGCAAGAAGAAGGAGGTGATCTGCCACACCGTGCAGCGCCCGGATGGAGGGGAGAAGGCCGTGCTGGACTGTGATGATGTGTGCGAGAAGACAAAGGAGGAGAAGAAAAAGGTGAGACGGGAGGGGGAGTGAGATACACAGACAGATGTGCAAGGGAGGGTGGGGTGGGGGAAGTGTTTGTGTCTTGTTCTGGATTGTGACATGGAGGACAAGAAGTTGAGATACAGGCAGACAGGATGTGAGGTTCTTGCAGGGTGCTAGATTGTGACATGGAGGACAAGAAGTTGAGATACAGACAGACAGGACGTGAGGGCCCTGAGGGGTGCTGGATTGTGACATGGAGGACAAGAAGTTGAGATACAGGCAGACAGGATGTGAGGTTCTTGCAGGATGCTAGATTGTGACATGGAGGACAAGAAGTTGAGATACAGGCAGACAGGACGTGAGGGTCCTGAGGGGTGCTGGATTGTGACATGGAGGACAAGAAGTTGAGATACAGGCAGACAGGATGTGAGGGGCTTGAGGGGTGCTGGATTGTGACGTGTCTGAGAAAGCAAACCTCAGACAGGACTCACATTGTTCAGGGCTCACAAACAGAATTGAGTGAAGTAGACACCAACGCGACAGTAAAATCACTGGTCAAAACTACAAAATGATTTTTCTTACTTGCTGTCACAGATATTCTTTCAAAGTCTGTCTTCCAAAGACATTTCAAATTGTCACAAGTCAACAGTACTACCTTGAAGTTAGAATTACTTTTGATGTTATCTTGCATAGAGAAGCGTATTTATTGATTATTGGTTATAGGATATTGAACCCTAATTGTGGAGAATTTCAGTTGGGTTGATTCACTAAATAAAAACTCCAACTTCATTACTTCGATTGCTTATAGATATATGTTTTCTCTGTAGATGAAAGATTCTGCCGAGAGGGAGAAGAAGGAGGAGGAAGAGAAAAAACAAAAGTTGGAGCTTGAAGAATATGAGAGGAAGCTGAAGGGAAGGAGGAAGAAACGCAAACATCTCGAGGAAGTTGTAGAGTTGACATTTTGGGAGAAAAACAAAACAGTCATGATCATCGTCTCCTCGCTTGTCACAGTCTTTGTTGCAATATTCCTGTTCTACTGGCTGTCAGCCTCTTGATGTATGCTGAAAGGCAAAATGAATTTTACATCTTTGTTCTTAATATATTGTTGATAATGTCTCTGTTGTATCACAGACAGCTTTGTTATTCAGAATTGATAAGAGTGTCTCATTGTTTCTCACAGCTGTAGTTTGTGTCGTCAACATTTATATTGATGGAAGATGGTATCTATGCATTCAGTCTTGCACCGGATATGCTTACGTAAATTATAATGTTATGTTTCAGGGGAAGGTGATATCGACATTTAGATTCCCTGAAGATATATACATGTACTACTAAAACAATGTTACAGATCACCGATTCTTTCACACCACTATACCTCATCTGTCATGGCATGACAGATTTACTATCGTAATATGATAGAATCGGGTGACCCTTAACTTTTTTTAGTAGTTTATGAGGGTTAATTTTAGCCCAGAAATCTAAAGGATTAAGAAAAATGATATTTTGTTTGTTTATTTGTTGTTTAACACAGTATTCCAGCTACATGAAAGCGGCCTGTAAATCGTCTGGACCAGACAATCCAGTGATTGATATCGTGCCATCGGGGTATGCTCTGTAAGAACTTGACATTGCAACCACTTCTTCATATATACTATGTGCATACGACACACACACACACACACACACACACACACACACACACACCTGTTTATGAGTAAAAGAAGAAAGTAAAATAATCCTGTGAAAACTTGATGAAGTCCTGTTGAAGGCTACTGATGGTCAGGTGGAGGTTTGATGTCGCGTTCAAGAGTATTGCACTTTTATAGCCGTGTGCATGCATGTGTATGTGTGTGTGACTGCTTGTACTAGTCTGGATTTTATTCCGGTTTTATTGTGCTAGCCCACTGAGATTCCGCCAATAGTCAGTACACCCCCATCTTGTGTAGTAGTCTTCTATGGAGACACGTCTACAGTCAGCACCTTCTGTTTTACATGGAGATTGACCAACAACTGTAATACTAGTTTACACGTCCCTGTTGGGATTTTAGGGTAAATAACGTCGCCAGTACCTCATTTATCATGGTTTAAGTTGGAGCAATCAACCAATCTTTTAATTCTACTTCCATAATCAACAGATTCTCATAATTTATCCATAATATAATTTGCAAGAATTTGTAAATTTCCTTTCATTCTGATTTAGTAAATAACAAGACTGACACTTCATATTTACCACTACTTAATGATTCTCTTGTGGAACCCTAATCAATATTAATTATTGATGCTGTAAATTAATGGTTGGCCCAGTCATCCAAGGCACCGCAGTTCGCTATGCAGAAATCTATGATCCCCTCAATTATGTGTCTAAGTTTGTCTGCACATTAACTGTGCTTGTGGGTTTCACTAAAGTGTAAACATCTTAAGATCTGCATCACTTCTGGCTTTTCTCCCACATTAAGCTGACACACTGATATAACTGGAATACTGTTGAAAGCAGCGTAAAACCGAACTCACTTACTCCATCACTCAGGCACAGAAAATTTGAAGTTCTGATTGAAACAAGAATACAACAAGGCTTCAGATTCCGGTGGTTCAAGTGAATACTGTGTATCATGTGATGAGTTTCAGCATTTGATTTTACTTGGAACAATATGGGTATACGAGAAACCATTTTAATATTGAATGTATTTCAGTTGCTGTTGTTTGACTGTATCAGTCTGCCATTTGTTATGTTTGATATTGTCATCTGATCAAGTGTTATGTGTTTATCAAATTGGTTTGATCTAAGGCGAAAAAAAATAATAGTCTCGGTTCTCAGGCACCACCGGCATCATCATAAAGTCTGCTGCACGTTTTGTTTTGTTTTCCATTTTCAAAAAAATATAAAAATCCTAATACATGAACTTTAACACAATTCACAAAAAAATTGAAAATGGAAACAAAGGCAAAACATGCAAAGAACTTTATGATGATGTGGGCAGTGCCTGAGAACCAAGACTATTATTTATTTTAGCCAAATCACCCATTTTGATTTGAGTTGTTTATTTTCAAGAGGCCTTTCTCAGAAATTTGTATCCATGTTTATGATGTTTCGACTGTTGAGTTGCATGGATGGCCAAGTGGGGTATGCAGAGTTGGCTCCTCCAGTGGTGCAAGGATTAGGTGATCATGGGTTTAAATACCAGATTCGCCTCGAGGTATTTTCTTTGATTGATCTGGATAAATGTAATTGTTTTCAGTGGTTGGATAAATGTAGTCTTATCAAAGCAGGATTAATCAAAACTTCTACTCTTTTCAACTGTTTAAAACAATAAAACAGTAATCGGCAAACTTTGATAAAAAACTGCAATCAAAACAAATTGTTCATTAAAATATGTTTCAAATTTTGTTTTATTGACAGCCATTATACGTGTGTAGTTGTTAGATGCTGAAATAGCAGACAGATACTTTTTTCTTTGTTAGTGGTATTAAGTTTATATGGTAACAGTGTATTTATGGAATTATTTGTTGTTTACTATTATTGTGAATCAAATTTTAGCATATGCATTTGTCCTCACAGTGAGACCATGTTTCCTATATATCTGTATGTACAAGACAAGTACACACGGTGTCCTCATGGGTAGCGTGTCTCCTTGCTGTTGAACACAATGAGACCATGTTTCCTATATATCTGTATGTACAAGACAAGTACACACGGTGTCCTCATGGGAAGCGTGTCTCCTTGCTGTTGAACACCGTGAGACCATGTTTCCTATATATCTGTATGTACAAGACAAGTACACACGATGTCCTCATGGGTAGCGTGTCTCCTTGCTGTTGAACACAATGAGACCATGTTTCCTATATATCTGTATGTACAAGACAAGTACACGTGGTGTCCTCATGGGAAGCGTGTCTCCTTGCTGTTGAACACAGTGAGACCATGTTTCCTATATATCTGTATGTACAAGACAAGTACACACGATGTCCTCATGGGTAGCGTGTCTCCTTGCTGTTGAACACAGTGAGACCATGTTTCCTATATATCTGTATGTACAAGACAAGTACACATGATGTCCTCATGGGTAGTGTGTCTCCTTGCTGTTTGGCCTCAACATGCATAATGACAATTTAATTTAACTTTCATATTCACAGGAATAGTCACATATAGTAGTCTGTGGAATACTTGACTTGACATTTAGTCGTGAAGGCCAGTTTCAGAGAGTCTTCTTTCTAACAGTCGCTTGCAAAACTGAGAGTAGGGAGGGGGAAATTATGGTTTTGTTGCTACGTTACAAATCTACAAATGATTCTGAAATACCATGGGAACTATTTGGGTCATCCAACACTCTAGGAATGTGATTGAAAACAATTTCTGAACAGTGCTCGGAAAGAAAACTTGTGACTAGCCAATTTAAGGACAAAGTCATGTGAATCAAGAAATTGATTTTAACAAGCCTGATATATAGAACATTGTTTCTCAATGCATGCAAAATTCAGCCAAAAGGACAGGTAAGAATAAAATGGGGTCATCTTTTTGCCTCACCCTTGTCCATTGTCTGTCAGAGCCATTGGTGGTTCAGTCCACAGAGGCAAAGAGTTGCAGGTCTCAATCTAATGATAGTGGGTTTGAATCCCAGATTGACCCTGAATATGATCGTTGGTTTGTCAGCACCACACCTCATTAATCTCATGTCTAACAGGGGGCATGGGTGACCCAGTCGTCTAAGGCGACAGGATTCGCTGTGCAGAGGTGCGTCCCATCGGCACGCCAGAAACCTATGATTGTGGGTTCGAATCCCGGTTCACCCCGATTATGTTTCTAGGTTTGTCTGGGTTTCACAGAAGTGGTAAACTCAAGAGACCTGCATTACTTCGGGCTTTCCTCCCTCATTAAGCTGACATGCCATGATATAACTGGAATAATGTTAAAAGCGGTGTCAACCCAACTCACTCTCATGAACTCTTGACGTCCTCCCACAATAAGGTGATACTGTAAGTAGGAGAATCTCTTGCTAGTTACTCGACAGTATCCTCCTGGTAAGATCTGTGCCATACTCTTTCAACTGTAACATAGCCGATATAACTGTGCGCTGCCTGCTGTATTTGGATATTATGTTATCTGATTGACTATCCTCATAATAAAATTGTGTTAATCTGTGTTCAGTTTGTCAACTGTATAAGTGTAGTCTTACACTGCTGCAATCAGATATATTCCAGTTACATGATAATGCATGTGTCGTCTTCAATGTGATGAATGCCTAAGGGTTATTGGCAAGCTTTAAACTGGTCGAACTCAGCGAGAGGTTTTGTTTGTTTGTTGGGTCCACCTCACTCAGCAATATTCCAGCTGGACCAGACAATCCAGTGATTGACCTCATGAGCATCGATGTAGGCAATTGGGATTTAATGACATGCATCAACCAAGTCAGCGAGTCTGACCACCCAATCCCGTTAGTTGCCTCTTACGACAAGCATAGTCGTTGAAGACCTATTCATCCCCGTAGGTTCAATGTGTCTCAAAATGCAGACATGAAATGTCCTTTTTCAACAAAACATGTTCAGGATCAATTAATCTGAAAACAGGCTTTAAGAAATCGAGCCAAAACAACCAATCAAATTGGTGTTTACATTTGCATCAGGCCACTGAAGAATCAGCTGCATGTTGAGCAACGTGTTGTACAACCATTGACAAATCGACACATTCTAGCCAGACGCCAATGGTGTTTAGTGCATAAGAACTAATTGCCAATGGTCTTGTGTAATGTTTTTTCAGATGAGTCCACATTCAATCTGGACTTTGTGGATAGGAATGAACGTGTCTGGGCATCCTAACAAATGTGATGCGAATGTGACAATAAGGCAACATGACTGATTTGGGGTAAGGTCTTCAATGATTTAGGGCAGGATCACTATGACCGCCAGAATGCCCCTGCATATTGTCCCTGAAAGGGTCACCGAACAGTACTACTGAGACAACATACTAGGTCATGGTGGTCCACCTTTCCCCCATAGAGCATGTCTGGGTCAAGATCGAGAGACCCCCCTCTACATTAGCCCAACTGGGCCAGGCACAGCAAGAGGAGTGGACACGACTCCCTCAAATTCTCATGAGGAGATGGATTCAGACCATGCTATGCTGTATAAACAAACGTTTGACCATTCATTGCAGCACAACCTATTGTTGATCAAGTCATCGCATATGTTCACTCGTCGTTTTTCTTGGATGGTTGCACCCTTACAATACTCTGCCAACATGTCTGCTACACCTTGTCCTTCCTCGTTCTTATCCATACGTTTTTTTATACCTGTTTGTATTTCTGTCATCATATGTTGTTATCCCCTGACACAAAGTTGGGTGGGGATATAGGAACAGATTTTGTCCACTTTTCAATATAGCCATTTTTTTTCAAATTAGAGAAATGTAAGTTTACACCCTGATGTTACTGGTCACGATCTGAAATGAGTTCAAAAATCGGTGTCGTAGAATCATTTTTTATAGAGTTATGGCCCTTGCTCCCCGTGCTTTTCAACTTAGCGCATACTGCGTGAAATGGGGACAAGTTTTCTCAGAAACTACTTAAGTTACACGAATGAAAGTTTGCATGCTTATCTAAGAGATACTGTCTATTATTTGTTTATGGCCCATGATCCATGTTATTTTACTTGGTACATTGTGTCTGCATTGGGGACAATAAAATTTTCTCAGAAACTACTTAAGTTACCTTATCTGAGAGATTCTTATCAATACTTGAGTTATTTTTTCCAGAGAGGGGCTTTTTGTGTGTATTAAATTCACTTTTATTCATTTTTGTTATGACATAAAGCAGCGGAAGACTATCTCTTCTTAAGGCTTTATAACACTCTTTTTTTTAAAGGTTTTATTCACTACAAACAAAATTCCCCATTGCAGGAGATAGTGATAACACTGTTTTCTTGTTTTCAAATATCCCTACTTTTTTCGTTTTTCATAAGAGCTGTTCGGTAGGTGGGTTTCCAGATAATTGGTTCCGGACAAGCAGGCTCCACCGAATGTCACTGCAGCATAAAAATAAAGTCGATAGAGCATCTGCCTGGGGACAGGTTGGTTGTTCAATCCCAGGACACATCATACCAAAGGTGTTAAAAGATAGTACTCGTTGTTACCCTGTCTGAGGCTTAGCATTTAGGGGGAAAAAACAAGAACTGATTGGCTCGGAGTCAGAGATACCCTACTCAGACACAGTATACTGTGGGCTAGCACTATGAAAGCAGCATTAGTCCGGACTGGTACATGCACATGTCACTATATAAAGTCCAATAACCTGGAATGCAGCGTTAAACCCCATTTCTCCTCACGTTCGTCATGGCAACTATCTGGGGACCTATCTGGGGACCTATCTGGGGACCTGCACATATTGAGGTGCATCTTTCTAAAAGGAACTGTCTAATCAACTGAAAGACAAATTCCAGCATAGTCTGCTGTTTCCATTCAAAAGATCACAAATTTCAAACCTTTCATCTTTATTTTCACATATTCTTAATTTACATATACATTGCACTTCTATACAAGTTAACAAATACATAACTGTAACATTCTCACCCTGTAACAAGCTCTGGTGAGATATGTATCGTTAGTTAAGCATGTTTGGCACTAATTACAAGAGGGAACATTTTGGGATACCGTATAATAATTATTATATTATTATATTATTATATTATTATATTATTATATTATTAATATTTATAATATTATTCCAGATTTATTTCAAGGTAACAAAACATGATATGTGATAAGAATACTGTTGTCAGGACTGCAGTATCACAACACATACCCTGACAACAAATCAGCTATTATATACCACTAAAAAATGTTAAAGAACATCCGATTCTCTCATATTACTATTGTTAATTCATCACACCATGCCATTAGCAACTTGAAATCATTTGCTCAACATAAACAGACACAGTCTTACATGATGCTAAACAGAGCTCTTACCTCATCGGCATTATAGCTACAAACACAGGCAGGACCTTCTACATGGCGATTCTTTCCTATTACATGTTAATCGGTCATGCCATGTCATACGAAACAATCATGTGTTTTTAAACCTCTTGTGAGTAGTACATTATTATATGTATGATAACTACGTACCCTGACTAGTTTAAATAAATATGATTGGTTGGTTGGTTTGTTGTTTAACACCGCACTCAGCAACATTCCAGCTATATGACGGCGGTCTGTAAATAATCGAGTCTGGACCAGACAATCCAGTGATTAATTTCATGAAACCTTGGGATCCACACAAAGTGATCATAGCGCTATGTTACCATGGTTACAGTATGGGAGTCATGAGCAGGCTCCTGATTATTCGTAGATAAAATTAAACTAAGTGGTTTTGAGCTAAATTCAGACAGTAACAATCAATACCTAAAATGCAGTTAATTTGGGTTCCCAAAAAGAAATACCAGCTGAAATCTATCTTCCATTGGTCCTCTGGAGCTCATGGTCGGTGAGGACTCATTTACTTAATCCTCTACAGAAAGATACATTTTGGACATCAATAGAAACACCTTGTTCCGGGGATATACATTTTCTTAAGCGAGTTGGCTTTAACGTAACTTTGAACAGTATTTCAGTTATATCCTGGTATATCAGTGATGCAGTTCTTAGATGCTTACCACTTTGGTGAAACTCAAGAGCAGGGGTGTAATGCTGACAAACCAAGAAACATAACCGGCAAAATTTTACCCCCTCATTTATAGGTTTCCACCGCGTATAAAAGTCTGCAACATAAAAAACACTGCACTGTGCTGTGCTTCAGACAAAAGGGGCACAAATGGCCCCCAACACTGAAAAGAAGAGTGAGTGAGTGAGTATGGTTTTACGCCGCTTTTAGCAATATTCAAGCAATATCACGACGGGGGACACAGGAAATGGGCTGTACCCATGTCGGGAATCGAACCGGGTCTTCAGCCTGACAAGCCAACGCTTTAACCACTAGACTACCCAACCACCCCCTGAAAAGAAAAGAGAACAAGAATATGTTTCAAGTCCATGGCAGCAGGCCAAGTGACACACACTTTGCTGCCAGGAGATACACGTTCTTTAGCATTTCCTTGATTCAAGTGATTATGAAACAAAGCTTATAACTATAATAATGTACAACCACCTCCACCATCAGCTTGAGAACACCACATCTACGTACATTACATGCAATACATAATGGTCTGGGTATGTTCAGGAGGATAACTGCTCGACACAAGAACTGACTCTAATATTTTTCACATTCATAGAGGTATAAACCAGGGGTCCGGAAAATTTAAAATCCCAATCGGACATTTGCATTTAGGCCACGCCCCCTTCAAATAGCGTATTTTAGTACGACTTTTCACACACATTACAAGTTTGATGAATTATGAATTGTTTCAATTTAAATTGTTTAATTCACTGGACAATTAATAACAAATAATATCATTTTAGATTTACATGGAAAACATACGTTTGTTTCTGTTATAATAACGATCTGTTAACGTAGTGAACGGTCTAATTAATATTCATGAGTTATATTCATGAGTCTGCTCAAGTGTACGCGTTGTAACATTTGGATCGAGACTATTATCCCATATTTGGTTATCACGTGACCTCACGGGAAAAGTTTTTTTTTAAACTAAAGATTTTTTTAAAAACAAGACAGATAATTTAATCACAAATACTAAAATATCGTTGATAGCAATAGTTATTTGAATACTTTTTTCATCTGTACTTAATTATTGACCATAAAAAAATTGGATATCAATCGTCTGAGAAAGCAAAATGGCGGTCAATTGCGAAAATCAGAAGGTGTGCACCATATTAAACATCAATACCTCCATAAACACAAAATAAAATTGCAATCAATTCTTAAGCATAAATAAGTTCACAATAATAACTTCACAACCTGCATATTTAATCATTAACACAAAAAATATAGACATTACTAAATCAGTGCAATAATGCACCATAGTACTCAGGCTTGGTGAGTCAATTATTTGCAACTTATTTATATACATATCGACATATCTGTAATCGGTGGTCAACCATGTAAAAAATAACCATCAAAGAGTGACAACTATCAAATTACTTGCACCATAAGGCTCGCTATGTTGTCCATACAATAAGTAGTGAACACCGCCATCAAGAGGGTTTCATATACTGCAGCTGCTTGGTTACCAAATCAGTTTCCTTTTCAAAACTTGGTTTTCAGATTTATCAACTGAAAGGACCAGGACGTTGACCATCGGAAGCATTGTTTGCAAAAAAATGCTGACATCCCCAAAGCTTATGCGGCTCTGCTCGCCTTATTCCTCAACAGAAGTTTCAGCTCCAGTGACCACACCACGGGAGTAAGCTTATTAGCAATTCAGGACCACTTCTTTCCGTGGAATATCCATGTCTTGTTGGCTTCAAACGACCACGGCACTTATATTGTAGTTTAGGTTTTGATAAACATTGGCTTCTAATCCAATCAAGCTGGTGAGATGAGGTGAAATGGGGTTTAACGTCGCTTCCAAGATTATACTTATATAGCGACGTGCATGCACTTGTATATGTGTGTGTGTGGCTGCTTGTACTAGTCCGGACTGATGCCGATTTATAGTGCTAGCACACTGAGATACCATGCCGCAGTTTAACATGAATACCCCACTCAGACACAGTATACTGACCACACCTTGTTTTAGCCCCTTAATGCCGAGCGCCAGACAGGGTAACAACAAGTACCATCTTTTAATGTCTTTTGGTATGACGCGGCTGGGGATCGAACTCCGGGCGGACGCTCTACCATTAGACCACGGAGGCGGTCTCAATCAAGCTGGCAATCAGTATATTGTAACTCATCCTCAAGAAAGACACTAGCTTTCTCATAAATTTCCTTTATTAAAATGTGTCCAAAATTAGTTTACTCTATGCAGGGCTTGGGTTGTCGGCTTCACTGTGCGGAGCTCTATTGTTTTGGTTTGAGAACTGAGTCATGCATGTGACGTCCGACCCAGAAACTGTTTTATGCATGATTTAAAAACACCCAGAACCGTCGACGTCCTGGCCCTTCAATAGATGCTGGTTGGAATGAAATACACAACAAGAAGTAGAAAGATTGCATGATGGTATGATGTCTTACAAGTAGGGTTGGCTGGTTAGGTGAGGTGAGGTGAAATAAGGTTTAATGTTGCATTCAAGATTATTGCACTTATATAGCGACGTGCATGCACGAGTGTGTCTGTGTGTGTGTGTGTGTGTGGCTGTTTGTACTAGTCCGGACTGATGCTGATTTATAGTGCTAGCCCACTGAGATACCATGCCGCAGTTTAACATGGATACCCCACTCAGACACAGTATACTGACTCCGAGCCGACCAGTCCTTGTTTTAGCCCCTTTATACCAAGCGCCAGACAGGGTAACAACAAGTACCATCTTTTAATGTCTTTAGGTATGACCCGGCCAGGGATCGAACCACGAACCTTCTGCTCTCCAGGCGGCCGCTCAACTACTTGACCAGGGAGGTGGTTGTTGACTGGGGAGAAGTTATTAATGTAAATACTAAAATAAATTCTAACTCTTTCGTTGCACCACTTTCTACTCGGAAAACTTCGTAATTCCATTCTAGTTTACTGAAAACAGAAATAAACAAAAACACTTATCAACATTGCATAGTAGGAGATTAGAAGACATAGCATCGGGACGATTCACTCATACACCACGATACACCAACTTCCCATAGGACTATCACCTGGTAGAACCTGGTCAAGATCCGGTTAGAATTGAGAACCCAGTCTTGTTGTAAAAGGCGACTATGCTTGTTGTAAGAGGCGACAATGCTTGTTGTAAGAGGCAACTATGCTTGTTGAAAGAGGCGACTATGCTTGTCGTAAGAAGCGACTAACGGGATCGAGTGGTCAGGCTAACTGACTTGGTTCTATCATCAGCTAAATTGACAGTCCTTATTTGTCTTGTGTAAATTACCCACATTTTACATGCAACAGGAGTTTAAAAAGGGTACACAGGGTTTACAACGATGCAGATATGTGCACCCAGTACACACAAATGTATTAAATGAATGGATGCAGAAAAAAAAATATTGCATCATGAGGGACCATATATATAGTCATTGTACACAATTCTCGACGAAAGTCCTGTAATTAAAGTAATTGTCAAATCTTACACTACACTACATGATGTCATCACAGGACCCTCATATTTCCTGCAAGGACCTTGACCCCCTATATCCCTAGACACAAACACTGGGTACATAATTGACTAGTAACTCCTATAAATAAACATGTTTCGTCAACCTTTGAACTAAGTCTGTCCTCTACCACTGGATATCCAACAACAAATTAAACTTGTGAGTGGTTATATTAAGCCCCACCCCAGTTCAACATTCTGAGTGCCCAGGGCACTTATTACTGCCTCACGACAAGCATGCTGCCTCGGTTTATTGGCCCCCAGAACCTGCCCTGAGTGTGTCCCCCATTTCCCTACTGTTAATGTACACAGATGCCATGTATACTTTCTTTAAAAGAAAAGAAAACACAACATTACAATGTCTCCCACCCGATATTTTATGAAAATTTGGATAAATATCTAATAACGTATTGTAGCTTTAAAAATAAATTTTATCAGAAAATAAAAAGCCAATGAGATTATTAATAACTGATTGCAAAGATCGGGAGAATGAATTAGCTTTAAGCCATAGACACCTTGCAGCTGTCCGACATGGTTAACAAGACCTGGAGCCATCAAACCAATGTTTGACAACACTACACACAGATCCAAACTAGCAATGTCCATCACAGCTAAGGTGGTCACCTCCATACAGTCATTGTGACCAGCCAATCCCCAATCCGGTTGGCTCTAAGGCTAAAAAAATAAAAGTCTTGGTTCTCAGGCACCCCCGCATCATCATAATGTCTGCCGCATGTTTCGTTTGTATCGAATATAGCACACAGTTACCTCCCTTTATATGCGCACTGCTTTACTGCACATCTCGTGTTATGGACATGGCGGCTATAGGAGTTTGTATGCTTGTTTTTGTAGGGAGGCCCTTTCCCAGGTTGATGGTACACAACTGTTTATTTAGTTACATACTAGTTTGAACAAGCAGGGGAAAAAACACACCGCCACACTATATTTTAAAAAGTCATTGCCTGAGAACCAATTCTTTTATTTTTTTATGCCTAATATGATGGAACATAACAAAACATTAAAAAGTGATGCACATTCTCATAATCTCAAGACTTACAATCAGAGCAAACAGATCATATACAATGTGATTATCATTTCATGAATGTGGCACATTTGGTGTAAGAATGCTTTGATTGAATTCAGATGGAATCACCATTACATGGACCTGGTCATGAAATCTGTCACAGTGTTGTTACCAAACTGGGTTTCTATAAGTTTTATAACAAAGTCTCTTGAGCATCTATAGTGCTGTTGTGTAAAATTCTTTGCTGGTGTGTAATATGTCTTGCAATACGCCTGAGCCTCATTCTGACGACAAAAGAAGTGTACTCCGACCATGACAGCAAACAACACCACCAGCACAGAAAACAACGCCAAACAACATCGTCCTAGACAGCCTCCCTCTGAAACAAAATAAAACAACAGACATTATGTAACAGCCTCAGTGATGAAACAAAAGAAGACAGACTTTATTGTATTGTGTCATTAATTCGTCATACAATTAAAAGTTGAAAATAATAAATCAAAATCATAAATTGTAAGGAAGAGAATTTATGGATGTCAACTTCTTTATTATGAGGAACACAACGTTTTGGAGCATATACTTACTCCTCCATTGATAATAAAGAAGCTGATATCAATAAATTCTCTTTCTTCTGTGTATCACTTCTAAATGCCTTTCAAAAACTTGTAAGCTGTATATTACATATAACTGACATTTCTATTCTACTGAGAAATACACTCAAAGTTTAGAGTGTCAGTGACTGATTTTCGAATCTAACATATCTATTAGGGGTTACTATTGGTCTGGAAATCACTATTGCGATAACTATTGATATTGAAAGAAATTATTGAGATAACTATTGATATTGCAAGCAACGATTGCGATATATATCGATAGTGTTCAGTGTATCGTTTTAGATGGATTTTAGAGTTGAATTAAACCTTGGAACTGAAGTTTTCTTTGAATGTGATAACCATAGCAACAAATAAAAAGTAAAGTTTGAGATATGACTGATTTGTTTTTTCTTTACCCTAATAATTTAAGAAAAAGAAACTTCCACATTACCATGTGTGAATTACTACCACTCATGATCAAAAGAAAAACAAATTTGAACAGCATTGCGTGTATTTTATTGAAACTGTAAAACAATCGAAACTATCGATATTCCTTATTGAAATCGATACTATTAATCGTAAACTGATTTAACAATTGATTTATTGACTTAAGGTGCTAACCAATAGCGATATAGCGATATTTCGATTTATCGGGACACCCCTAATATCTATAATCTGACATTGAAATCCAGAATATTCTTGGGGAAAGGCTTTTGAGCATGTGAGATCACATGACATCAGTGAACTTCTTGTAAATCAGGTGAAGCCAGCCACATGTTGCCAGGTGCGGCCCATATGCTCATGCCATGGAGTGAGTGAGTGAGTTGGGTTTTACGCCGCTTTTAACAGTATTCCAGTTATATTGCGGCATGTCAGCTTAATGTGGGAGGAAAGCCCCAAGTGATGCAGGTCTTAGACGTTTACATCTTCAGTGAAACCCACGAGCACGGGTATGGTGCTGACAAACCTAGAAACATAAATGGGGTGAACCAGGATTCGAACCCACAATCATAGGTTTCTGGCGTGCCCAAGGGACGCAACCCTGCACAGCAAATCGCGGCGCCTTAGACGACTGGGCCACCCGTGCCCCCTCATGCCATGGACCTCAAAACATTATAACTAGGATTCCTCTGAACTCAAAACAAGACAAATCCTGGTAAACCATTGCCAGAGGTGATAATCAGAAGAACGAGTGGTATGATGACAATTTCCACGGGAGTGTGAAGTGTTCACTAAGGGTATCAAATACAGCAGCAAGTATAGGTCAGTCCATGTTAGCACCGAGGGGTCTCACCATTTCGACAATCGGACATCAAGGGTCTGAGTGTTCTCACTCCTTTACCAGGGGTATCAAATACAGCAGCAAGTATAGGTTAGTCCATGATAGCACTGAGGGATTTCACCATTTCGACAGTTAGACATCAAGGGTCTGAGTGTTCTCACTCCTTCCTGGGGGTATCGAATACAGTAACAAGTATAGGTCAGTCCATGATAGCACTGAGGGATTTCACCATTTCGACAATTGGACATCAAGGGTCTTAGTGTTCTCACTCCTTTACCAGGGGTATCAAATACAGTAGCATGAACTGAAGCATGTTTATCATTCACTTAAATATTACTTGCCCACGTTGATGGACCCCTTATGAACAAACAGCCCTGTTCAAGAAAAGACTACTTTTTTCTATCTTTTCTTCAAACTACAAGCTGTCATAACAAAACTTACTGTTGATGATCATTTCAGATTAAAAAAAGTATCTATAAATCAGATTGAGTATCTACCTTTTGTTTTCTGCTTCTTGCTTTTCTGGATGCCATTTTCACGGACTTCTGCTTTCACTTCTGAAAGAAAAGATGGAAACACATGACATCATGCTAAGGAAGTGATGCAGACAGCCAACACAAACGATATGGTTGGGTCGAGATACAACATGTATCCCGATACCATCCATGGGCCCCACCTAATACGGGCCAAGGGACATAACTCTGCACAGGGACATTCAGCGCATCAGACAACTTGGCCACCCAGCACGCCCCCCCCCCCCCCCCCCTCCCTCCCAATACAGTATCGACATATTGTCACAGCACTAGTAGACAGAGTTATTTATATAGGATTCCAAACAACCAGTAAGTGCTGGTGGGGAAACTGGAGAAAAAAATATTTTGATAAATATTAAGAAATGAGACTGTTTATCTTAACAAACGTAGGTATGATTCCATTAATACATACCCTGGTGAGTTAATGAGTCATACTCATTCATGTTTAACACCACACTCAGCCATATTCCAGCCATATTATATGACAGCAGTCTGTACTTAATCAAGCCTGGGCCAGAAAAACCAGTGATTGACATAATGAGCAACATACCACACTGTCAGGGTACAAGGCCCCGTAATCAACAAAGTCACCAAGTCTGACCACCCAATCCAACCTGCTGCCATGTGTCACCTGTCGCCAGAGAGTTCTACTCACCACATTTCTCTCCTTCCTCTTCCTTCTTCTCTTTCTTCTCCTGGGCTTTTCGTGCCTGCTGCTCTTTCCTCTTTCGTTCCTTTTCCGCCTGTTTTTCCGCTTTCTTCTTCTTCTGTTCTTCCTCTTCCTTCAGCTTCTCTGCAGCTTCCCTTTCTGAATAATTGAGAATTTGTGGAACATGTACAATCTACACCATGAAATATGACAGTCTGCGTTCATCCGAGTCTCTGAAAGGGAAGGGTCCTCAGGCGTTTCAGAGCCAATCAGTAATGAAAAAACGGTGTCATTTTCAGTGAGTGCGTTTTATGCCGCTTTTAGCAACATTCCACCTCACACGGAGGGGGACACCAGAAATGGGCTTCACACATTGTACCCTGTGGGGAATCAAACCCAGGCCTTTGGAGTGATGAGTGAACGCTTTAACCATGAGGTTACCCCACTGTCTCAGTGTCATTTTCATAAAGGGTAAGTCAATTTCAAAAGGCGCCAGGGAAACAACACCACGTTCTTGTACAGTCAGTCCAAGATGCAGTAATGACAATATAGAGAGTGGGATTCATCTTGGGAAAGCTTCATCAAATTGTTGTTTTTTTTGTCAAAGTTTGTCAAAGATTTCCCCATGTTAAACTGTTCAAAAACTCAAAAAACGCTTTATTGAAAAATAAAACTTTCTTGACACTTTAAGCCTCATCATTCATTTTGCATTATTAAAAGCCCATACATGCAATTATGCAATGAACAGAATTTCTCATTTCTATGAACATATCTGATACCTTTCAAATAAAGTTCAAAAGTGTTTGACCAAGAGGTTAAAAGATGGTACTTGTTGTTATTCAGTCTGGTGCTCGGCATTAAGGGGCTAAAACAAGGACTGGTCGGCTCGGAGTCAGTATACTGTGTCTGAGTGGGGTATTCATGTTAAACTGCGGCATGGTATCTCAGTGAGCTAGCACTATAAATCGGCATCAGTCCGGACTAGTATAAGCAGCCACACAAACACACACGCGTACATGCACGTCGCTATATAAGTGCAATAATCTTGGACACGACGTTAAACCCCATTTCACCTCACCTGAAAAGTGTTTGCTCTTTTTATTCAGTCATGTAGATCAAGTGGACTTATCACATCTTGCCTCAAGTTATACCACTATGGTGGCCAAACAACACATGATATCTTGGTGAGTGAATCCTGCTTCTTTCAACACTGTTTCAGTTATGTCACACCATGGCTGCCTCATTTGGGAGTGTAACCTGTTCAGATGTTGACATGTTCTAGAAATCAGTGACCATGGATATCGTACTGACAGACTTATTTAGTGGTCAAATGTAACAAATGTTTGTTTACTGAGAAAGTGTAATCCCAAATATAACATTTGTTACATTTGACCTCTTTCTAAATGGCACTGTGTGTTCAAAGTATGTGATCTCGACTACCAGTTGTCTGACTTCCATTTTTGTGGAAGCCTTGGTGGCTGAGCAGGATAGATCCCTGACTTTGTTTGCTGGCAATTAGGTGACTCGCTCTGGCAGTGTGGGTTTGAATCCCGGACGGACTCAACCCCAAAAAGTACGAAAATCTGTACTTTACTGAGAAAGAGTTCTCCCAAATATAACATTTGTTACAGTGATGTTTTCATTGTCTAATTTACTTACAATGACAATGTCAAGTAAAATGCTCACCTCTTGCTTCCTTCAACAGTTTCTGTTTCCGCCTCTCGGCCTCCGAGTTGGCTTGTTTCATGTACACCAGCACCTGGAAGGAACCATGCGCCATTGTACACAAGTTGGAAATGTTTGTCCGACCCGTGATAGTGACTTCTAGTTGATTGACTGTCATGAAGTTCCTTCACCATTTACTTATTCCACATGAAGACACAAACTGACATAGCATGAAGAGTTCATAACCAATAAACTTCAAGAAGAACAATTATCATGATGATCAGTATCAGTATCAAGTAAAAATGACCCCCCCCCCCCCTCCCCATTCCATTTTGAATCAACTTAAAACCTTAAACATAACAGAGAAAAGGTGCTCACAAAATCATTCAATTTCCATCAAAATATTTAATACTTTCTGGATAAATAAACACTGATTATATGACTATCATGCTATAATCAACTGATTCATGTGATCCCTACTAGTCGATGGAATAAGGTTACTCTGTATATAATCAAATTTTCAACAGTCAGAAACATACTTAAAAACCACACAAGTTTGGACAAGGATATTCTCAGTGTAACTGATAGTTTTGGAATGTACAAATCAGTATTCAAAATTAAGGTTGATACACGAGTCCTGAGGTTTGCTCCTATAGTGCTTGAATCCAGTGACAAGCTAAATATTTGGCCCTTAAGATAGTGCTATGGCAAGGAGCCATTAACTTTCATGCTTAATTTCGAACCCTGAAATCATTTTCGATATTGACATAAACATGATAAAACCGAAAATTAGCTTCCAAAAATTAACATAAGAAAAACATTTCCAGAATGTTATCTCTGTATTCCTACCAAAAGATGAGAAGTCACATGAGTGAGTGAGTATGGTTTTACACCGCTTTTAGCAATATTCCAGCAATATCATGGCGGGGACACACCAGAAATGGGCTTCACACATTGAACCCATGTCGGGAATCGTACCCGGGTCTTCGGCGTGATGAGCAAACGCTTTAACCGCTAAGCTACCCGACCGCCCCAGAAGTGACCTGATGACTACATGACTGAGTTAGTATGGTTTTACGCCGCTTTTAGAAATATTCCAGCAATATCACGGTGAGGGACACCAGAAATGGGCTTCACACATTGTACCCTTTTGGGGGAAATGAGACCACCTACATTTTTAGCACACTTGCGACACTGTGTTTCATCCAGACAGTCCCCTGCTACTTGCTTCAAGCCGGGGTCCAGGGGGTTGTCCTTCAGGTCCAGCCACTTGAGCTTCTGGAGGTTGAAGAAGCCGAGTGGCAGGATGGTCAGCTGGTTGCCAAGCAGGTCCAGGTGCTGTAGGTGAGTCAGATTGCCAAATCTAATCGGCAGAGAGGACAGGGTGTTCTTGCTCAGGTCAATCTTGACCAGATGGGTCAGATTGCAGAAGGGATCCTACAATACACACAAACATGATGGAAAAATATAAATATTATGAAGAGGTTAGGTATGATAAGTGTTGGGAATACAATTAATTTTTAGCTTTTTAATCGAACACTGTCTGCTTGAGCAAATTTAGAGAATATTTTCTGTATGGACATACTGGAATATACTGTTATACCTGTTATATCACTCACCCCTATATTTTACTCTGCAACATGTTCAGCACAAAACACCTATACATATTACATTACTTGTAAAATGAATACTGTATTCGACATAATTAGCGCCCAGGGCGCTCTCAAAATTAGGAATAAGGAGCTCTTATTAGAATATTATTTTGGTGAAAGAAAACAGCGTTGAAAGATAAATTTCGTGGTTTATGCTGACAGTGACAGCCTGAAATGTTTATGTACGACAGATATAATTTTCCAGAATTTAACTGCCCATAATTAAGGGTTCATATAAGACACGGGTGCATATTATATGCGAATAATTAAGTCTTGTGTAAATTGATAAATTGGAAGGGGTGCTAATTGGGATTGTTCACTAGCCAATATATTAGCAAATATCCCTTATTAGAGCGGGGCGAGTATTACGTTGAATCTGTAAGCTAACTGGAACAAGTTGACGTGAAGTGTGTTACTCACAGGTAATGATGTCAGAACATTGCAGGATAAATCCAGATGTGTGGCTTTGGGTATGGCACTCTACAATGAAACAATGTCAACTGAGATGAATCACATATACACATAATCACTGTTACATTTAACATCAAGTGACGTCGGATAGGAAGCAAGTACACCAGGGGTTAATGCATCTTCCCGAGGCAAGAGAGTCAACTGACTTGAAAAATCCAGTTTCCACCCTTGCTGGACTAGGCTGGAATTCTTGGGCTCGATCGTAGCGCCACCAGTGGTTATTACAAGTTATGACTATTCTAAACCTCTCCTATGGACCAATCAGATTCCTCATCTCATATCACTTGCTTTGTTTCAAACAAAATGTCAGCGCCCAGTCAAGACGATCTGATCAATAATCAAGATCAATATTTTGATAAAACGGGTCTTACATCGCGAAGTAATCACGTAAGCACTTTGATTAAAAACATGAAAGGATTTGGAAAATATATGTTGATGCCAAGTTGGCGGTGCACATGCTTTGCAAATCCAGCAATCGACCGAAATCTGCACGACATTTTACAAACCGGATTTCGATGTCGTTGCACGTTTTTGATTGGACTATGCATAGACTTGTTAGTCCAGACAAAATGTAACTCCATAATACCAGCCTAGTTTGGCAAGGGTGGAAACTGGACTTTAATCGTCAGTTAACTCTCGTCTACGGAAGATGGGGTTAATGGTGTGAACAGTATCCCGTGGCATTGGATTATTTATCCAATGTTGAGAAGTACTGCACTTGATCAGGCACATTTTTCCTAACTCCATTTAGCACAATGTGAGTAGAGGATCAAACTCGTGTTACCAGCTTGAATCTTGGTTAGTCTAGTAAGTAAAGTAGCCAACACCTTACCATGGGACCAAGGGTAAATAATTAGTGCTTGTTTACCAGGTGACGGAACCCAAGTGTTTATACTTATGTGTATGCATGGTGGCCACTTTTCTTAAGATTCTTCATGAAAATTGTGTGGATTAACTTTGGATGAAAATAAAACAGTTAAATGAGGTGAGATACCAAACTCGAACTCACAACTAAACAACCCGTGAAGTTGCGGTCTTCAGCATCCCATGCTTGGCATAAGGAGGCAACTAATGGATTGGGTGGTCAGACTCGCTGACTTGGTTGATGCATGTCATCGTATCCCAATTGCGAAGGTCGATGCTCATGATGTCAATCGCTGGATTGTCTGGTCTAGACTAGATTATGTATACCTTGAATATTGCTGAATGCAGCGTTAAACAACAATCAACAACATCATCAGCCTTAGGATAGGAAAGGGGAATCTTATCCCGAGGATTGAGTGTATATGAATGTGCGTCCATGTTTCTGTTTGTACTAGTCAAGACCAATGCCAGTTTTATAGTGCTAGCTCACTAGGACACCACAAGTTAACATGGGTACCCATTTCAGACACAATATACTGACTGTCGACTCTCAAAACCCTCTGTCGACTAATGCAAACCTAAGAACAATATTTCAATGCTTGATCGAATACAGAACTCATTTAGTGTGTGATGGCTACTCCTAAGTAAACACTTTAACTTTTTTTTCCATTCAAAATTGGTTAGAAAAGAACCGATTTGTTTGGATGATGATGACCCAACCTAGGTCACATGCATACAGATTATGCATAACAGGAAGTGATATATAGCACATATTCAACACGTATCACACCGCACAATAGCAATATCCTGATAATATAGAGTTGCCCACCATTGAGTCACTAGTGGCAGATACTTTGAAAACATATCAGATCTTGCTAAAGAAAATCAGCAACGATCAATCCTAACTGATGTGTGATAAAGATTGAACAAATAACAGGAAACATTTTGCATACAACATATTTAAGAGGTTAGTAAGCATACGCCATTACGTTCCATTATAAATTAACTACCATGATAATTTAGCATTACTGCATACCATACTACAGTAAACTATGTTTATAACGAACTGACGGATACAACAAACTGTTTGGGGTTCCTGTTCATTTGCTGTTTACATGCTGTATATATGCATATATAACCAACTACAGCAACTGTACGGTTATAACAAATTTAATTAGTGGTTCCTTAGAGTTTGTTATAACTGTAGTGTACTGTACACAGATCGGTCCTATCATTAAAAAAAAATGAGGTGCTGTTTTCACTGGCCTTTCAGTAGCATTTTTTGCAAAATTGGTGCCCTTAAAGCCTGCACAGGAGGTGCCCTACCCTAACCCTGAGGACAATTTTCTCGCTCATCACATGAACAACTGTAAAACATCTCATTCACTTAAAGGCTAAAAGACAGCTTTATCTTAAAAACAAGCCATCATTGGTGTATTTACAATTTCTGTGTGACGCCACACCCCAATTATGGTGCGGGAAAGTATTCGTGAAAGAAAAGGTATGATGTCTGTAAACCTATCATCCGACGATAATAGTTTTGTGTCATGAATAATAATGAAGGCATATATATATGATGCTGAAAGCTCTCATCGAAAACAGGACAATCCGCGACGGTTATCTGGAAACACAATAATATTTTTCAGAGTTATGTTTTTTCAATCTTTGATTGTATTTTGACGCAGAAGATGATTTTTCCCGAGGACTACTGTTTTAAAAAAAAGTGATTTTCTGCGTTTTCACATCACCGGATTAAAGGGGTATGTGAGATCAATGAACATGGTGAAAGGAAAGCCACACAGAAAATAAGCAGCACTCCGTAAACTGCAGTCTTGCCTAGTTTCTTATGGCTTCACTTGTTGGCACAGCATTGACCAGTTTCTTATGGCTTCACGTGTTGACACAGCATGTGTAGCACATACACACTCAATAAGCTATATAATCAAACTGCAAACTTTTAACTGCCGATCAATGACCATATAACTGAAATAATGCTGACTGTTGAGTAATAAGCAAAATGACCCACGCTCACCCTCAATGTAAATGAGTTATTTGAGAACTAACCTAAATCATCTGCAACATGGAAATGTACATACAAAGACAGAATAATTCATAGAAGAGAATGTTACCCGGTTATTGATAAAATGTCAATGCTTATGATCAGTGTGATCAAGCTGGTTGAAAATGAACACAGCTTCATTCCAATTAGTGGTTTCACTTTAAACGATCAGAGAAGTGTCAGTATTTCCTACCAATTCTTTTACTGGGACCACCGACAGATTATTCAGACTAAGATCCAGTTCATTCCCATCCAGATTTTCTCTTAAGTTGTCTTTCGGCATGGTGAATATTTGGTGTGGCCTTGGATTACACCAGCAGTGTGTCAGACTTCTTGCCGTGTTGATAACGTGACACGCAATACCGGAAGTTCACACACCACCAATAAAGCACCGGTCTAAATTTTGGGAAGATGTTGAAAGAAGTAATACCGGTATCTTATCAGGTAATATATCTAATATGTAATTCGGGCCTAATTAATATACCACCGAGGAATGAATATATATTTATCCTATGTTTATCCAATATTTTAAACTCATCATGGTGCCGGATAAGCAAACTCATTCGCAACTTCACTCTAGCGACTCCTCTTTTCAGGAGGACTTTCACTGTAAGGACTTCACCGGAATTTAGTGCGGGGGGTGAGGAATAGCTGAGTTTCCGGTGTCAATAGAGGACATGTGCAAGGTCTAGCAGTATTGCAGCAGATAAATGGTTAGTATATCCGGGAATCCAACGGTCAGTGTTAGGGAATAAGCTTTGGGTCGGCGTGTCGGAGATATGAGCACAACAGTTGCAGTGAGTAAAAATGCTCATGAGTCAAATGTCGAGTTCAAACCCTGCAGTGTTCCAGAAACATATAATCGGCATTAATACAGACGTTGTCGCAGCTTGAAATTTTCCGGAAAATCAATACATATCATGTTTTCGGTAACACTGCAGTATACCGGGCGCAGCCAGATAGTACAAATTGTTACCAGCTACCGGTTATGGCTCTCGGTTCTCAGATCTTCAATCCTCGAGATCATAGGTTGTCCGGGGTGCAGGCTAAAACGGCACCTCAGCAAAACGTCACCGATTTCTCTGGCAAAAACGGCACCGCATTTGGCGAAAACGGCTACTATGTGTCGGGCGAAAACGGAACCTCTATGTTTAATAACGATAACAACGAGTGTGAAATTCCGATAGGTTTGGTACTCTCATTTCTTCAGCATCTTCTGACTGGAAACTGACATGAAAGTTACCGATCACCTCTTCAATGACGGGAGCTACGCATTTCACACAGCGGAAAGGGAAGTCAGTACGGCAAATTTCTCTATAACGGGGCCATAGAAAGGTCCGGTTCCACTGGTCACAGTTATCACATGATACAGCATGTTGATTTTTTTTCTGTCATTTTTCTCGCATGCAACACATCGAAAGGCCATTGTGAATAATTGTGATCTGACAGCACCATGTTAGGCCTCTTAAAAACAGTTTCAGCTTAAATTGAGTAAAGGTACTTAAAACTTCAAAGCGTATAGTGAATAAAAGTCGGTGAGTAAATTGGAGTAGGGGGCTAATTTCTTATTTGTTTTATTTCACAATTATTTGTGTTTGTAAGAGACGATGTGAGTTTAATTTCTATTATCTTTCGTCAAAGCTATTATCTTTCACCATAAGTTGAGTTGCGTATAAGCTAAGTTGGATTATAGTTGGAGCAGAGGCTAATTTCTAATGTAAACTTGTTTTAACATCTCACAATTATTGGCCTTTGCAAGTTACAATGTAAGTTTAATATCATTCATTTGACCAAGGTAAAAAAAAAAATAAGGTGCCGTTTTCGCTCGAGTCGAGGTGCCGTTTTCGCTTGAGTCGAGGTGCCGTTTTCGCCAATCGGTGCCGTTTTCGCCCGGTGACGTTTTGCTGAGGTGCCGTTTTCGCTATAACCCGGTTGTCCGGGGTGTAAGTGCATTCGTAACCAAACAAATTCGTAGGCATGGAGAGTTCGTATGCACTCCCAACTCGTAGAGAAAACAAATACAATAGAGAAATAGATCTGAATAATGATTTATTACATAAAAATATTACCTGAAAAATGTATTTCAAGTCTCAAATTTTAAATGAAAATAAATGCTTGATTCATTATGACCTGGCATGATGTGATAATCTGATAATCATAATACGATAATCCCATACTTCACTCACCAATAATTATCATTCTTCTTGGTTTGGATATACTTACCTGATTATTATCTGAAAACAGAAGACAGAAGAGGGATCCTCATCATGCTCATTGTCAAATCATTTAAGGCACCAGAATTAGCAGATCACAAGTTTAATTTATTCAATCACCGGGTGTGGATCCTTACTTATATTTGTTTCTCTTGGAGTAAACAGATTATTTTTTCCACAAATTGCTGGTTGGTGTTTACTTGATAATTGGATTAACAGGAGATTAACACACAGTCAGTATAATCCTAAACAGGTTTGACTATTTATCATTCAAATAACTGTATTATTATTTTATAATCTTTGCTCAAAGGGAAGAGTCATGAAAATTGGTACATGCAAGTGTCAAGTGTTTGAGAATACTTCTCTTGTTTAAGGCCAAGTATCTAGCACAATTCCTGGTCGCTGGTCACCTGGCTTAAGACAAAGGTTGTTACATGAAATCAGGCCCAGTTCTACATGTTTTGTTTGTTAAACGCCACACTCAGCAATATTCCAGCTATTTGACGGCGGTCTGTAAGTAATCAAGTCTGGGCCAGACAATACAGTGCCTGACAACATAAGCATAGATCCACGCAATTGGGATCGATGACACGCATAAACATGATCAACCAAGTCAGCGTACCTGCCAACCCAATCCTATTAGTCGCCTCTTACGACAAGCATAGTCACCTTTTACAGCAAGCATGGGTTGCTGAAGACCTTTTCTACCCCAGATCTTCATGGGCCTGTTCTACATGTACTAACAGTGCTCACTCATGCTTCTGTTGTTGAAGGCCAAGTATCTAGCACAGATCCTGGTTGCTGGGACACAGGTTGTCGGTCGAGCATTTGCACGGGCACTGAAGCAGGAATATGCAGCAAGCCAACAGGCAGCCCAGAAGGCTGGGGGTGGGAAACAGGGAGCACGGAGGGCAGCTGCAGACACAGCCACGGGAATGTCATTACAGGTATAATGTCGTTACAGGTGTGATGTTATTACAGGTATAATGTCATTACAGGTGTGATGTTATTACAGGTATAATGTCATTACAGGTGTGATGTTATTACAGGTATAATGTCATTACAGGTGTGATGTTATTACAGGTATAATGTCATTACAGGTGTGATGTTATTACAGGTATAATGTCATTACAGGTGTGATGTTATTACAGGTATAATGTCATTACAGGTGTGATGTCATTACAGGTATAATGTCATTACAGGTGTGATGTTATTACAGGTATAATGTCGTTACAGGTGTGATGTTATTACAGGTATAATGTCGTTACAGGTGTGATTTTATTACAGGTATAATGTCGTTACAGGTGTGATGTTATTACAGGTATAATGTCATTACAGGTGTGATGTTATTACAGGTATAATGTCATTACAGGTGTGATGTCATTACAGGTATAATGTCGTTACAGGTGTGATGTTATTACAGGTATAATGTCATTACAGGTGTGATGTTATTACAGGTATAATGTCGTTACAGGTGTGATGTTATTACAGGTATAATGTCATTACAGGTGTGATGTTATTACAGGTATAATGTCATTACAGGTGTGATGTCATTACAGGTATAATGTCGTTACAGGTGTGATGTTATTACAGGTATAATGTCATTACAGGTGTGATGTTATTACAGGTATAATGTCGTTACAGGTGTGATGTTATTACAGGTATAATGTCGTTACAGGTGTGATGCTCTTACAGGTATAATGTCGTTACAGGTGTGATGTTATTACAGGTATAACGTTACAAGTGTGATGTCACAGATGTAATGTTATTGCAGATGTAATGTTATTGCAGGTGTAATGTCATAACAGGTGTAATGTTGTTGCAGGTGTGATGTCGTTGCAGGTGTGATGTCGTTACAGATGTAATGTTGTTGCAGGTGTAATGTCATAACAGGTGTAATGTTGTTACAGGTGTGATGTCGTTACAGGTGTGATGTCGTTGCAGGTGTGATGTCGTTACAGATGTAATGTTGTTGCAGGTGTAATGTCATTACAGATGTAATGTTGTTGCAGGTGTAATGTCATAACAGGTGTGATGTCGTTGCAGGTGTGATGTCGTTACAGGTGTAATGTTGTTGCAGGTGTGATGTCATAACAGGTGTAATGTTGTTGCAGGTGTGATGTCATTGCAGGTGGAATCATATTGCCATGATACACTTTAATGATACTGCAACAACACCTATCCCTAATCTACACTTTCATTATTAACCTGATTAAGGTCACATCAGTTCTCATCTCGTTTGTGAATGTCCCCTCAGTGTTATGCAAATATAGTAGTCATAGTTCTGATTATGCCAAAGATGACCTCTGTATCGCAGAATCACCGATCACAAGTTGTGTTAGTGATGTGCAGAATGTGTCGCATGGCTCACCTGAGAGTGACTATTAGGGCTGAAACGATATTCGGAGACACCGATGCATCGCAATTCACTCCACATAATAAAGTGCGCAATTTGTGAGGTGCTGTATCACGATTTTTCATGATACGTTTTTTTTTAATAAACTTCTATCACAGATACGTTTGAGATGTGTTTTAAATGAATTTCAAATTCAAACCGAGTCATAAAACGTAGGGACAATATAATTTTCGCAACACACATTTACATCTTCGAAAATACAGCAGCTTTGCTAGCTTTGTATGTCAATATCAGTTCAAGCATTCTGATTGGCTGAGCGGTCACTAACTCAAACATGTCGGAAAAAGCAGATGCTCGTCCTTTGCTAGTGAAACCACCGGGGACTCACAAATCAGTAGTGTGGGAACATTTTGGGTTCCCAGTAACATTTGAAGATGGAATCAAACATGTGTGGAAAGATGAAACGTGCTGTCGCATGTGTCACGCAAGGTTTCAAAAACACATTGCCAGCAATGTCAACACGTGCCCGAGCCAGTACTAGAAGTATCGGCATGTATTTGGCTCTTGATATGAGACCATATTCTGTAGTGGCGAATGTTGGATTCAGAACATTAGAGCCCGATACGAAATTCCATAAAATACTCATCACAGTATATATTTTATGACCCATGAACATTCATTCTCTTTCATTTATAAATCATGTGAAATCTAATTCAATAACAAAGCTACATTCTAATTTTATAATGAGTACCTTGACATGCTAACAGTGATCAGGCAGTGACCACAAACAAACTATGGAGGCTAATTATATATGACAGTGGACGTTGTTGCTGCAATAAAAAAAATTATATATAATATCTGAGTATAATGCCATTTGATTTTTTTTTGTATCACTTACGTTACTTGTGGCCGGCAATTTTGCATCAATAACCTGCTTACTTTTGGGTTTTAAGTGTTATATGTTCTCTCAAAGTGTGGCCCCATTAGTTTTGAAAATGACCCCATGTATTTATACTGAAGGGGTCTCTGTCCCCACTTGTTCAGCGTCTTGGCAGAACTCTGTGTCCATTGGATGTATTGTTGAGGATATGTAAAACAGGCTGCATCTGCGATTTAAAATTTGTTTCCAGAGCACAACTTATATAACGTTCCGGATTTCTTTGTGAAACTTTATATACACAACAGGCACTCACTCACTCACTCACTCACTCACTCACTCACTCACGTTAAACCTACCTTACTCGTTCTTTCACACACTCACTTGAATATTGCAGGAGGCGAAGCAAATACTGCACATATCAGAAATCACAGACCCCAAGTTGACACAGAGTAAATACGACCACCTGTTTGCGGTTAACGAAAAGGCCAAGGGCGGCTCATTCTACCTACAATCTAAGGTATTGTGTTAGGAATCCAACAACAGACTGTAGTCAATAGTTTAAAGTACCTGCACAGAAGCTTGCAGCAGGATAGATTCATCTGAGAAGCATATTAAATGTGTAGTTCATTTATTACATGCTTGTCTCCCCAGGTGGTCAGATTCAGTGACTTGGTGATTGTATGTCATCATATCCTGGCGTCATGTTTCCTCATAATATCGTGAAGATCCGGGGTAGAATGGGGCTTTAGCAACCCATGCTTGCCATAAAAGGCGACTATGCTTGTCGTAAGAGGCGACTAACGGGATCAGGTGGTCAGGCTCGCAGTCTTGGTTTGATGCATATAATCGATACTAATTGCGTGGATCGATGCTCATGATATTAATCACTGGATTGTTTGGTCCAAACTTGATTATTTACAGACCGTCCCCATATAGCTGGAATATTGCTGAGTGTGGTGTAAAACAAAAAACCAACCAAACCAATTATAATATCGATCACTGGATTGTCTGGTCCAGAATTTATTTATTTTTAACGATCCACCTTTATATAGCTGGCATATTGCTCATTGAGGTGTTTAAAAACTAACGAGTAAAATATGCATGGCTTGGACTAGGTGGCCTGTGTGGCATTGTTCCCTGATTGTTGTTTGTGTTTTCACAAACCAGTTTGCCTGGTCTACCCAAACCAGTTTGCCTGGTCTACACAAACCAGTTTGCCTGGTCTACACAAACAAGTTTGCCTGGTCTACAACCAGTTTGCCTGGTCTACCCAAACCAGTTTGCCTGGTCTACAAAAACCAGTTTGCCTGGTCTACAAAAACCAGTTTGCCTGGTCTACAAAAACCAGTTTGCCTGGTCTACACAAACCAGTTTGCCTGGTCTACCCAAACCAGTTTGCCTGGTCTACAAAAACCAGTTTGCCTGGTCTACACAAACCAGTTTGCCTGGTCTACACAAACCAGTTTGCCTGGTCTACACAAACCAGTTTGCCTGGTCTACACAAGCCAGTTTGCCTGGTCTACACAAACCAGTTTGCCTGGTCTACACTGGATTTACAGGCTGATGGTGATTTTCCACATTTGAGCATTGTTTCTTCTTTCAGTCACTGGTTTTTCTGGTCCAGGCTTGAATAAATAAATTGAACATGATTCATGATTGGCTAACCATGCAATTTTGTGTGTTTGTTTCCGAAAATAGGCCACTCCCACTTACGGACTACCGATTGTTCCTGATTGGCTGATAATAGAATGTTTTCGTATTGTCTGCTTCTTTTTTTTGGTGTTAATTTTTATATAAGCAGACTATGAAATTATTGTTCTTAATTATTTATTGTTTATAACAATTCTGCAATATTGATAACTGCAAGCATGGCACAGTTAAACAATATCAATCTCATTAAAATCAAACCTCAGTTCTCGCTACCGCTAAACAAAGATCTGAGGACATCCCATTAGGGGTCATGTTAGAACAACCTTTCATCCAGATTATGAAAGTGACAGTCGGAATGTGATTTCTAATCATGCAACCTCGAAAACTTTAACTCCAAACAATAGTTACGGGTTTAACAACTGAATCCATACAATCTAGACGATCTATTAGCCATTCCAGAATGTTCTTTTGTTCAGGTTTCAAATTTGTAATCGAGAATTTGTCAAAATGTGTTTCGAAGCATAGTCACCAATTTGAAATTAGTGCCGTACAGCACGAAAAAGCTGCCTTCTGATTGGTCATTCCATTGGTCGGTCACAGTTCGCACAATGTCGGTCTGACCTGACCTGTAATGGGATGTCCTCAGATCTTTGTTTAGCGGTAGCGAGAACTAAGATCTGATTTTAATGAGATTGAAACAATATTCACTGGTCCACTCCCCAGTGTAACAAGCTTTGTGTCACCTTCAGGTCGTGCGAGCAAAGGAGAGAATTGACATGGAGATCAGCAAGCCTGAACCTAAGAACAAGAAGGAAGAGACTTGATGTCACAGTCCTCTAGACAGTGTGTGTGTTGTGTGGATGATCAGGATACACCATCAGCGCCAAATCTATACCAGCTGCGGACCAACCAACCATCTCTGGTTACCATGACGACAGTGTTTCCTAGATTTGTTCAATATGCTTGATTTCGAAATTTTGGAGATGGCATCAAGATAGCGTTATCATTAGGATGAATTTTTATGTCTTGCACAGTTACCATGGTTACTTGATGATCAAGAAATCTTTCTATTGTTCATCCTTCTTGTGATACCCTCAGTCACAGACACAAGAAGCTGAAGACCTCTCAGAGAGATCATTTAGGTGTCATGGTCCAAATTTGTGCAACCGCTTTCGAGGTTAATTTCACTGTCAGTGAAGTTCCAGTCTGGTGTGCTTAGTGTTTATTTAATTACGTGCCTGGCATTTGTTACTAAAGAAAGACAGAAATTTCTATATGCATCCCTAAGATGCACACCCAGTACACAAAGCTTGGCACAATGGAAGACCTAACATGGAAAGAGTGAAGATGATAAAGAGTTTGTTCCATGCAACCTCCACAGGAAAGAGCTGCAGGACAACCATCTGGGTTGTAAACTTTGTTAGAGTAGCTAGAAATAGTTCAACAGTCACTACCAGAGAACCAAATATGTACTCACCGCAAAAGAACTGTGAACCATAGAAACATAAGAGTTCACACAACATACCAGTATGTCCGTTTGTGTCTAATCAATCTCTTGAATATGAGTAATTCTTCATGTATTAACATACGTGTATGGTATTCTCATTTCTTTTGTTGGTAAGTATATTTTTAGCCCACTTATAATACTGCTACTGGTTGTTTTTTATAATATATTTTCAAAAATAATCAATATTGAAAGATGAATACCAGAAGCATTATTATTTTAAAATGTTAAACAATAAGAAGGAATGTCGATCCCACCGGTCTTTTCCTGAATAGATTTCCTAGTGTTCCTTGTCTTCAGTTTGTCTGTAAATATGTACAGGTTGTGAGTATGTTGAGTGTTCATGTTGATTGTAATGGACAGACATCTCTCGTCGGAGGAATAAACAGTCAATGATGTCATCAGTGTTTTGTCATGGCTGCTGACAGTATAAGAGTATGAAGACTTTGTCCCAGGCAGCACCACTCAGGAAAACAGATGCAGGACAGATGTCGGGTTTTTAATTTTTGTCTGTGTCAGGATTCTCATTTTTAGTTAACCAGTGTATCATATCTCATTTTATTATGACAAATACCCTGTACCCTTTTGTCAGTATAGCTTCGTTTCGGAAGTGGCATCACCACCTCCATCATGAATTTATTACGTAGCTTGAAATCAACAACCAATCAAAATGCCTCTTCTGAGAAGTTTGGGTTACCGGTAAATCTACTTTCAAAATTTTGGCCTCTCATATGCAAGTCCTCAATATATTTAATTGATTCAGAAAATTGTTATAAATGCATAGCTGGAAAAGAAGTTGTCCCCGAGACTTAAAAAAAATAAAAGAATTGACTTTTGAAAATATAGTCCGGTCGGTGTGGGTTTTTTTGTGCTTGTTCAAAATAGTTTGTAACCAAATAAATAAAGTTGTGTACCATCAACCTGGGAAAGGGCCTCCCTACATAAACAAGCATACAAACTCCTATTGCCACCATTACCATAACACAAGATACACAGTAAAGCATTGCAGAAGTCGTGGGTAGAAATTGTGTGCTATACTGGATCGCATTGCTTTAAGTGCATGTATTAGGATTTTTAAAATAAATTTAAAATGGAAGTAAAAATGAAACATGTGGCAGGCCTTATGATGATGCGGGCAGTGCCTGAGAAACAAGACTATTATTTTTTTGGCCAAAGAAAAAGCGAGTGTTTCTTTTTAGCCACCTTTAGTAATATTCCAGCAATGTCACGGCACACCACAGAAAGAGACAGATCACAACTGGACTTGTTGAGTTTGACATTGTCGTTAGTTTTCATCATGAAAAAGCAATATAATTTGATTGGAATGCTCCTTGGAAGTCACATTATTCGAACCGGATGATAAGTGAAGCCATGGTCCCGGGTATGTAATAGTGTGAGTGAGTTGATTTTAACACCGCTTTTAACAGTATTCCAGTTATATCATGGTGTGTCAGCTTAATGTGGGAGGAAAGCCAGAAGTGATGCAGGTCTTAGACGTTTACCACTTCGGTGAAACCCACAAGCACGGGTATGGTGCCTACATACCTAGATGAACCCACAATCATAGTTTTCTGGCGTGCCCAAGGGACGCAACTCTGCACAGCGAATCACGGTGCCTCAGAGGACTGGGCCACCTGTGCAACCCCAGGGTATGTAATAAACAATAAGAAGACAACACCCTGGATAATGGAGGATGATTCAGGGAATGCAGTAACAACCAACACGACTGAGATCAACAAATATTTATTTTCAACAACATTCATTCAACAACCAACACTCTCCATCACAACAACTCCCGATGTATCAGTGCACTTCATACAACATATTTCATCACCCATATATATAAACAAATATATTCTGACACATGATTATATATGAATATTATCAACACTCTGCTTTGATACAAAGGAAACAATGCCATTTTGTAATCTATTCCGTGTAAATTGTCTAGAAACAGATGCAAGACTATTAACTTTATGATCTCGAAACACTTTATCAAGAACACTCGGTCATATCAATGACATACACTCCAAATAGGAGTTCACAATTGTCATCAGATGGTGGACAACCTTGTTTTGCCTTACCCTCACTACAAACTATCACATTAACATGGCGATACTGCATACAGTGATACCCTGATAACCTGGAATCCTCTCTTTCCAGGCAATTCCTGTTGGGAACTGCAACTGAGGTGAAATTAATTTTTGTTTGTCATTTGATGTTGCACTCTGCAGTATTCCAGCTATATGATGCAACCTGTAAATAATCGTGTATAGACCAGAAAATCCAGTGATTGTATATTATCAGCAACATCCCCTAAGTCATCAAGTGTGACCACCTGATCCAGTACATCACCTTGTACAAGACACAGAGGTTGGTGGGGACCTACTCTACCCTAGACTTCCCATGGGGAGAAATCATTACATATTCATGCATGGTTCCTTACTCCAGGGGACAGGTTGGTGGGGACCTACTCTACCCTAGACTCCCCATGGGGAGAAATCATTACATATTCATGCATAGTTCGTTACTCCAGGGGTCACAGAGGTTGGTGGGGACCTACTATACCCTAGACTCCCCATGGGGAGAAATCATTACATATTCATGCATGGTTCCTTACTCCAGGAGACACAGAGATTGACAGTGTCCAGACTGACAGGGTCACTGCACACAGTACATTGCACGATTGATTGAGTGTATGCATTTCTGCAATAAACGCCAACAGTCAGGAACTCGCAGATGCATTTCATGCCAGTATTCAATTCAGTATTGTCAGAATGATACAGTACTGGTACTTTGATAAGTATGTGATTATCTTGTTGAATATGCCTGCAAATCAACGTCTATCTGGAATGGTAAGAACATCTTAAAAGAAGCAGTCACTCATTTTTCTATTAATAATAATGTACCTGGTCAGTATATGTGATGTTTGATAAACAGCAAATCTTGATGAAACATGAAATGCATCATGAGTGAGTGAGTATGGTTTTACGCCGCTTTTAGCAATTTTCCAGCAATATCACGGCGGGGGACACCGGAAATGGGCTTCACACATTGTACCCATGTCGGGAATCGAACCCAGGTCTTTGGCGTGAGCAACGCTTTAGCCACTAGGCTACCCGACCGCCCCAAATGCATCATGAATAAGATGATATTGTTCAATTTCTTTTGTTCAACATATATTCTTTATACCCAAATTTCCTACGGTATGATCTTATTCTTATATTCTTGTAATAATTGTTTATACACACAAAACAAACAACTGGCCATAGCACTTAAATGCAATGTCATATTCATATTTTATAACCTAAATTAAATTCTGATTTGGCATGAGTTCTATGGTAGACATAATAATCCATTCCTATTGATAATATTAAATGTGCAGAAAACAACCCTAAAATGTAAACAAATGACTACAATGTTGTCATAGTTGATACCCCTTGTGATACGCTGTTTGATGTTATCATCATATCAACATTGAATAGTTTGACCCAAGATTGGAGCAATACTTCAGTTAGGTAGAAATGTTTTTACCTTGGATGAATATTCTTATGCTAAACCTTTTTTCACCCTTAAAAAAGAGAAGATAGTATATACCCATTTTTTTCGTTTACTATAGTTATCGTGAATAACAATAAGTCAAAAGAAAAAATCTGATGTTCTTTATCATCTTTTGAGTTGTATATTTCAACAAGCTCTCATTCTTAGGAAATGATTTTTGAAACATTGGCGCAAACAGACCGACTTTAATTCCTCTATCAAACAATGTGCTGTGTCAGAAAGTTCACATAGTTCTGTCAGGGAGCAGCAATGTATTCTTGCAGGGGAGGTGCTCTTCACGTGGATGTGTCTGAGAACTAAACCATTTTTTAACCAACCTTCACAATATTCATTTGACATACTGATCATACAATTCTATTTAATGAAAGATCCGAGAAAAAATCTGATGAATCTGCGCAAAAAATATTTACATGCTGTTGATCTGATTTATATGCCCATGTTCTTTTTTGAAATCCTTAATATACTACTGAAAATAAGTGAGGGATCATCCGATTCTTTCAAATTACTATACAGTCAAGTCTCGTTAATCCGACACTCGTTAATCCGACAATCGGCTTTATTTGACACAAATGATGGGAACCGTTTTAATCAGTGCTATTTAGACCCCTTAATCCGACAGTCTCGCACTCCGACTCCGACACACCTAATTTGCAACGAATTGCTGAAATCACTCATTAATCAGTCTCGTTAATCCGACACAGTGATCAGCGTACTCCGTGGTCATCAGCCCGCGAGTACACGGCCCAGTGTTTTGATGCGAGACGAGTCGGCGAGTAGCTGCATATTTCAACAGCTGCAGAGATAAACTTGCTTAAGACAGTGGTAGTTTTGTGTTAAACTTTAGTGGTTGCATGATTAGAAAACATATTCCGCTGACAATGAAACACAACAATATGAATATTTCATTTTTCAGTTTCCTACGTATTCGTATCATTATCTATCGTGTAGGTGTCCAATTTTCGATCATGAACGTTTATACTACATTTTTTCGGTTATCCGACATACTTGTTATTCCGACATAATCATATGCAACCAACAATGTCGGATTAACGGGACTTGACTGTAGTTAATCTGTCATGGCTTGACAGATTTACTATTGTCATGTGAAAGTATGATGTGGTCCCCACTTGTTTCAGTAGTACAGTTATGGGTCAACTTGGGTATTTCATATTTTGAAGTGATGCAGGCTCAGCACGCAGACAGCAATATAGTGTCATAGTCAGCAAATTTACCATTTCAGTACAAACCAAAAGAACAAACTTTTAGGAAAGTCAAATGGATCTGGGTGCCATTGTACAAAGAGATCTTAACGCTAAGGTGATCGTAACTCCCATACCCCAACATAGACTTACGACAGACATAGTGCTAATGTCATATTTGTACAACAGCACCCTGGTTTGAATGTTTTTCATTTCTGAAATACAGATAATATTTTCTTCGATATTTTAAAATGTAAATCCACATGGTGAAGTTTTGGATAAGTGGATCCGTAAACCAAGTACTGCAAGCAATGTGTAAAACATACATGTATTCCTGCTTTGTCAATACACATTTCTCAACATCTGTTCAGTAACTCAGTGAGTCGGTTGGCACGGGTGGCCCAGTCGTCTAAGGCACCGCGATTCGCTGTGCAGAGTTGCGTCCCTTGGGCATGCCAGAAACTTATGACTGTGGGTTCAAATCCCGGTTCGCCCCGATTATGTTTCTAGGTTTGTCAGCACCATACCCGTGCTCGTGGGTTTCACCGAAGTGGTAAACGTCTGAGACCTGCATCACTTGGGGCTTTCCTCCCACGTAACTCTGGACAGCGAATTGCAGCACCTTAGAAGACTGGGTCATCCATGTTTAATTCTACTGAGACATCCAAGAAATGATACGAGTGATTGACCTCCAGTACTTTTGTTCCTTCACTGCTGAAGATCAAACAGAATGACAGCCTACATGAGCTGATAAATTATGCTTGATGGTTGAGGTAAACTTATAACGGTTATCCTAAAACAAGATCAGTTTCAAAACCTTCAGACACTAATCTAATTCCCTGAGAAAGTCATCAATCCAATATTTGTTAGTATGAAAGAAAAGGTAAATAACTTGATTATATACAACTTGTAACTTAAGAATTCTAAACACAAGATTTGCTCAGACAGAATTTCGGTAAATGTGCAAAATAAAACTTCCAAATACATTCGCAGATCCCGCAAGGGAAGGGCGGATTGCAGGGGTGCGAACCTGCAAATGTTTGACAACTTGCCAATCATGTGCACGTACATCACAAAATCAATGAATCAATGGGAGACATGTTTTCAACAAAAACAATTTTACTTGGCTTACAAACAGAAATAATTACTGTCTTCCAAATGAATTATTTGCATTCTTCTTGTATGTATTATTGGAAGACAAATGACACCAGGCAAAGACAGTCAGCAACCAGTCCACAAAACATGGCCATGTATGTATCCATACAAACCGGGATAATTTGTGACATACATCATGAATCTTTGCTAAATTTAACATTCTTTGAAGTCGTGAATTAATTTTAAAAAGGTTATTGTCGGTAGACAAAATAATGTCACAATCGCAATATGCAAAAACACAATTCAGAAAACAATGCAAATCTCAGCATGCACATTTAATTTAGATCCTTCTCTGGCTTGAGTAATTACATGTCTAGCATCACCATAACTCTAAGCTGCAGCCACCTGTACAGGTGAGTAGATCAAAGGGACCAGTCACTTATTGTACATGAGAGTAGGTCCCACCCCATCCCACCCCACCCATGTAAGAAATGACTGGTCCCAAATTTGTTATTGTTTGCTGAGACTGGGGTCGCATACCTCTGTAGCACAACCAATTTGTTTTGTGGGAAAGGCTGAGATTGGGGCAAAAAAATTATAAATTGAACAGTTAACCAGCCAGCTTTAAAATTACATGAGCTACTTGTGAGAACATTTTCAGAACATATGCACACATAAAATTTCAACTACAAAATCTTCCATAATAGCTACAGTGGTAGTGTGCCCACCTATATACCAACCTTACATCACCCCCTCCCCCCCCCCCCCCCCTCCATATATATATTCTAAATTCGAGCAGAATGTTTTTCACAAAACAGCAAAATAAGAACACAAGATCGTAATAAAACAATATTAAATGTTAACATATCTGTGCAAACAGCTAACAGAGTGCCAGTTATTGAAGTAAACTGAACATGTACCTCCATCAAATGCTGTAAGCTTTGATACTGACATCCAATCTTTTCTCCTGGTAAATCTCACAACGGACTTCATTCAAATCTGCATGTTACTATTGGTTGGAATTAATGTTGTTACCTCCTTTACATATATGAAGTATTTGAGTTTCAATGCTTAATGAGTGATATCTTGAGTTGTTTAACTTAACTACAAATATATTCAGTTCAAACTCTCATCACAAAGACATATGTATCAGATATAACAAATAAAACAGAGCACTAATTTTCACAACCATCCTTACACTGATGGGTTATTTCAGTTTCAATGCGTAATGAGCATTGATCTTGAGTTGTGTAACTTAAGTATACATATATTCAGTTCAAACAATCTTCACAAAGATCAATGAGAGTCAGGTACAATAAATTAAACATAGCACTGTCTCACAACAACGAATGATTGTTCCCATACACAGTATCTCTTCTGTTAGGAATATGTAGCAGTACCACAGCAAATGTTTATATCAGGTCTCCATGTAGAGACACCAGAACATTACTGTCTCAGCTCCGATGGGTGCCTTCCAAGTAAATAATTGAGCAATTTCACTTTTAAACAACAAATGCCTTGTTTGCTTGACTAATTCAACCTGGGAATTGTTCAAGGTTAATTTGAATTTTTTTTCTATAATACTGGATTTTCTGCTGCATTTGGTGATCACGTGACAAGGACATGCTAAAGGACAAAATGGCTACTGTCAAACTCTTCATCGAGAATATCAATGACATCTTGATATGAAGTCTACATCCCTTCAATTACTCAATTGTGTGTCTCCAGGATGGCCTTTCTGTGCTTCCTGCATCTGCTTGGAAGTGTTACAAAAACTGACCAATGAAAAAACTAAAGTGATTAAAAAAAGAGATAAAGGCATGTAGCAACTTTTAAAAAAGAAAACAAATTGCACTGGAAACCAAAATTTGCATAAAAAATCTCTCAGGTGTCTCGCTGATACACTCGGGACCTAAGACTGTTCCTACTTCTTAGAATAATATTGAATTTTGCGCTCTATTTTTATCTTTACATGAAAAAAACAACACATGGTGATACTCCTTCATACTTGCTTAAATATCAATATGTGACACAACTGAATATTCTGGGTAAAAATAAATATTTTATATCATACTGAATCAGGGCCAAGCATTGCCCTTGTATGTCAGTCAACCTGGACATAGTCCGTGAAGTGCGCTGTTTCATCTTCTTTGGCTGGATGAGGTAATGGACTTCGTGACAGGTCCAGGGGACCATCTTGGCATCTTGGAGAAGGTAAGGTAGTCTTTATGTCAATGGGACTATCAGTTTTTTCAGAGCGGATGGATCGTGAGTCTGATATAATTATTCCTGCATGATTTGCAGGTAGGCTGATGCTGGGGGATGCGTGAGAAGAGGTTACGACGGGCGGTGAGAAAAGTGAATGAAGCGATGACACGGGGAAAATGTTGGATGACAGAGGCAGGAAGTGTGAGGGAAGATTTCCTAGCAATTCATTGGAAGGCGTAAGATTGATGAGATTGTTGACTGTAATCGGAGGAGTAGGCACTGGGGAAGGGGGAGAACTGTGTCGTAACTTTGGCGTCACCGATCCATCGCCACGGAAATAGTGTCCAATTGTCCGCACGTGTTTCCTCAAGGAGCTTGGATCAGTGTAGCGCTTGTGACATCCTGGCATCTTACACACGTATGGCTTCTCCTCCTGGTGCGTGCGCACATGCTTGAAGCGGTCGCTGGAGTTGGAGTATGCTTTGTGACAGCCCTGGACCGGACACACATATGGCTTCTCTCCTGAAAACAGAAATCAAAGCTTTTGTTTGTTGTTTAACACCACACTCAGAAATATTACAGGAGCCTGTAAATAAATGAGTCTGGGCCAGAGCAACGGTGACACAGTGTCAACCAAGTCACCAAGCCTGACCACCTTATCTATTAAGTTGCCTAATACAACCAGCAAAGGCAAAGACCCAATTGCGTGGACCGATGCTCATGATATTAATCACTGGACTGTCTGGTCCAGACTATTCTAACCTGAATTCAATCTTCTTAATACAGCATTTTACATTTAGAATCTAGCTATCTTAGTGACCAGTCGGCCGGCCGCCCTGAGCAGACATAATGACATCATAATTCATAATGTTACACCACTTAATTCATTTACTGGGGCGGTCGGGTAGCCTAGTGGTTAAAGCGTTCGCTCGTCACGCCGAAGACCCGGGTTCGATTCCCGACATGGGTACAATGTGTGAAGCCCATTTCTGGTGTCCCCCGCCGTGATATTGCTGGAATATTGCTAAAAGCGGCGTAAAACCATACTCACTCACTCACTAATTCATTTACTTATGAATAGGGATGACACTCAGAGTGAGCTGAGGATTTCAAATTGAACATCACAGCTTGGCTAAGGGAGGCAACTCTGCCCACACAAGTCCAGCTCTTCTGACCTGAGTTTAAACTTGAATTGATTGCATGATATTGCCATGAATGTTTTCTAGCGATTGTCAAGGGAAATACCTCACCAAGCAAGTGAGCAAGCTCCATCCCACGGAGTGACACCTTTGTTACGTCCATTACAAGAATCTTGAAAACTTCACCTCAAATGCCTAATGTAGTGACATTTTTTTGTTGTGAATGCCGTTCTAGTCAATTAACGGTTGTCGACTGAATTACTATTTCCAAGATAATTGTAATGTCATTCTATTCCAACAGGACTAGTGAAAATAATAGAAAATAGGGCTGTGCATTGGCAAAAACTTTGCAACGCAATATATTGCGTCATATTCAGAACTTATGTATTTGACGGTGATTGACACTGATTATACATGCAGATTCTGTTTTCTACATACTGAAGTAATTATAACTCTGTATGGTCAGTTGCCACCATTTTGAAGTCATGGATACAGGGGAGATAACAATGTGTGAGAAAAATCACTTCCGCATTTTTGCCATTTTGTCAATCAATTTCAGATGGAAACATCATTTATGAATGAATTTGTGAAGACTGTAGGTTAAACTATACAAATATAAGGCTATAAGGAAACTTGTTATATTTGTTTTACCCAAAATAGTAGAAAACTATTTTCAAAGAAAAATTATCGCAATATATATCTTTTGAAAAGCGTATAAGAAGTACACAAACTACAAACTATCTTACTGTTTGAGGTCCTTGAAGTTGATCGTCTATAATTATAAGATATGATGAGAAATTAGTTGTCCTCAACTTGATGTGTCTTGAATGAGGCGTACATTACCTGTGTGAGATCTGTTGTGAATCTTGAGGTTTTCCAGCCGTGAGAAGCACTTGCCACACAGACCACATCGGTGAGGCTTCTCATTGGTGTGTGTCCGTATGTGGATCAGCATCTTGTATCTATCAACAGCACCACATCACATGTATAAAGCATCTCATGTATCACAACTTTTCCTCATCATCAAAGACATTTCTGTTTTGGGCAATTCAACCCAGCCACCTGATCCCGTTAGTTGCCACTTACGACCTTTTACAGCAAGCATGGGTTGCTATGGATCTATTCTACCCCAGATCTTCACGGGTCGATGAATCTACCAAGTCAGCAAGCCTGACCACCCATCAGTCGAGACAACAAGCATAGTCATCTTTTACGGCAAGCGTGGGTTGCTGAAGACCTAGTCTACCTCGGACCTTCACAGCTCTACCCTTATTAACAGATGTGTAGGCAGTCAGCAATATTCTAGCTTTATCAGTAAATCATCGTCAGAGCCAGGCCAAACAGAGGTTAATATCAAGGGTTACTAAGTCTATCTGTTGGGATATGACGGTCACAACCCATCCAGAAAACATCCAGTGACCTCCCACCCCCGATTTTGGTCCCCTCTTATAGCAAGCATCAGAGGTGAGGTGAAATTGGGTTTAACGTCGCGTCCAAGATTATTGCACTTATAGAGCGACGTGCATGCACGTGTATGTGTGTGTGTGGCTGCTTGTACTAGTCCGGACTGATGCCGATTTATAGTGCTAGCCCACTGAGATACCATGCCGCAGTTTAACATGAATACCCCACTCAGACACAGTATACTGACTCCGAGCCGACCAGTCCTTGTTTTAGCCCCTTAATGCCGAGCGCCAGACAGGGTAACAACAAGTACAATCTTTTAACGTCTTTTTGTATGACGAGGCCCGGGATCGAACCCTGGACCTTCCGCTCTCCGGGCGGACGCTCTTCCACAAGACCACTGAGGCGGTCTAGCAAGCATCAGATCCCCACAGGGACAGTGATGCTAATGGACCCACCTTGCGTTGAAGCCCTTTCCCTGCCTGGGACATCCCGTCCATTTACACTGGTAGTCAATGTCGGGCCGCTCCACCTTCACATGTTGGTCATTGACATGGTTGACCAGGTCATCCAGAGCGGAGAACCGGCGCTCACACTGCATCCATCTACACTCCCACTCAGTTCCATCTGGTGGCGATGTCGGCTCCTTGTCGAGGGGAGATAACTGCAATTGAAGTAACACAAAATCTTATCAAACTGTTGAGCTTTCATGATACTAGGTTTACTAACTGTAATACCATATAGTTATCTCATGCTTCTGACATTTAAACAACAAATAAATCAAATTACAAGTATCTATGATTAAAAACACGATCCCAACCATTTCAAAATTATCTTTAATATTGGAGCCATTGTGATCAACCAATAATCCACAATGGCAGCAATTGTGACCACATATCGCCTTCAATTGTCAATTCACCTACTCAAGACTCAGGTTTAGAATTGGTCTTCAGCAACCCTTGCTTGTCGTAAGAGGCAACTAATGGGATCGGGTGGTCAGGCTCGCTGACTTGGTTGATGCATAACATTGTATCCCAATAGCAGATCAATGCTCCTGATGTCAAGCACTGAATTGTCTGGTCCAGACTCGATTATTTACAGACCACTGTCATACATCTGGAATATTGCTGAATGCGGCGTTAAACAACAAAAAACTTCATTCCCAGAATCGTGCATCCTTGATTATCCATGGTGTTGTCTCCTTGCAATCATTTATTGTTTGGTTCATATGACGTATCTTCCAAATAGCATTCCAATCAAGTTATATTGTTTTTTTATGATGAAAACTAACTGCATCATCTAGTCCAGACTCGATTTATTTACAGACCACCGTCATACAGCTGGAATATTGCCAAGTATGGTGTTAAAAAATCAAAGAAACTTACAAACAAACAAACCAAACCAAAACAAACAATTCACCTACCTTCATTGACTTGACAGTTGGGAGGTCAGCCAGGGGTGGGAGGGGGACACTTGGATGACCCATCACAGATGTCATCATGACTGGCTCATTAATATTCATAGGTGGCATGGCCATTGGCATGGTGCAGGATGTGATGATTCCAGGCTGCAGTGCATCCTGGGAGATGATGACACTATGTTGTGTGCATGCCCCGCAGTAGACAGGAAGTGAGGGCGGAAGATCTTTGGTTGTGAGACAGAGCGGCAGATGCGGGGAAGACAGGTGATGGAAGTGCCCAGGAGGTGGAGCCACTCCAGCCTGACCAATTATGTCTGAAAATGTAACACGTAAGGCAAAATCTTTTTTGACATAGTTTGTATCAAACATACACTACAAAAAGAAGTTAAAGAACATCCGATCCTTTCATATTACAAAAGATTAACTGCAGTAAAATGAGTGAGTGAGTATGGTTTTACGCCACTTTTAGCAATATTCCAGCATTGTCACGGTTGGGGACACCAGAAATGGGCTTCACACATTGTACCCATGTCGGGAATCGAACCCAGATTTTTTGCATGACGAGCTAACACTTTAACCACTAGGCTACCGACCGCCCCTTACAGTAAAATAAAAGAATCGGGTGTTCTGTCACTTTTGAGTAAAATACAACACTGAAAACTTGTTAAATTGAAGTCCTGGGGACCATCATCCTTGGTATTCCAGGGTCTAGCATCTCCATAACTACCCTGGTTTATTCTGAGATCGATTTGGAAAACAATGCTAACAGTAGCTGAAATATATAACTGTAAGCAAGAAATTCTGTGCTTTGTTTTGATAAGAAATAGAGATGGAGACGTCACTTCCAAGCTGAAGCCATGATGGTGATTGATGCAAGGGTACTTCAGTCATAATCAGTCTCATTAAAATGAGATCTTTCTCTCTGATACAAACATCTCTCTGTATGAAAATATGAGATATGACACCTCCACTCCATAAGGAATCGCCCAGGCAAATTCAAGGCTTTTAAGTTCTCGGTACGAATGAGCAAAGCATTCAATCAAGCATCTCTAAACAAAAACTACATTCACTTTGGTCTTAACGAAGCTTATAAACCTCAAGTGATGTAATGCTATTGTTCTCCAGTCAGGTTAAATCTCATAAGCAGGGATGTAATCTTCCCGGGGTTTTATATAATATACCCGGAATTTTATATGATATTCCAGGATTATTTGTTATATAATTTGTTATAATATTTGAACACAACGTAATGAAATGTAAAATCAAATGACAAAATGTTTTCTTTATATTCTTATAGTACCACTAGGCTACAGAGGTGCTGTCAATCACAATGCTTTTTCAAGTACCTCACACCTGCAACAGATATTTTATGCTCGTTTCCTAAGGTTCATGGAGAGTATGTTTGAAACACAAAAATGTTGACATATGTCCTTTCTTTTTTCAGTTTATAAGTTAGATAAAACCCTTCCCCTTAGCTTTTTATGATAACTAAAACCCTTATCCTTCGGATTTATCCCGTGAATGCTGGTTTTAAACATAAAAAAACAACCTTCGACGTGCTTTATCCTACATATAGCCTGAGTGTAGGGCAACCTGACCTATCTACCTACCCAACTTCATTTTAATGGGTCGGGAAACAGACACATATTTTTAATGAAGTATCTTATACTAGTTCTGTTAGAACCCATTTGTTTCTAGTTCAGGGGCACGGGTGGCCCAGTCGTCTAAGGTGCCGCGATTCGCTGTGCAGAGTTGCGTCCCTTGGGCACGCTAGAAACCTATGATTGTTGGTTCGAATCCCGGTTCGCCCCGATTATGTTTCTAGGTTTGTCAGCACCATACCCGTGCTCGTGGGTTTCACCGAAGTGGTCAATGTTTGAGAACTGCATCACTTGGGGCTTTCCTCCCACATTAAGCTGACACGCCGTGATATAACTGGAAAACTGTTAAAAGTGGCGTTAAACCAAACTCACTCACTCCTTTCTAGTTCTCCTTGCCAACTTACTTGATTTGTTGCCCAAGGAGTGGTCCTCCCCCTCTGCCACCTTCCCCCGAGCTCCTCCTCCTCCATTCCTGACTGGATGCGGACTGTGAGTGGAGTAGCCTGGATTGTCTCCCTCCATTGAGGCCTCATCCTTCACCAGCACCGGATGTCCAGACACACTCAGCTGAATCTGCAGCAAGCAAGGAGGGTTGATGGGAGACTAAGTCACATGTTCACACTAAGCTTGACTAGACCCTGATAGACCAAACCCCTACTTGATCAGACCCTGATAGACCAAACCCCTACTTGATCAGACCCTGATAGATCAAACCCCTACTTGATCAGACCCTGATAGATCAAAATCCTGCTTGATCAGACCCTGATAGATCAAACCCCTGCTTGATCAGACCCTGATAGATCAAACCCCTGTTTGACCAGACCCTGATAGACCAAACCCCTACTTGATCAGACCCTGATAGAACAAACACCTGCTTGATCAAAACTAGATAGACCAAACCCCTGCTTGATCAGACCCTGATAGATCAAACCCCTGCTTGACCAGACCCAGATAGACCAAACCCCTGCTTGACCAGACCCAGATAGACCAAACCCTTGTAAACCCAATCGCACAATATCTGTACTCTCAAAAATATTCCAATGTACATATATCATTAGAAGTGCTATATAAAATTGTACAATACAGCCAATCGCAATGATATCATGTACCATGGACCAGCCTAACTACAAATACTACTATATATAGGATAGAAACAAGTCTATAGTTACTTCCCTTCCGTTATAGAAATAGATCTGTCATTATTCGTCATAATTTTAAAAAATGGTTGTTTTAAAGTTTTATTATAAATTTTCAAAAGGTTTTATTTATTGTATTTTAAATATATTCATATTCATAGCGAAATTAAAGGTCTTGATTTTTTCAACATTTTAGCTGATAAAAAAAGTTCAACCATACAGTTCAGAGATACATTGAGTGAGTGAGTGACTGGGTGACTGGGTGAGTGAGTGAGTGAGTGAGTCAGCGAGTGACTGGGTTGGTGGGTGTTACTAAGTAACCATCTACAGAAAACTCTGTAAAGACATTACTCTCAACCTGTGTCAAATAGTCAACAAAATGCATCAAGATGTAGGCAATCTGAGTCTCTATTCTCAATAAAATGTATGAACCTGATCATGTACATATGGAGGTATTGTCCTATTCCATGGTATGGTGTTATATCCAGTATCTCATAGGCTGTATGTGGCCTGATGGTATAGTATCAACATATTTACCTGTCCATAGGCTGTGCATGGTACAATATAGACACTTCTCCCTATAGAACTGCATGGTTGATTAGTGACCCCGTGGTGGTCGGGGTCAGTTTACACACTGACAGGCCCAATCAGGGAATCTCACTGTTGTAGTCAGTCCCAACACACGACTTACTGCACTGAGTTGCCTCCAAGCAGGTGACAGGTCACTCTACCATGCAGACAAAGCACTTCAGTCAGTTCTAACTGGCAAATTACTGCTAAGGTCTCATCATATGCTGTCGACCCATGAAGATCCGGGGTAGAATATGTCTTCAGCAACCCATGCTTGCCGTAAAAGGCGATTATACTTGTCGTAAGAGGCGACTAACGTGATCGGGTTTGCCAGACCTACCCCACCCTAGCCAGATCTTCCCACCCTAGCAAGACCTTCCCAACCTTTGCTAGGCCTACCCCAGCTTTGCCAGACCCTCACTTTCACCAGACTTACCCCAACCCTAGCCAGACCTTCCCCACCTTCACCAGACCTTCCCCACCTTCGCCAGACCTGCCCCACCCTCACCAGACCATCCCCACCCTCACCAGACCTTCTCCACCTTCACTAGACCTACCCCACCTTCGCCAGATCTTCCCCACCCTAGCTAGACCTTGCCCTACTGACCCTAGCCATAACTTACTCACTGGTTCGATGTATATACTTATACCCTTCTCAAGCTGGAATCAAGTATGGTACACATACATGATATGTTGTGACAAGCAGCAGATTAACATGAACAACAATAGCACACAGATAATTGGTAACATATAGCGCACACATAATTCGACAAAGCCAGATGTACAGTAAGGATTTAGGAGTTGTCCCAAGCTTGATTGGGAATTAAATAACAGAGTCTATTGGTTGATAAGATCTTCATAGGCAGAGGGGATGTAATACCCTTGATCTCTGTTGATCAAAAGAATGTGGTGGCAAATGTCCATGACTTCGGAGAGTATTCTCTTAGTGAAGTCCTGGTGTTTGGCAGTGAGAATTTGGACTTTGTCAAACTGAATTTGATGGCTAGCGAACTTTTGCTAAGTTCTCTGTGTGAGGGCTGATTTGTGTTTGCTTTGGATGTTGAAGTTTTATATTCGTTGATGAGGATATCTACTGGGTGGGAGGTTTCACCATTATACATGTCACCACTGTCACAATTAGTCTTATAGATCACCCCTTTTGGGTGCTGACGGTTGGAAGGTGGTTATGGCCATATGCTAGGAAGATGGTTCTAAGGGATGAGTGAGTTAGTCTGGTTTAACGCCGCTTTCAACAGTATTTCAGTCATATCACGGCGTGTCAGCTTAATGTGGGAGGAAAGCCCGAAGTGATGCAGGTCTTAGACGTTTACCACTTCGGTGAAACCCACGAGCACGGGTATGGTGCTGACAAACCTAGAAACATAATCGGGGCGAACTGGGATTCGAACCCACAATCATAGGTTTCAGGCGTGCCCAAGGGACGCAACTCTGCACAGCGAATGGCGGCGCCTTAGACGACTGGGCCACCTGTGCCCCCCTCTAAGGGATGAGGAGCAGTTCATGGTGTTATAGCCTGCTTGGTACTTAAGTAGTTTGCTGATTTGATGTGTAGTCTCCCATCTGTTTAACCAATTTAGAGAAATAAACGATTCAGGAGCAGGGGACCCCTGGCAGCATTTTGCCAACAGACTGAAGGTGACAGCTGCATATCACCCAGTAGGTCACCCGAGGTGGTCCTATCTCTTCACAATTTGATGGAAGCAGTGAAGAATGCCAAACGGTGCTGTATTTTGAAACTAGGTCAGGAGATGCCATCTATGATGTCTTTCACACACTTAAATGTCTAGAAACTCTTCACACCTTTCTGAGACAAAAAAACTTTACTACACTGACAGCGGTAGAAACTAACACCTAGTGAGTAAGAGAGTTAGTTGGGGTTAATGCCCCTTTGAACAGTCTTCTAGTGATATCACGGCGTGTTAGCTTATAATGTGGGAGGACAACCCGAAATGATGCAGGTCTCTGAAATTTACCACTTTGGTGAAATCCACGAGCATGGGTATGGTACTGACACACCTAGAAACAATCGAGTCAAACCAGGATTCGAATTGTCCGTAGGTTTCTAACGTGCCCAAGGGACGCAACTCCGCACAGCGTATTGAGGCGCCATAGACCGCTGGGCCAACCGTGCCCATATAAAGAAATTTACTGAATAAACATTCTTCAACAAAGTCATCCATTAACATTTCATGCGATAAACATAAATTCTCTAAATCATCAAAGGTTTTATTGTGAGAAATGGAAATAGTGAACTGATTTTGGACAAATTAACCATATCAAGAAACAGTTTACTCCTAAATATGATTTTTTGTCAGCATGCTCCTCACAACAAGTGGCGGTGGGCATTGAGAAGAGTGCTGACGGAAACATCCCAATGGCCATGTTTGGTGTAGTTCTTCCCCAACCCTAGCCAGACCTTCCCCACCCTAGAGAGACTTTCACTACCCTCGCCAGGCCTTCCCCACCGTAGCCAGACCTTCCCCACCTTTGCCAGACCTACCCCACCCTAGAGAGACTTTCACTACCCTCGCCAGGCCTTCCCCACCGTAGCCAGACCTTCCCCACCTTTGCCAGACCTACCCCACCCTAGAGAGACTTTCACTACCCTCGCCAGGCCTTCCCCACCGTAGCCAGACCTCCCCCATCCGAGAGAGACTTTCACTACCCTCGCCAGACCTTCCCCACCGTAGCCAGACCTCCCCCATCCAAGAGAGACTTTCACTACCCTCGCCAGGCCTTCCCCACCCTAGCCAGACCTTCCCCACCTTTGCCAGACCTTCCCCACCCTAGAGAGACTTTCACTACCTTCTCCAGGCCTTCCCCACCGTAGCCAGACCTCCCCCATCCGAGAGAGACTTTCACTACCCTCGCCAGGCCTTCCCCACCGTAGCCAGACCTCCCCCACCCAAGAGAGACTTTCACTACCCTCGCCAGGCCTTCCCCACCGTAGCCAGACCTTCCCCACCTTTGCCAGACCTACCCCACCCTAGAGAGACTTTCACTACCCTCGCCAGGCCTTCCCCACCGTAGCCAGACCTTCCCCACCTTTGCCAGACCTACCCCACCCTAGAGAGACTTTCACTACCCTCGCCAGGCCTTCCCCACCGTAGCCAGACCTCCCCCATCCGAGAGAGACTTTCACTACCCTCGCCAGACCTTCCCCACCGTAGCCAGACCTCCCCCATCCAAGAGAGACTTTCACTACCCTCGCCAGGCCTTCCCCACCCTAGCCAGACCTTCCCCACCCTAGAGAGACTTTCACTACCTTTTCCAGGCCTTCCCCACCGTAGCCAGACCTCCCCCATCCGAGAGAGACTTTCACTACCTTCGCCAGGCCTTCCCCACCGTAGCCAGACCTCCCCCATCCGAGAGAGACTTTCACTACCCTCGCCAGGCCTTCCCCACCCTAGCAAGACCTTCCCCACCTTTGCCAGACCTTCCCCACCAAAGAGAGACTTTCACTACCTTCTCCAGGCCTTCCCCACCCTAGCCAGACCTTCCCCACCTTCACCAGACTTACTGAATTTGATGGCTAGGGAACTTTTGCTAAGTTCTCCGTGAGAGGGCTGATTTGTGTTTGCTTTGGATGTTGAAGTTTTATATTCGTTGATGGGGATATCTACTGGGTGGGAGGTAGGTGAGGTGGTCCTTTCTCTTCACAGTTTGATGGATTCTCAGCAGGTGAAGAATGCCAAACGGCGTTGTATTTTTAAACTAGGTCAGGAGATGCCATTCATGACGTCTTTCACACATTTAAATGTCTTTGACTTTGACACTCTTTACAACTTTCTGAGGCTAAAACTTTACTACACTGACAGCGGTAGAAACTAACACTTTTAGTCAACT